AATTAAGCTGATTCGAACGACATAGGATGCACTTCAATCCAAATCTTGGATTGGAAGTTATACTGGATCTTTTGATGGAAGCTAGCTTTAAAGCTCGGACCTTTTGCGCTGCGATCTCAATGTACCGGGGTGCGAATAAGGCCCTTTTATCAAAAAAGGGGGGTGCGGATAACAAAACTCTAAATAAAAATATAATTAATAAATAAAAATAGGATCTATAATTAATTAATAAATAAAAATAAAATCTATAATTAAATAATAAATAAAAATAAAACGATTATTAATTAACCCTTTAATAACTAAAAAATTTAAAACTTTTTTAATTAAATATATTACTTACCTTTTAAATAAACCGAGATAATATAAAGGTTAAAAATCTTTTAACCGTAGCAAAAAATAAAACTCAAAAAATTAATCAATTAATTAATATATAAAAAAAAAAAAAAAAGCTAAGCTTTTAACGTTTTAAGTTAATTAATTATATATACACCGATAAAATTTAATAAGTTATAACAATAATAATAAAAATATGCCCATACGATAATAATAATAAAAATATACCTATATAATAATAATAATAAAAATATACTTATATAATAATAATTATAAATAACCATAAAAATGGCTATTCATTTATTCATATTTATAACTATATTTTAATAAAAAACGTTAAAAAAAACACAGCTATAATTAATAAAATTTAAAACAGCTAACATAAAAAAATATAACTAATAAAAAGCTTTTAAAAAAAACGTACGATTATTAAATAATTAACATTAAAAACGATTTAATTAATCTTAATTTTCCTATATAGGTTTTTAAGAATTATAAAAGTATTTAATAACGTAATTAATTTAATAATTTCCCATAATAATTTCCCATAATAATTTTTTAAAAAAGTTTTAACATAAAAATATCCTTTAAATAAATAAAAATATCCTCTAAATAAATAAGTTATAAATATAAAAATAAAATTTTTAATTTTTTACCTTAACTTTAAATTTACGTTTATATCGACAAAAATAATAATTAAGGTGAAGTTAATAAAAATTACGATAATTTATAAATTTTTAAGCTTATATATTAACGTGGGCCTTATTAAGGTATTTAATAAAATCTTTTAAATTATATTAAAAAAATTATTAATTTATTATTAATGAAAATATCGATAAAGTTTATAAATTAAATGTTTTAATTAATAAAAATAATAACGAATATAAATTATCGATATATAAAAAGTATTAAATTTTTATTATACGAGATTTTTTACGGGAATTTACCGGTTAAAGTATTTAAGTAAAAATACCCTTTAAAAAATTTAAGCTTATTAATATATTATTTGCGAAATAATAAGGTAAAGTTTTTTTTAATTAAGGATTAATTTAATAATTTAGTGATAAATTATTTAATAAGGTTTTAATATTATTAAAAAATGGTTTTTTAGTTAAAAAAGGAAAAATAATTAACGTATAATTATATATATGTTTTTTATATGTTTTAAGTAAAAAAAGATAACTTAATAATAATTTATTAAAAAAGTAAAACTTTAAAATTTTAGGAAAAATAAATGAGATTTTTTATTATAAAAATATAAGTTAAGCGGTTTTTATATTAGTTTTATAATTTAAATAAATTTATTATCGGAAAAATAACATATTATAAAAATTATTTTAAACGTTTTTTTCTTTAAACGGGTTATTTTTAAATAAATAATAAGCTGGTTTTATTTTTATAGTTATAATTATAAAGGAAAAAGTTAAAAAAGAAAAAGAATAAATAAGTGTAAAAGGGAAAAAGGATATTTATGTTTATATTTTTATGTTTTTTTTATAATTGCATTTTTATAATTTTTGTTTTTTTTATAATTATATTTTTATAATTTTCCTTTATTTATTTTTTTTTATTAATAATTTTATTTGTTTATATTTTTATTTCCTTTTTTTTTTTTATTATAATTTTTTTTATTATTATTTTATTTGTTAAGGTTTTTTTTATTAGCGGTTTTTTTTTTTTTTTTAAGATTTTTATTATTTTCTTTTATTTTATTTTTTTTATTAAAAATTATAAGATTTTTTTTAAAGGTATTAGGTTTTATTATATAATTTAAGACTTTTTTTATTATGTTATTATAATATTATATCTTAAAAAGCGGGTTATTTATCCGATTTATATCCTCTTTAATAAATATTATAATAAGTGTTATTTATTATAAATAAAATAAAAAAATATAAGTAAAAAGCTTATTTTATAGGGATTAATCTTAGATCTTTTCTTTTTTTTAATATATAATTTATTTAAAATTAGTAAATTTTTTTTAAGTAGTTATTAAATTAACCGGAATATTTTAAAATAAAGATAGGATAAAGTTTTCGACATTTAATTCTTTATTAACGTATGGATTTATAAGGTTTATAATAAAGTTTATAAGTGATAATATAAGAAATAAGTTTATTAATATATAATAATTAATTTAATGAGATTAATATTATTAAAATTAATGAAATTAATAAAATTAATAATAATTAATTTAAGGAATAATCGGCATTTTAAATATAAAAGATTTTAAAAGGGAAAAAATAATTAATAAAATAATAAAGATTAAAATAAAAAAAAGAGATTATAATTAATTTTAATAAATCGGTTAAAAAAATTAAATTAATAAAATAACTTATTTAAAAACCCTTTAAATATAAATATAAATAAATTAAATTAAATGATTTTTAATAATAATATAATTATTAATAAGCCTAATAAAATCGATAAAAATTAGTTTAAAAATATTGAAATATTTTTAAAATATTATAATAATATCTTTTACAATAAATCTAAATAAAATATATAAAATATTAATAAATAACACTTATTTAAAATTAAAAAATAACTTAAATAAAATTACTAAAAAAGATTTATTAATTTCGAATAGATTATTATATTAAAAGAAAGAAAAGGTTTAAGATTAATCCTTATAAGATAAGCCTTTTACTTATGTCCTCTTATCTTATCTATAATAGGTGGTATCTGCCATAGTATCTAACGTATTAGTTACCCCTGAATATTATTATAATATTGTACCACGTAAGACGGAACTGTAAAAAAAAGCCATGGCCAATTTATATATTCAGACTAACGGCATTATCCAAGCAAGCCACATGAGCAAGCCACATAATTCCACCTATTTGCCTCCAACTAGGTTAGCAGCAAAATACCTAAGCTTGCCCAGTATATAACTTGGTTTCTCGTTTCAACTACAACTAAAATGATCGTTGATTTGAAATGCAAAATCAAAAAAGAAAAGACACTACTAAGACGCAATGTGCAGACTATAATTAAGCTAGACATAAGCGCCAAGACGCCAAGAATAGCCATGTGCTATCAGTTCTTACGGTGGTAAGTTGTAACGTCTGAACCCGCCTCCCGCTCTCCGCTTGTCAAATGCCTGTCAACGCACAAATATCGCAAATCCTAGGCACGTATCGCCACCCTATCATTGTGGATAGAGATATTTTTGCGGCTACTGGGAGCGACCACGGAGAGAACTAACAAATAGGAGAGGGATCATGAGGTTCCATGTCATGCCAAACATTGGTTGCCATCTGGCTAACAGGGCCTCGCCAAATCACGTTTGCAGCCGGTATCCTGCGGCTTTTGTGCGTGAAAGCTACTAGGCGGCCTAGGCAAGCCTAGGTAGGCAGAGGCAACCAAGAATCAGCCAGTGATATAATTCCACTTCGGATATGTATGTCCATTGACGATGAGGCTTCCAGATGTCATTCACAAGCTTCCGTCTAGAGGATGCCGACTTTACGGCCTACATGCCCTTCCTATGTACCTAACCTTACCAACTTACTCATTTGTCTACATATCCATGGAGACCTCTACTATCAAGTGGCAACACTTCCCTCCCGGTCAGCGTTGGTTCGCTCTCCACTCTTTGCAAATCCCGGTTTAGATCTAGTTGACCCCTGGCGCTACTGTCACTTGGTGAAAGAAGCGTATTCGACATGTTATGTCATATTTACCTAGATGCCATACCTTGTTGCGATATCTCAACCCTATAGGTCATATGGCCACTCACGACATGCTCAGTCAGTGCATTGTGGAAGATGTGTACAAGGGCCCAGCATTGGTAATGGTACTGGCACTGATACCTACAGTAATAATGGCCAGGAGTTATGATGATGGTATACAGTATTAATTCATAATGACCTATCAAACTTTCTTGGCCCTGGGAAGGTGGAGGGGGGAGCAACTGCGATGTTTGTGCGTGAGACTGCGTATTCACGAGTCGCAGCTCTGCCATGTTATTCCATAAGTAATACTAACTCCTAGGTCTGTAGGTTATCCATAAACTCCCTATGGTGTTCCAGAATCGTCTCATATTTTCTTCCTGATTTCTCATCTTGATTCCTTCCATCACTCATATATGTACCTATCCACGTCTGGTATTATTGCTACTTACCTGGGTACCTCAATAGAATCACTTACTTCTATATCCTGTCCGGTGATAAAAGGGATAATATTCCATTCATCAATGGAGTCGATTCCCTCCGTCATTTGCAGGGACTGACTCATATGATTCTCTTCAGGCTAAATTACAAACATTTCGCGTACCGACGTCCACATTACCCAGAAAGGATATACACATTCATAGCCTGCACCAACTATAGGTGATATCCGTCTTCCATTGCACTAGCTCCTGTACGTCTCCGCCTCGTTACAGCCGCCTATATCCAGCAGGAGAAAAGGGGATCAACGCCGCACGCATACATCGTTCATCTGAAATAGCCTTCTGAGCGGCAGGCCGCGCGAACTGACCCAAGATGGATCCGTCACATCCAACCGTCACTACCTATTTCATGCTGGCTAATATACATTGTCCCACATGTGTCTCTTCCATAAAAGATGCCTTGCAACGCCTGCCCGGCATCAGCTGGGTATCGCCCAATATCGTTACTGGATGGGTCGCTGTTGAACACGACCCTGATGTATCGGTGGTCAACATGGCGTCGAAGTTGGAGTCTTCGGGTTTTGAGGTCTCTAGTGTAGCCTCGACGAATGGCGAAGTGACTCTCCCGAACTTGTTGCGAAGAGAGCAGACCAACATGTCCGACGTCTTGGAAACCGCAGAGACCAGCGAGTCAACTAGCACGTTAAGTCGAATATTTAGGCGATCAGGCAAGTTCACGAATGCGCAAGCTTCGACTGCGAACGAAGAGAGGGAGAAGAACCATCTCAACAACTGTGAGCTATGTCGAACCAAGGGGCCGAGGCCTCATACCGGCCACCACGCATTCTCCTCTGTCAGGACTTCCGACGGCTGTGATGAGCAGTTCGACCCCGAACTCAACGACGAGAAGTCGATTCATGGAATGATTATGTCCACGAAACCTCTCGTAGGCGAGGACGGCGACACGCCCCAATCCTCCAGCGACGGCGGCCGTAGGTGGAAGGCCACGATGGCTATCGGCGGTATGGTATGTAGCAATTGTTCGAAAGGCATTACTATGCAACTAGAGAAGAAGCAATGGATCACCAAAATCTTTGTCTCTGAGATTTCGCACAGCGGAGTCATCGAGTATATTGGAACCAAGGATGATGTCAATCAAATTATCGAGATCATCGAGGACACTGGAAAAGATGCCGAACTTGTTGAACTAGTCAACATTGACGGCGGTGAGAATACGGCATCGCAACGAGAGAGAACGGTGGAGATCCGCATCGAAGGCTTTTACTGTGATCACTGTGCCGACCGAGCGACTAATAGTCTAGGGGGGCTTCTTCAGGATCTAAAAGTTATCAGGAAGCCTACCCGAAAGAATCCCATCTTGAAGATCTCCTATGTTCCTATAGTCCCGAGTTTCACGATTCGACGTATCCTCTCGACCATCGAGGCAAGCGACTCGGTATTCAAGGCCTCGATTCATCATCCACCCACGATAGAAGAGAAAGCGAAGCAGTTGCATGCCAGTCATCAGAGGCAGCTGTGTATGCGTGCCTGGTTCACGACCGTCGTTGCAATTCCAACTTTTATCATCGGCGTGGTATACATGAGCCTGGTGTCTGATCAGGATATGGCCAAGATGCACCTCATGGAACCGTGGACATCCGGAATCAGCCGAGCCCAGGTGGCTCTTTGTATAATGGCGACACCTGTATACTTCTTCGCAGCGGACATATTCCATCGAGCCGCCGTGATCGAGATTAAGAGTATGTGGAGATTTACGAGCCATACACCCATCCTGCAGCGTTTTTATCGATTTGGCAGTATGAATATGCTGGTATCGTTAGGCACCACTATCGCATACATTTCCTCCATCAGCCAGATGATCGCCGCGGCTGTGGATCGCCCTCACATGGTCAACGACGCGAATTTTTACTTTGACTCGGTGGTCTTTCTCACGTTTTTCTTGCTTTGGGGGAGATACATCGAGGCATACAGCAAATCGAAGACGGGAAACGCCGTGGAGGCCCTCAGCAAGCTTCGCCCTAGTACCGCTATACTGATTGAAGACATTACCGACAACCAGGAGACTTCCAAAGTTGTCGATGCCGATTTACTAGAGTTTGGCGACCTCGTCCGTATTCCTCACGGCGCTTCGCCTCCCTGTGATGGGAAGATCGTGCTGGGCGAGTCTACTTTCGATGAATCGAGCTTAACGGGAGAATCCCGCCCGGTGAAAAAGGTCGCTAATGACGACGTCTTCGCGGGTACTATCAATACGGGTTTCCCGATCTTAGTGCAAGTTACCGGCGCCGCTGGTCAATCGATGCTTGACCAGATCGTCAACATCATAAGAGAAGGCCAAACCAAGTCCGCGCCAATACAAAAATTGGCCGATCAGCTCACCGCATACTTCGTCCCGTTTATAACTTTTATCGCCATCGCCACTTGGCTGATTTGGTTATCCATTGGACTAGCTGGTGTCATCCCAGACCATTTTCTCGATGTATCGTCGGGGGGGTGGGTGGTATTTTCCCTACAGTTTGCTATTGCCGTATTTGTGGTCGCGTGCCCCTGTGGCCTTGCCCTCGCTGCTCCCACGGCGATCTTTGTCGGGGGTGGCCTGGCTGCTAAGAATGGTCTGCTAGTTAAAGGGGGTGGCGAGGCCTTCGAGAAAGCCAGTCGGATCGACTGTGTCGTCTTCGACAAGACGGGCACGCTCACCATGGGTGGCAACCCTACCATCACCGACTCCATGATCTTTCCTGAGCATGAACCCAGCGAGATGCAGCAGAGCACGTTGTTAGCTGCGTTACGCGCTATCGAGGAAAACAGCAGTCACCCCATTGCCAAAGCTATTGTCTCGTTTTGCAGCGCCCGGACACCCGAGCGTGTGGAAGTCACCAATGTGGAAGAGCTGCCTGGAAAGGGGTTGAAGGCGATGTACAGAGCAGGCTCTCCACCGGAGCTTTTCGACATCCTGGTCGGCAACGAGACGCTCATGCGGGATTTCGCCGTCGCCATCCCTCCCCCCATTGCCACGAGCCTGCAGACGTGGAAGACGGAGGCGAAGTCCGTCGCGCTCGTTGCCCTCAGAAACGCTAGCGAGTCTACTACTTCCTACAGCGTTGCGGCTGCCCTCTCGATTTCCGACAAAATACGACCCGAAACCCCGGCGGTAATCCAGGCTCTAAAAGCAGGCGGCACAGACGTGTGGATGCTATCAGGCGACAACGCGACAACGGCGCGAGCCGTCGCCCTGCGCATCGGGATCCCCGAATCCAACGTGATCGCCGAGGTGCTGCCCGCGCAGAAGCACGAGAAGATAAAGTGGCTGCAGTCGACGCTCAAAGCGCGCCGAGGCAACACCGTCGAACTAACCTCGCGCCGCGCAACCATCGCCATGGTCGGCGACGGCATCAACGACGCCCCCGCCCTCAGCACCGCGGACGTCGGCGTCGCCATGGGCTCCGGCAGCGACGTCGCCATCTTCTCCGCGGACTTCGTCCTCGTCAACAGCAACCTCGCCTCCGTCGTCGCCTTGCTCGATCTCAGCCGGCTGGTTTTCAACCGCATCAAGCTTAATTTCATCTGGGCGCTCGTGTATAACTTACTGGCGGTCCCCATCGCGGCAGGGTGTCTTTATCCATTGGTGGTGGGCGGGACGCATGTGCGGCTGCCGCCGGTGTGGGCGAGTCTGGCGATGGCGCTGAGTAGTATCAGTGTTGTGATGAGTAGTCTTGCGCTGAGGTGTGGGGTTAGGGGCGTGGGGTTTAGGGTTAGAGGGTTTGGTGGCGAGGGGAATGGGGAGAGGGAGGAGGGTGTATAGGGGGACATAGGGGTAGAAAATGTTGTTTAAGGAGATTTGGATTGGGACTTGGGACTTGGGCTTGGAATTTGGACTTGGGATAGGGGGTTGGTATATGGTAATCACGGGCTTGTACCTAGGGAATCAGGACTACCTACCTACCCAGGTATGTAGATTCGACGGGATCTCGGGAGTATGATAATACGGACAGATACCTAGGTACCTAGTAGGTATGGATCAAAAGTTTACCTACCTTGGCTGCCCAGTGTACTGGCTACGTAGGTACTTGGGAATTGTATATAGTTAGCGCTCAGGCAAATAGTTATTTTCTATGTTCCAACTTGAAAGCTTTTACGTTGAAAACTTCCAAATTTATCTAACCTAGGTATATGTATTGTATGGCTTGTGTGTTGCTTATAGGTACCTAATGAAAGGGCTTCAAAATGTGGGTTTGTAGAGCTTGGGATAGGAAAAGGGGGAGGTGTAAGGATGGGGAGGATAAGGGGGTGGTGAGGTCTTTGAGGTCGGTCGGTTTAGTGCCTACCTACCTAGCCTTGAACTCGTAAATGCTGAGGAATACCGGCTTAACCGGCGGGAGTTATCCTCCTTGATTTGAGAAGACAAGTTCCACGGGATTCATGACTTCCTTTCAAACTTACATAATGTGCCTCGAAGCAGCGAGTATATAGGTAGGTAGTAACTCGGAACTGGCACCTAGATTCAGTATATCATAGCTTTGGCCAGGTGGTTTGGTCTAGTGGTTAGTTACACGCATCTACCTAATAGGGGCTAATAGGGGTGAACACAAAGACCGCCCGAGTAATAAGCAAAAGCTTGAAATTTGGAGAAAGGTGGGTTTTCTCCAATTTATCCATCAATCAGAGCCATCGTCGCCGTCCTGTCCCTAATTCTCGGTAAAGATATAGCCGCCAAGCTCTCCTCCTACTAAGGTGCCTAGGGTACAGTAGCTCTAGACTTTGCACCTACTATGACGGGCTACTACTAAGGTTAGGTAGGTAGTTATGTCTTATTAGTGTAGGTAGGTGGTGTAGCCCCTCCATCGAGAACCCCACGATGTCGGACCTTGAAGGTGGGATGATGTTCTTTTGGTTATTGTGATATTGTTGATTAATACTATCTTCCCTTTTTATTTTTTTCCTCCTTTTTTTATTTTGTTTTTCCCCCTTACTATCTATCGTCTTCAAGAAGGTTTACCTAGACTAGCACCGTAATCAAAAATGCCCGAGATCACCATCACCGGCTGGACCACCCGCGACGTGCGGTTCCCCACGTCCCTGGACAAGACTGGGTCCGATGCCATGAACGCCGCTGGCGACTACTCCTCCGCCTACTGCATCCTCGAGACCGATTCCGAATTCACGGGCCATGGCATGGTAAACTCCCCTTTTTTACCTTTCCCTACCCTACCCTACCCTACCCTTTCCAGCTCACTCACACAACTCCTTAAAAGAGAGAGAGCACAAGCTAACGCACCCAACCACCAGACCTTCACCATCGGCCGCGGCAACGACATCGTCTGCGCCGCCATCCCCCACCTCGCCGCCCGGCTCAAGGGCCGCACCCTCGCCTCCCTCGTCGCCGACTGGTCCGCCACCTGGCGCCACCTCGTCGCCGACTCCCAGCTGCGGTGGATCGGCCCGGAGAAGGGGGTGATCCACCTCGCCCTCGGCGCCGTCGTCAACGCGCTCTGGGACCTGTGGGCCAAGACCCTGCGCAAGCCCGTGTGGCGCGTCGTCGCCGACATGACGCCCGAGGAGCTCGTCCGCTGCGTCGACTTCCGCTACATCACCGACGCCATCACGCCCGACGAGGCGCTCGCGCTGCTCAGGGGGGCCGCGGAGGGCGGGAAGAAGGAGGCGCGGCTCCAGGAGGCGCTGCGCAGCCGCGCGGTCCCGGCGTACACGACGAGCGCGGGGTGGCTGGGCTACGACGAGGCGAAGATGCGGCGGCTGCTGCAGGAGACGCTGGCGCGCGGGTACCGGCACTTCAAGCTCAAGGTCGGCGGCGCCCTGGAGCAGGACCAGCGGCGGCTGCGCATCGCGCGGGACGTCATCGGCTACGACCGCGGCAACGTGCTCATGGTCGACGCGAACCAGGTGTGGGGCGTGCCCGAGGCGATCGCGCACATGCGCCAGCTGGCGGCGTACAAGCCGTGGTTCATCGAGGAGCCCACGTCGCCGGACGACGTGCTGGGGCACAAGGCGATCCGGGACGCGCTGCAGCCCCTCGGCGTCGGCGTCGCCACCGGCGAGATGTGCCAGAACCGCGTGGTCTTCAAGCAGCTCATCGTGAGCGGCGCCATCGACGTGTGCCAGGTCGACGCGTGCCGGCTCGGCGGCGTCAACGAGGTGCTGGCCGTGCTGCTGATGGCCGCCAAGTACGGCGTCCCCGTCGTCCCCCACTCGGGCGGCGTCGGCCTGCCCGAGTACACGCAGCACCTCAGCACCATCGACTACGTCGCCGTCAGCGGCCGCCGCTCCGTGCTCGAGTACGTCGATCACCTGCACGAGCACTTCCTGCACCCCTCCGCCGTGAGCGAGGGGTACTACCAGACGCCCACACACCCCGGGTATAGTGTTGAGATGAAGCCGGAGAGCATGGACCGCTTCGAGTATCCCGGGAAGCCGGGGGTTAGCTGGTGGACCTCGGATGAGGCGAGGGTTATTTTGGATGGTGAGAAGATTTAGTAGTAGTAGTGTGTCTCATGCCTATGATGTATATATAATTTTTACGTGCCCACCTAGGTAAGTATCTAGGTACTTGGATAGGCTTGTAGGTTGGTAAAAGGGGTCATGACAAATGAATAGTAAAATACGGAACATGGCATAATATCCTCCCAAGCCTTGTTTGTTTCGTTGTTTTTGTATAGTGCCAGATGGTTAAGCCACTTACATCCATGTATGGCAGTTCTAAAGAGACCTAGGTAGACTGGGTTAAGGAGCTCAAGTAGAAAGATCTGCCAGGTAGCTATAATATACCTAGTACATATCACCGTAGAGTAAATAGGTATCAAGGTCAATAATTATTATATAGTTCAGTATCACTTCTGATTACTATATAGATAAAAGTTCGCCGTACCTATGAATTCGGCATTCACACTTCAAGACTTCCAAGATACCTAGGTAATGTTTGATGTTAATGTTCAACCTGGATGGTCCCTCTCAAAGAAGTATCCCATCACAAACTATGTTTGTCTACGGCAACTAAACTCATTCTCAAAGCCGTTTCGTCTTCATCCATTCGTTTGTCCCCAGTCCCAAGTTCAAGCCATTCTTAGCCCACCACTTGCGAACCGGTCTTGGGTCTCCAATGGCATCCTCGAGCGCCTCTTCGATATCACATGTCTTGTATTCGACCCGGTGCGTTCTCCCGTCACCTTCGTGCTCTCCGCGAGCATACCGCTTCCACCACTCCAGCACCTCGACGTAGCCCTGCTTTGTCGGTGCCACCAGGACCTGGGAATCGAACGACAACTTATCCCCCTTGAGCTCCCGCCATACGTCTAGTACAGCCGTCTGTCCATGGGCGCTAGCAATCTTGCAAACGCCTTCGCTGTTCGCTGCGGGGATACCCGAGGACTCCCACCAGCGGAGTACTGCTGTCTGCCCCTGTTGAGCTGCAGTCAGAAGACTCCGCCCGGGTTTTAATAGGATATTGTCGTGTTTCAATGCTGCGTCTCTCCACCACTCCAAGACAAGGAGATGCCCCTTTGCTGAAGCTGACTCGAGTGCTGTTTCGGTATACTTGAGCGTCAGACCTGAACGCAACCACCAGTCTAAAACATGAACGTAGCCCATGCGAGAAGCGTTATCTAATGCTTCCGCGTCGTATTCCTTTTTCAAGAACGATGGAGAGGTGTTCCACCAATCGAGAATATCGGTGCGACCATACACTCCAGACGCCTTGTTAGGGAGTAATTTGGAGCTAAATGATGCCCAAAAGACTTTGCTGAGATTAGCTTCCAGGTAAGTAAGAACGCTGGTCAATGAGAATTTGATGATGAGTTTGACTGCTAAATAAGAGACATAGCGGAGTGTTTTGGGTGCCTCGGAAAGTTTTTGACAGATAGCTGCCGACCCCTGGCATGATAGTATCAGCCATTCAAGGTCATGCATGTATAGTTCGAGGGGGTCTTTCAAGGTCGAACGATCAGTCCTCCACTCTGGTGGTATTTTCAAGGTGGTATATACGTTGAGGGCTGTGGCAACTTCCCAATCCCCAACATGTTCGAATATGAGAGTCCATATCTCTGGCGGCAACGTTTTTGTAGACCGGCTCGCGGTTGTAGTGAGCATGGCTTGCTGTGTGGCAACTTCGACATCGTGCCCAAGACTCATAAGCTCCGCTTGATTTTTTATGATACCGACAAGATCGTTGAAGCCTTCCCAGGACACCGTACGCTTATATGCACTCTGTCCTTCATAATGCCATAATACGGGCGCCATGACTTTGACCCAGTTCCACTTGCGCTTAATCTTGCTCAACTGCTTCTTCGTCATGGGATTTTCCCACATCTGTATCGACATGCCCGGCACCAACAAGATCTTCTTGGAAACATCCCAAGCTCTCAGTATCTCCAAGAGGGTAGTATCGGCAACGCCTGACATCATTTTGGCAAGATGGTCGGCATCGATGGGCGCTAGGACGAGTAGGTCAGCCCAGTCGACCAACTCGAAGGCCGTCTGTCTAGCCGATTCTATGGCGTCTCTTGTCCTCAGACCGGCATCGATGGCCAACGTGGCTAAACTTCTGTTTTCCATCACGATAATATCGTGTGTTAATCGTGTGGGAATCTCATCGACGAGAGCTCGAGTTTCGATTTGCGAGTCCTTAAGTAGGCGTATGGCGATGGCCTGGGCATAGGCGACATCGCGCTGGCCATTTGCTGCTACGAGCAGCCGGAGTCTTCTGGTGCGCGGCATCTCGTGAAAGGAGGAGCAGGATGAGTTGGTGGTGAGAGGAACGGGAAAGGGATGTCGAGGATGAGGAGAAAGAGGCGTGGAGTCGGTAAAAGTATTATCAGCCATCCTGACGCATGATGACGGTGGAGGATTTAAAACAAGCAATGTTATGGTGGGCTGTTTTTCGGGCACCAATGCGTTCAGCGAGATAGTATCGCAATGGTGTTTGGATCAGGGTTAGAGCGCGCGGACACGTAGGTGAGTTTTGGCGATGATCTTAATCATCCAAAGACACTCGGGCTTATCCCTGAGTTAGAAAACACAGGTGCAACTAGCAAATGCAAGTCAGAGAGGGCCAAATACAGTTGTATATCGTATATCGCGATGAGCGTTAAAATCGCAAAGTGTAGATACTGTATTTGATCTATTTGATCTGAGGATTCGCCCCACGCCAAGTGGAAAATGTAGGCGCTAAAAAGATGACGGACTCGATGAACTCCGTGAACAAGAGAAGTTAATTGGAGTGGCGTTCTTGAACCAAGCCTTTGTTGTCGAATAGCCTACACTGGCATATGTAGGTAGGTAGTCTGTTATTGTCACAATGTAGGTAAATAAGTGTCGGTGAAGGAAGAAGTGGTACTATCGGACAGTGATAATATTTTCTACTTCTTCTGGGTCAAAAAGTTCATTTCCATGTATGATTTAATCGATAACTTTTAAGTCCCTGTTTGTCTGCATAGGTGCATACCAGCTACCTGTGTATGTCCAAGTTGCAATGACGCTGGATTGGATTAAATACTAGGTTACTAGGTACTCCACCTCTGCACCGCGCCATTGCCTCAAAGTTTAAACATCAAGAGTGGGGTCCACTAATATACCTACATAACTATGTAGGTTTGAAATCATCCAACACGCAGGTACAAATCACAGCTACTAACCTGGGCACCTACCCACTACCTAGTACCTAGGTCCTAGTATGCAATAGCGGTATCATAAGTATAAGTCCATGCATATTATCTTAGCATGTCTACACCCTCCCCATCCCCTATTCACTAATCGACACTAGCAGACACTCACAAGTTCGCAGTAGACCTCTCAAGAGCTATATCCTAACGATTTGTGACTGAAGTAGTAGTAATAGTAATAGTAATAGTAGTAATTTCCAGGTCCCAACCCCTCAAGTAAGAGGCACCCTTTCAATGTTTCTTTCTTTTCCGCCTCCGTCGCTTGCATAAATCCCCCATGATTCCTACCCTACAACGAGCATTGGACAAAGCAACATCTCAATATCCTAGGTTGGCTAAGTTGCGTAAGTTAACCAGGTATAGACAACAGGAAAACCAGATGGCAGCACCAGTTGTTGAGATGCGCCATGATGAAAGTAGAGTATTAGATAATGCAGGGCTATGATGTGTGAAACCCCCATCTTCATATATGCCATAAGGGGGGGGAACAGATGATGCTGAAGAAACGCAATACAAACGCCGTCAAAATTTTGCTTGCCTAAAATTCGGGTGCTAACGCAATCCAATTACACTCATCTCGAGTGTCCACACTCTCCGAATCCAGACCTTGAGGGGGCCATCTACACCCTCCACGTCCTTCAAATCCACACCCTCCCACCAGCAACGTCGCGCCGGCTTTCTCCAGAAGAGCAAGAGCTTTTGTGCCATGCCAACAGCATTGTTTCCCATCTCATTGCCGCGAATATCGCTCCGCAGCCGGGCAAGAGCCAGACTGCATACGACGGCTTTATTAGGCTCGCCTGCACGATGACCCCACCTATCGTCATGGTTGAAACCACTATATAAATTGTCAGAAATGAGCCATTCGCAAACTAAGAAACCCCCAGTTCTTAATGAAAGGATAAGTTACTTACCCTGCTGTAAGCATTTCGATCAAATGTGCCTCGGTGGTTCCAGGCTCGTCGCTTCGTTTCAAGCCGGAAAAGATCCCATCCTGCCTGAGTAAAGCTCGAGCGGCGGCTCGCTTAACTTCGATCATCTCGGCTTGGCTGATGTTCGCCTTGGGAGGAATTGCATAGAAATCCAGGTCCTCGCGCAGGACAATGATACCAGCTCTCTTGCTTCCATCTTCACCCCGACCACCAAGCGAGTCCATGGCAACAGCTCCGCCATCTGGTGAGGCACTTGGGGAAGATTCGGTGGGGATAGATTGAGCTACGTTTCGGAAGAAATCCAGCATATATTGCAGAGATGCAGGGTCATACTGGGATGTGAAGTCAGTGATATGTATATTTATATTGGAGACAAGATTGCGGAGGGTAGAGGAACGAGGAAAGCCGTTGTTCATATTAGTGGCAGCCTCTGTGTTCGCCAAGCTTGAACTAATTGGGGTGGCTTGGGTAATAGGAGTTTCATCAAGTTTACTGACATCGACTTGCACGGCATCGCCCTCAGCAAACCCGCCCATGTGGCCCTCAGGGAAAAGCCCATTGGGGAACAGGGAGAGAAGAACAAATTCAGGTAGCGTCAGCAGCTCATCTCTTGAAAGGACGAAGCGCGTACCGCTGCATGATGGATTCGATTAGCATATATACAATAAAACTTGAGTATCAAGAAATACCTACCGCAGGTCCATGGTTATCGTTTCATCGGCTCCGACATCTACACACTAGGTTTTAACGTCTTTCTCTACACATAAATGGCACCACTCTTCTTTAGGGGTGATGCTTACCTCCAATGGAATTGATAGGAGGTCCTCCTTGTTGAACTTGAGTAATAATACTCGATGCACCACCGGCGGCCGCCATTAGATAGGTGAATGAGAGAAGTGGACTATATCCTTCAGAATATGCGGGAGGGGGTTCGCTTGGATCGTCACTCTTCTGACCAGTCTCGCCCTTGACGTCTTGGGGAAGGGCACGTTTGGTTGCCGCGACAGTTTCTTCGAATGAACCAGAGCTCTCGAGTGGGCTTTCGGATCCTAAGACTACAGGTGCGTAGGCTGGGGCGGCAGTTGCAGATGAGGCTGCAGCTTCAGAGGTAGGACCGCAGGTAGTTGGCGCAAGGCTGAAATGGTCGTCTACAGCGTATAGACTCGAAAATGGGGGCGGTGCGGGGCGAGAGGTGGCAAGCGAGAAGGAAGTCGAGGCTGAGGCTTCGGAAGCCGAGTAGGGATATTGAGGAGGAGGTGAGTGTGCTCGGCTGAGATTGTCTACCTCGTCTACCTCGTGACTCTCAAACTTCAGGTTTCCTGGTCCCCGTGCTTCTTCAAAGCGAGTTAGTGAGGGCCCGGCGGACACGGACTGTCCGTTACTATCCTCCTGCGACTCAGACAACGTGGCGGTATAGGTAACTGGCAATACTGGAACAGGGAAGTTCTATATGAAGCGTGCGCTGCTGATCTTATCACGACGTGACGGAGGGATGGTTTCCGCCAATTCGATTATGAACAACGACTGCTGCTAGGCTACTTTGTTTGTCGCATGGGAGTGATTTGGGCAATATTGGGGTTTTAGATTCGGACGATGACCATCGCACGTGTTGGTGTACAAGTGTGAGAGGACTTAAGTGTATAGAGATAGTTGGGATTCTGGAAATTAGGTATGGAGTTGGTTGAATCTGGGAATCTACCTACCTAGTTGCAGGTTGCAACTGCACTTTATTACAGCCCTTGCCGTTATGGTCTCGACTTCCTTGGGTTACCTAATTTCATCAGGTTCTAGCGAACCACCCCTGAAGATAGAAGGTACAGATGGGTGATATTGGATGTATCCCAAGCACTTATTTGGCCGAGAAGGTACACACGGCGCATTATTATTACATGTACCTGCCTAATGTTCAACGTTAGTGCCTGGGAGCCGCTTCAGTGTTCTACCTATTACCTAAAGGCACAAGCGCTGGTGACTGGTGGGCTAACCGCCAAATCCTCTCCAATCAGTCTACTATGCCGTACCTAGGGTAATTTTAATCCAATAACATCCACTTTGTAACGGCATCGATTGATCACCTTACATGAAGGCATACATTACACATTACCCTACCTAGATAGACATGCAAAGTACTACGCCGTATTGATTTCGTAACTCATGTCGTTTCACAATTCCACTAAGCAGCATGCTGTCTGCAATAATATTCAATAATATTTGAGATGCTTTTTTTCAATATTGTTATGATCTCCTTTCTATAGTACCATGGACTACATCTTGAAGCCAATCTTAATAGAAATAACATGCAAGTTATTGGCCAAATAAATAGAATTGACTTTGTCTGTGAATTGACCCTTTTTAGGAGTACTTACTCAAATGATAGCCATCATGATGAAGGCCTCCTAATAGCTATAGCTGACCTGTCCATTGAGTACCTATGTGTGATACACTACTAGGTACTTGGTAGGCAGTGATCCTTAACTCATCACAGTCGCATCTCAGAATGTATCTTAAGACTAGTTCAGAGCTGAATCCCATATAATCTCAGTAATATATACTGGCGTCTTTCAAAACGATGAGGGCTACAGGTAATAAGTTGATATTACACCTTAGGTAAATAGGTAAGCAGGTAACCGTTGTAAGATATCACATTGATTTTCGTAGTGGCTCTTGTAGCTATAGAATTCAGGTTACTCTCCAGGGCTGCCATTTTCTTTTTCATTGACCAGTAGTCCTACCGAATCAGTATCCCCATCTACTTGTGAACGCCGGGCTTCGTCAGTCATCCTCAACCCCGTCATCAATACACCTCCCATACGACGGGCTTAGTGACTATTCTTCCATGGTCTTAACACACTCCCACTCACCCCGCAGGTTCTCTTTCCATAACGAAACCTTGTTGTCGCCGCCGCTAACGGCCAACACGTTCCCGCTCAAGCTCCAGCTAACCCGCCAGACCTCAGCCTCGAAGTTCAGGACTTTGCAAGACCACTGGCCTTGGCTCGTATTGTCGCTCGTCCAAATTCGTACCGTCTTGTCTTGTGACGCCGACGCGATGTAGCTCTTTTGCAATACTGTCGGGCTCCATGCCACGTCTCGCACCCAATCCGTGTGGCCTGCTAGAGGCTCCCTCTCTTGCTTGTAGCCCTGACTAGCAGGATCATAAGCCCACAACTTTAGCACATTGTCGCAGCCTCCCGTGACAAAGCGACGTTGGCCAAGAGCACCAGGTCCTGATGGTGCCGAAGAAACGATACTGCCAGGTGTTGTCGCAGGTGCCCAGGAAACCGAGTTCACACCAAGGCCATGCGCCGGGAAGGAGACATGAGAAAAGTTGTTGTCCTTAAACTCGAGAACGGAAACGTTTCCGTCGGATGAGGCGCAGGCAAGGAGGCAGCCAGATTCGTGGGGTGACCATGCGACCATGTTCACCGAGGCCTTGTGGAGGGCAAAATCGAAGATTCTTTGCCATTGGTTGGACTGCTCGCGCCAAATAAAGACCTTGCCGTCGTAGCCTGCCGAAGCAAGAATGTTGCCGTATTTAGGGTGCGCCCACGAAACACACCAGACCGCACCTTCGTGACTATAACCATGATTATTAGGATGATTGTGGTTTTAGGTGGCAATAAAGTCATTCGTACCCTTTTAATGTTTCTGTGAGTCGTTGAGACTCGCCTTCTATCTCGAAAATCTTGATCGTCTTATCCGAGGAACATGTTGCGAGCCGTCGGCCGTAGTAGTCAAGAACGGCATCGTGCTAGTAAGCGTTAGTGGCGACTTCAAGAAGAACTCTGAGGTCGAGATTTGAAGGTGTAGCTGCAGCTGTCGAGAAATAGAGGTCGGAATATGGTCAATTTGGTCGGGGTTCTACATACAATCATGTCGTCGTGACCAGAGTTGGTTATTACTTGCGCCTGTAGTTGACGAAGGTTAGCAAAGCCAAAGTTACCAGTTATACGTTATAGCGGCTTACCATCTTGTAAAGAAGTAGTGGTAGAGTATGAACTTGTGAGGACGTCTGGTATCTGTAATGTATGAATACCAAGGTGGTTACGCTGGCGAAAAAAGGTCAATTCGGCTTGTCCCTTCAAGTTGGCAGCTCAGGCAAGCAAGTCTAAAGCTCACAAATGTGTACAGTTCCAGATTCAATTCTCAGCAATGGCAATGATCAATGGCATGGGTGCATTACTAGGTACATAGGTACTGTAGGTAGGTATGTACTAGGTACCTAGTAGTTACTTGTTAGTGATGCGAATCAGTCCAGATTGCATGAAAGCTTAACCCCTGTGCAAGTACCTTGATTACATACTGTACGCGACATTCTGAACTGTCAGCTGTCAGCTGTCAACTACCGCCCACAGGTGGCACAACGCTGAAGGTTCAACATTGATACTACTAGGTACTGCCGTACTACTAGTAGTACTTGCGCAGGCATCAGTATCTACATCCTTGTAACTACATATATCTACCGTTATATACAATAAATTGACATCATTCGGCTGGTCAAAGTCGGCTCACATACTGCCGAGGCTAAAATGACCGAGACTGGCGACTTAGTTAATTGCGATTCATTTTGTTCGCATGTGTGAACATTTTACCTTTACACATCCAACACCGTCATCCGTCTTGCTTTCTTTTCTTTCTTTCAATCCATTAACCACATTTTTAATAACCTTCGTGTACCTTTTATTTACCTCCACAGCAGCCTGATTTCTCCAGGTTAGCTGTTTACTTGGACTACCCACGCGACCGCGCGCAACGGTACTCAATTCACGGACGACTTCCATTATTTAATTTGCGACCATTTCTTTGTCGCCCACCTTCCACTCTTCACCTTTCACCTTCCACCCTAATATTTCATTACATCCTCCTCCGAAAATCACAACACCGTTACAAACCCTAACTTAATTCAATTGCTATCCGCCATCATGTCGGACAATATGTGCGGCCCATCCAATGCCGCCAAAGGTCTATCCAACCACCTCGACAACGACCGCTCCCTGCAGCAGGATCGCTTTACTTCTGCCAGCCGTGCCCCCTCGCAGGTTTGTTCCGACACTGATTCGCCTTGCTGAATTTTATCCTAATCTTGACACAGGGCTTTCGTACTCGACCCGCAAACGGCTCTGCCGATGGAGAGCAGTCATTCCACAATTGGGCTACGTCTAGCAGTCGACTCAACCTCCCTGGCTACTCTCAGCAGCCACTAACGCCTCCCGTTCACAATACCTACGTCGAATATATGTCTAATAGGTCCCAATCTGCCAATAATGTGACCTCAAACCAAAACCACGTTATGAACCATGGTGTGGGACGTGTCTCGAGTGGAGCTGCTGCAATCGGAGCATCAACCTTGGTTCAAGACTTCAACCAAATGCGCCTAAATGGAGGCTTCACTCGCGCGACACAGAATAGCTCTTTTACTCCAATGGGCCTGAATGGAAGCTTCAGTGCCGCGGTCCCGCATCGACATGCCGGACAGATGCACCAACCCGCCCCTGCGAGTTCCATGCGCTACACCACGGGTATGGCCCTGGCCCCTTTGTATTTTGAGCCACCAGCATCATCATTGCATATACCTGGGGAGCGTATCTTGTCTACATCTCCACAGAACAATGTCAATGAAGACTTCGACTTCGACTCTGAGCTGCAGTCTTGGATGGCACATCAAGGAGTTCAAGCTGAAACCCGCGAGGAACCCAGCGCCGCTGTCAGAGATAACGGGTTGGAGGAACCCAACATGGCCCCGCCAGAGTACCGTTCATCTATTAATCACCAAGAGCAGGAGGCTGCTCCAGTTGCTACCGAAGCCAGCGCTCAGCAGACCAACGACTCGGAGCTTGCCGTCGCCGCGCAAAAGATTCTTGATTCTGTCTCGGGCAACCAGAATGAGAAGTTTAAGAGTTCTGAATTCTTGAATATGATGCGAAAACTCGCGTCGATGGAGATAGTTGTCCGAGACAATTCTCTGGTGGAGACTTCCCAGCAATCCCAGGAGGGAGTGGCTGCGTCATCCCGAGCAGCCCGCGGTCCCCAGCGTGGCCCAGCTGGCCAGGTCCCCTTGGCTTCGTCACGCGCACATCCTACTGTACCCGTCCAGAGCGTGATGCCCGAATAGAACCCGGATCGACGTCGCCGAGTACAGCAGCTTCAACGCCAAATTCAACGCCGCATACAGGGTCCGGCCGCTTGGCGTCGCCGCCTTTTCACGTTGGGATCTCGAATTCGACGCTCGCGTATCAGACCTACTGGCGGTCTTGTCAACCCCCGACCAACCAAAGTCGTCATCAAGACTGGCCAGGATGTTCGCATCGGTTGAGCAAGATATTCGAATATCACCATAATTTATTATATGGGATAGCCGACACTTCGCTGCCGGGATGTAGAAGCTCAGCTCAGATTACACACGATAGCTACGCATATCAATGGTTCATATTGACCCATACTAAGGTTGGGTAGTGAGTGAATAGGGCAGTTGAAATTGGAATTCTCGTCAGAATCCGCTGATTTGCCTAGAATGAGGTAATTGAAAGATGGAGGGAAGTCGAGGAAGTAATAGGAGCTACTATGAACTACGTTGATGGCAAAGTACATATGTGCTTTGCGATTGTCTAATAAGTCACTGTGAAGGCCATCATGTAATGTGTCTAGGCCTTTTGATACAAAACTTGTCTTGAAACGATACCATGTTATAATAGTTTCTGATGCAAAATTGATGTTTCCATATCATTCCACACTGATTCTCGTAGTCGCACAGATAGGCTGCTGCCCTATGTATGAGTAACCCTAATCCTGCCTCCTACATACCGTAGAAGACACATATTCGTAACCTCAACGCGCAATTGCGACGTATATCAAAAGGGGGGGTTCGAGATGGAAGTAGGTAAATCAAGATTCGACAGTAGGTGCCTAATTAGCACATACGTATGCTGACGCAGTCCTGTCGACTGCCTACCACCACCTACTTACTACCTAACCTTACATAGGTTACTTCCAAGTTGCCTACTTACATACCCACGTGCTCACCTATGTAGGTACTTTTTCTATCATCTACATACTACCTCGTCTCTGGGGAAAAGGTATCAATCATTCCGTTTCATTCGAGCTGTATGTAAACTTCCCATCGCGCAAAGGCGCATGCGAGTACCTAACACATACATAAGCACATTTCTAAGCTACATATGTAGCACAGTGCAACAGGGGAAACGAGAATGGAGAAGGGAGGAAGGGGAATCATCAGCCCGGGACGCAGCCTTGCGTCCGTTATACCTACACACTTCGAATGTCCGGGTTCCGGCGTAGTACGGCGTACTACGCCGGAACCTATAAATTATGTGTTTACCTACCTACCTCCTACATATGTGTATCGACATACCTACTGGGTTCTAGTTACGTATTACATGATTTACATCAATGTAGGTAGGTAGGTAGGTGTAAGCCAACTGGGTAAATAGCGGTTGAAAGGACGGATCTATGTGTGTGGTAAGAGAAGGCGTCCAATCGAGAGGTCCGCGGACGTGACCGGCGGTAAGGCAGGTAGGTAGGTAGATAGATCAACTACTTCTTTTTTTCAGCCACGCGGCTACTACATATGTCGACGTTGGTTCCAATACATACTATGTCTACCTACCTATATACAGGCAATTTCTAGATTCGTCGGCGTTGTATACTATAATGCAGCTAGCTGTAGAAGTGCTTCTCTAAGCCCCCCCCCCTGTGCTTCCTACATACCTACAGTACATACATAATGCATCACGTACTTTACTTCTCTTGGCCAGCTCTCGCGTCCTGGTTTGCCTGCTTGCCAAGTAACATTGAAAATCGGTAGTTTTTTGGGGAGGGTGATTATTAATGCGAATCTAGGCACATGGAAATTTGGCGGGCGGGTTTGCGTGCGCGCTTTCTTGCAGGTACATAGGTATGCGCTGCGTACAGCATTGAGGGCCGTAAGAACAGACTTACATACCAACCCCCATCAGAGATAGATACTAGATAGATACGTACGTAATTCCAAGATGCACGCGCGCAGAGTTTGGGGTCCCCAAGGATTTAGACATGGATGTATGTGTATGTACTAGGTTAGTTAGGTCCAGCTGACAAAAGCTTCAGAACAAGCTGCAGCATGATGCCGTAGCCGGGGGGAGGTTGACACGGAAATGTAAGTCGTAGGGCGTGGACTCGGTTTATGAACTAGGGAAATTCCCCACGACTGTGCATTACCTTAACCAAGGTAGGATACATTAATCAGCAGCATTTTAAACGTAGTTATTAACGAAGACACAAAAGGGTAACATCGAAAGCGGCGTAAGCAAGCCCGCGGAAGTCTGCTGATGAACGCTAAAGCGGCTCTGAGGATTTGTGAGTGGGTTTAGGTCGTTGGATTCTGTGTTGAGCTAATAACATGTAAGTAAGCTACTGACCTAGGTACTGTTAGCTATTCACAATACCTACAAAAGGCAACGTGGTCTCATAAAGAGCAATCTCAAACACCCGAATAAGAAATGATATAATGCGAACTCGAAAAAGAACAGAGAGAGCGGTGGATTGGGAAGTTCTATGATGCAGGACGCAGGGGGGCCTGCGTGGTATAGGGCTGATAGGACATGCTGCTCTGGCGACATCTGCGAATAGCATCTTACAGCAGGAACTGCGATGAATTTATTTGCGATCCTGCGCAACTTAAACGGGGCCTGGCTGAGGAGCCGGCAGCCTATCGCAGCCTATCGAAGTTGGCAAGCAGCGGCGCAAAGAGGACTGCGCCCTGGTTCCGATACCCACTGATGCGCACCGATATGCGAGTTTACTATGCTACATACATAGTAGTGGAGATGAGCATGCAGAGTCGAGGTCCTGTTATGTAGTGCATGCGCCTACATGCGTGTTAATCTACATGTATTGTACAATACATATGTAGTCCAAGTCCCAGGACTCCAGCGGGATTAATGGAGGGAAATATTGAATTTGCACATGTAAGCCGGTAGTTATTCCGTGCCGTATTGTACAAAGGGCGGGATACAGGCGACGGAGCAGAGCCGCTTTTATGTAGTTTCATACTGGAACAATAAAAAACGGCAGGACACAGCGAATACATGTATGTACGCACATTCATGGATACCTACGGTAGCTTAGGGTTTAGAGATCAAGGATCCCAAGTCAAGGGCAACGCACCGTCGTACCTACCTACTACAGATTGTAGCCTACAAATTACAATATATGTAGGCATGTACCCAGACAATGGCAGACATACATTAAATGTAGGTAAGTAGTACTGGGATAGATGACTCACAACCCGATCTACAGTTACAGGGCTAGGAAATTGCAGAGAATTGACCGATCCGATTGAATGGATTCGAACTTTTCTTCTTGTCAGATCCATGTCTTGCTCTGAATTGAGTTTTGGATTCCGCACCAAATGAGGCATTGTAGTGCTTTCCTCTTTTTTTTTTCTGGCAACGTCTTTTCCGTCTTTGTGGGGTTAAAAAAAAAGTTCGAGCATGGTAAATTGATTTTCTCGATGCGCGTTGCCCACGAACCCACGCACGCACCCGCGTAATTGGGTTGACGACATGTGCCAAGCATTCTACCACCTACGTATGTAATAAACTTGCAACATGTCTACGGGTCAGTTGCCTACTATATTCTAGGCACCCATCAGTTAGTTTAGCCAGCAATATGTAGGCAAGTGCCTATGAACATTGATGGTATGTAAGTATGAAATTCTTGAGAATACGAGTTTCGTCTTTGTGCAATTCTGCGCATTGCATCCACAGAGCAAATGGGTGTTTCTCAATTGCAAAAGTACACAGTTGGACAGTTTCATAGGAGGCAGTGAGATGCTTACTTACCTATCACATTTACCCACCTAGGTACACATCTACCTACACAGCCGCCACTATCGCGATCCGCTAATGAAACATCAAGGGTATTGAATTGGATGTTGAGTTCAAGGTTTAAGACCAATGAACACATATACCACATTTACATATATGATATATCTATCCTTACATCCCTAGATAGTATCATCACTGTTCCTGGCAAGAATGAGAATTTTGATGTGTAGTTAGTGTAATTCAAAAAAGAAAAAGACTGCAACTAACAACTTTGAAGTTTGAACTAATACTTGATATATCCTTACCAAATTAACCGAAGCTATCAAATATACCAAACTGGGTAAAGTACGTACTACGCCTCCATTGTTTTTCAACACCGGTGAACATCACGAGGGAGAAAGTCTCTCTTTAGGCCACTTTCCTCATTTAGCTGGCCGAGCCTAGCCAATCACATTCGTTTACAGCCAGAGAAGCTATCGTAATCCATCACAAGCCGTAACTTCGACAGGATTAGCGTCTTGGCGATGCAAGCCCTAAAGACCGACAGGTCGGACAAAGAGAGCTTTGATGAGAACCCAGATTTGGAAACGGTGTTAGCATCTTCAGGTCCGAAACTTCAACTCCAACGGTGATAAGATTCGATGTTTAAAAAGATGAGAACTATTTTTGAAAGAAACGTCAGATGCATACCTGGACATGATTATAGACCAAGTATTCGCAAAGTGTTGCGACATCGCATCGTGCATGTTGAAGATTAATAATAACATAACCCACTGCTACACACCGTTTTCTGCACTAAAAGACTCTACTACTAGGTACATAGGTACAGTACTATCCGCGCATGCTTCATACATACGGAAGAAGGCTGTGTGTTAGAAGGAGCATTGGTGCAAGGATTATTTCATGTAGTTCAAAACGGAATTATGGGCCACTAAGTGTGAGTCATACCTCTCTCCCCAAGCAGAAGGGGGGTTTGATTTTGTACCCGCCTAACTGTTTCAGCAGCCGGCTTGCACTGGAATTGGCGTACATTACCTTACAATCAATATTGTTAGTGGTTAGCAAGTAACTGTAAGACGACCTAGAAGAGGAATACAACCCGTGCGGTCCGCCTACCGTTTGAACATTTTGGCTGTATTGTATGTGAATGCCTAGGTACCTATGTACCCAGACCCAAGGTTTTTAGTTCCCCGCGACAAGTAATTGTTGCCTGAAAAAAAATACTAAAGTCGCCCACTCCCACCGAATTCAGGCACAAAATTTTAACTTTCCTCCTCTCTTCTTTTTTTTTATTCTCACTACAACCTCTTTACAATTCATACACATACAATCAATCAAAGTAGTTACAAATAAAGACATCACCCAAGATGCGCTAAGTTAACTTGACCTCGTGTCTCTCTTCTTTCCCATGTGCTCCCAGTAGCCAACGGTCAAAATTCAGTCCCCAAGTAACAACGACTTTATCCCCACTCAACCCTTTCTTTCAGCTCTCCCTCTCCAGGAAGACCTGAACTTCAACGAAGCTATTCTCAGCTCTCTACAGAGTTCTCGCAACCCAGCAACCATTCCCCCTCAAGACTTCCCAGTCTTCACCACGGATTCCCAACAGTCAACATGGCTTCCCTCCAGTTCACCACGCCAGCCGGCACAATCCGCGCAATCCAACTTCCCACCCCTACAACAGGACTTTGTCTTGTTCGACCAACAACCAACCCCCCAGAGACAGAACGTTAACCGCACTGTATCCGCGCCTGTCACAGCAGCAGCAGCCTTTGGATCTCTACACGCCAATCGTCATCACCCGTCGTCGCATTCCACTAGCGGTTCCGTATCGCCGTCTATTCAGAACCAACGAGTGAGCCAGATTATCCGGGCAACAGGGCATCAGACTTCTCCCTCTACGGCTTTTACCAATCGGTTTAATTCTTCTGCGCAAAATCAGAGTTTACAACAGTTTTACGCACCCCTTTCTTCTACTTCAGTGAGCCAGCAGCAGACTCGACCTGTTCGACCACCTGTGCCACTTTTCACGAACGGCATTGGGAAGCAGCAAAACTCGGCCAATATGGATCTTCAAGGTATTTCAACCAGCACATCTTTGCCAAGTGATTCACTTATCTCATACATTCCAGACGCTCTCAGTTTCGAAGACTTCACCCCCTTCGAGGGTGGAGCCACCACGGCTTACTCTTCCCCCGGAATCCCTGGCTATGATATGAATGTGAGCTCCGGTTCGGACTCCGTCAGCAACTTGAGCACAGTGTCGCCCTCGGACCTGTTCCTACAGGATCACTTCACATCTGCGCCAAATTCCAGTGCCATCACGAACTTGACATCGCCTTCCATGTATGGCGAGTCTCCAGACCTTCACGATAGTTACGAGGTGTCCCCCAACTACGGCGGTAGCGACTTTGACCACGGCTCGAGGGACAACTGGTATTCCTTGTTCCCTGACCAGAACGCGGTTTCCGATCCCACTCCTACCCCAGCCAGCAAGGCCGAAGTATCGCCAACGCTGGAGTCGGATGACTTCGAAGAGGCTGAAACTACTACAACTCAGTCTCGTCGCAAGTCCAGCCACGGCAAAGGGTCACCCAGCAACAAGCCCTCTTCTGTCGCTGGTGTGAACCCTCGTCGTCGGGATAAGCCTCTTCCTCCGATTGTCGTTGAAGATCCTCATGACCCTGTTCTCATGAAGCGCGCTCGCAACACGCTGGCAGCTCGTAAGTCACGTGAGCGAAAAGCAATGCGATTTGAGGAGCTGGAGGCCAGGATCACAAAACTAGAAGAAGAACGTGATTATTGGAAGAACAAAGCCCTTTCAAAAACCGGTTGATTTGGTTACATCATGGGATGTATTTATTGCGCGGACCGAACTGGGGGGTAGCCCCAACAACGGTCAGCCATTCCTATTCTATGGAAGCAGTGGTAACCGATATGATTTTACGAGTGTAGTCAGTCGATGATGCTACTTGCCTTTTATCATATATTATTAGGAGGTTTTCGAATCATTTCATTTTCAAGAGTATTTCACGGTCCCAGTATTATTAGGGCGACCAAAAACCGGGGTGGGCAGGATTTCCTATTTTCGTTGTCTTTTAAGGTAGTTAGCATATACCCTTCCCGTTCTTCTACGGGCCGGGAATCAATGAACCCATTCAACTGAGAAGAGATTATATTATCGTACATCTGTGTCGTTCTGTGTCGTGTTCTGTGACATGAACCACCGAAGTCCCATTCCCTTCATGCTTGTTGGTAGCTGAATGCTAGCCCTAGCCTTCCAATTAGGTTCCATGTTTCCCATATAGGTTACTTTATGTTGTTCATCTCAACTTTGCTAACGTCTTAGGTCAGTACCTAGTTAGGGGCATAGCTTGACTCAGCTCAAACGGTGTGCCTTTGCTGTGAGCCTTATGTTGTGCGCTTTAATATTCGTGAATGTTTTACCGGATTGCGATGACTGCTGATGCCAAACCCAATTCAGTCACTCTATATGTCTATAGGTATATTGTGGTGTATGCGATGTCTTGGTGTGAATGGAGACACGGGTTCTTAGGTATAAAGGTAGGATATAAGGTACCGGGTTAGGCTGGACTGCGTCCTTTTCTTCTCTTTCCCAAAGACGTGACATGCTGGGTTTGGGGTGCGTGTACGTCGTGAGTGGAGGTTGCTGCATTTTTTCTGTTTTGTGTGGGTGTTGGAACTCATGTTATAGGTTGTGTTGTGATTGTTCAGCATGGCTATCTAAGTAACATGTTCAAGTAGAGTATAGTCTTTTCGTCAAAAGCACAAACAAAAAGTATACTGGGTAATCTGAGGGCATACAAGCGTGTTGGGTGTAGAGAAATACTGATAAAAGGATGTGAAGAGTCAGATCCAATAGATACATACCTATATATCACCTTTCAAATCGCTGGGCAGGTAAGGTACCGTACCGTAACATATCGCAACCTCGGAACAAGTATCATGTAAGTGAATTCCCTCGTAGAAGTATTGATACTTCTATCTACTGGATACCGGTAACCTAGATGTATACCTATACTTAAGCACTACCTACCTCTCTCCTTTATATATACCTATCCACCACCAACAACCAAAGCACTTCTCCTTCTCATTTCTCACCACCTCTACGGAGTAGCCTCCCGATACGCCACCACACGCGCGGGCCCAAACCTCGACGAGGAATCCAAGCGTCGAGCCGCTGGCACCAGCAAGAGATTGCAACCCGAAAGCCTGGTCTCCATCCACCGTTGAAACCCCTCCCAGCAACGTCTGCGGACTCCGGACCTTTCCTTTCCTTTCCTTTCCTTTCAATCTCTCTCATAGTGTCATCTCACTGTCCTGGTCTCTCCCCCTTCCCGTGAGTCACAGCCAACACCACACCTAAAGAGAAGCAGACACAGATTACACTGCCCATGATCGTGCGGCATCACTGCAATACGCTCTCGCATTGCGCTGCACTGCTTCCTTACTACGCTACGAGATATACAACGGTACGGCTCTTCTTCTTCCACCCGTCTCTCATCCCACGCACTCCTTATAAGGGAGGGGAGCCATCGGATCCTGAGTACATCTTCCGTATCTCTTTCTTTCTTTCTTTCTTTCTTTTTCTCCCGGGCTCAGCGCAGCGCAGCGCTTCCAGTCCAAGGGGGGGGTGGTTTATTTGCAGCATGACCGCCACTTGGAAACGGGGGAGTTTAACCCCCACCCGGGCCACCTACATAGTCTCGGCGCAACGCAACAACGTCGCCGCGCAACCATCAACCTAAACCAAGCCAAACCGCCCATCCACAGTACTCTTCACCTACCGTCCCCCGAGAGATAAAAAAGGGGGAGGGGGGGGGGGGGGGGGGGGGGGGGGGTTAACGTCGCGAGTTGGGTTGGCACAGTACCGGTAGATACCTCTTTCTCGTTTGCGTAATCGCGAACCTGGGTGGACATACACGAGTAAATAAATACCTAAATAACTACCTAGAATAACCAGCTGCAACCTCCCTCTCTTCTTCTTCCACTTTGATGTAGGTACCTACCTAACCAAGCCCACGCGCGTGCCTGCCGGCTAGCACCGACGGCGATGGTTCCAAGGGTGATGTCTACATCGACGTCGACACCAAAACCTGCCAAATCATACGTCGTGGGGGGTTGGGGGGGTTTGTAACCTAGCGAAGTATACCTACGTGGATAGCACAGGAGGAATGGGGAATATGGAAGAAACAGAAAGAAAGAAAACGAAGATGCAGCAAGCAAGAAGTTCCAGGGCCTTTCTTGGTCTTGGGAGGGGAGGAAGGATGCTGAATATACATCGGGGCGTTGGGAGCCTAGTTTGATGGTCTGGTGACTGACTGATTGGCTGGCTGGCTTTCTGGTTCGATTTGAGTTGTAAAATCCTTAAAACAGCTTAGGTTAGGTTAGGTAGGGTAGATGATATCTTCCTATACCGACCCGTTCAATCAACTGATGAACTGGTACGATGAGTTTTCTTACTTACCTATGTGGGGAGTGATACATCTAGAACATACCTAGGTATATATGTGCATAGGTAGGTACTCAGGTATACTGTGAATGTGAATGAATGGATAGATGGGTACCTAGTAGTGGCATTAAGTAACTAAGGAGGTAAAATATACGACGCAAGATCGCTGTGTTGCAAGGGTTGTTGCCGCCCCCTTTTTATCTTTATCGTACGGGTGGAAGCTGTAGTGGGCGGGTAGGTCAGGCACTTACCTGACCTACACACTTGCCTGCTTAGCAGGGCATGATGGCTTCACTTTGGATATATATATTGGCTCTGTACCTACCTAGGTAGGAATGGAATTAAGCTTTGAGGTATATCGTCGAATATTCACTAGGTACCTACCTATCTAGTATATATCGTCCATATGCCTAGGCTACATACCTAGTACCCATAACCATGACTACTAGGTGGTTTGTATAATCAGAACATGTAGCCAGATGAAAGATGAAAGATCGAGCTTCAAGGATTCCCTGGAAGTAGGCTATTCTGATACATTGTGCTCGGTAAAAAAAAACTTACTGGGTAGGGGCATGCAGACAGCCGATCTGAGATCTCGGACAGCATCACACTTTCATTCAGCTGGCTCGTCATATGATTTATTTTCATATCCATATCTCGTATCTTCCTACGTAACCATCATATCATAACCTCCTAACCTCCCAAACCCCTTTTACCAACCCCCCATACCCCATACCACAAACCACACACACATCCGCTAATGCGCCTTAACCACGCCCGAAGCATCCGCCTGCGAAGCAATCCTCTTCTTGTACGCCTGCACATCGCCAGGGAACTTCCACACGGTGCCGTTCTCGCAGACCCAGAGACTAGTGCAGACGGTCTGGAGCATGGTGACGTCGTGAGAGACCATGAGCACGCCGCCCTGGAACTCCTGGAGCGCCTCGGAGAGGGCGTCCATGGCTTCGATATCGAGATGATTGGACGGTTCGTCGAGGACGAGGATGTGGGGGTTTGTGAGCGCGAGGCACGCGAAGGCGACACGGGACTTCTGACCTCCGGACAGGAACTCCATCTTCTGCAGGCCTGTTGTTCCTGTGATTCCGAACGCGCCCAGCGTCCGTCGGTACTCCTCGTCTGTGCGGCCCGGGTACTCCTTGGCCATGAAGGAGACGGCGCTCGTGGTGAGATCGAGGGCGTCGACGTGGTGCTGTGCGAAGAAACCGATGCGTAGGCGCGAGTGTTGGGAAATGTTGCCCTTAGTCGGCGATAACTTGCCGATAAGTAGTTTGAGGATGGTGGTTTTACCGGCACCGTTGGGTCCCACGATGCCAATACGCGAGTCTAGCTGCACGTCCAGGTCCACGTCCCGGAGCAGGATGTTCTCTGGGTTGTAACCGAAGGTGACGCCCGACATCTGCACGATAGGCGGCGAGAGCTTCTCCACTTCGGGGAACTTGAACTTGACGCTGTATTCGGTCTCGGGCGGCTCAAGGATAGGCATACGCTCGAGTTTTTTGATACGGGACTGTGCTTCGGCAGCCTTGCCAGCATTGTAACGGAACTTGTCGATGAAAGCCTGCAAATGGGCGCGCTGTGCCACATTGTTTTCGTATTCTCGTTTCGCCGTCTTCTTCCGCTCTTCCCTCGTGGCGTAGAAGGACTCGAAGTTAGCTCCCCTGTAGTAGTCGAGCCGTTCTGAGTGTTGATGTATGATGTCCGTCGCCACTTCGTTGAGAAATGATCTGTCGTGACTGACTACGAGAACTGTGCTTGGATAGCCAAGAAGATAGTTGGAAAGGAAAGTGATGGAGGGAACGTCCAACATGTTAGACGGTTCGTCGAGCAGTAGCAAGTCAGGTTCACAGAAGAGAGCTCTGGCGAGAGCCAAACGCATACGCCAACCTCCGGAGAATGTCTTGGTGGCGAACTGTTGACGTTCCGTAGAGAAACCCAGACCAGCAAGGATACTGGCAGCTCTGGATTCTGCCTTGTCCGACTCCATCTCGGCCAGCTTGGCTTGCACTTCTCCAAGCTTTTGATCGAGAGCTTCTCGGTCACGATCCAGCTTCGCCGCATCTACGGAAGTATCTGCCATAACCGATCGTGAGGTCTCGATTTCTGCGAGACGCGCCGTGATTTCCTGAAGATTGTTAGCGATGCTAATGAATGTGTTTAGAAAGGCTGGGGACGTACTCCTTGCTCCTTCAATAGCACCTTTCGCCAAACATCGGCATCCAAGACGGCTTGTAAAGCAGATGTGTCGTCACCAGTAATCTAGCACACGTTAATAAGAGAACCCGGTGTATCATCATTATCAATGTGCGTCTTACTTCTTGCTCGACGTGGAGAATAGAGATATGCGGAGGAATGGGCAACTCTCGTCTGGAGAGTGCTCTGAGCAACGTAGATTTACCAACACCGTTGTGACCAACCAAACCATAACGATGTCCGTAAGCTAGTGTCAAATCTGTGTCCATCAGGATACGCGTGCCACTGATGCTAACATCGACATTCTCAATCTTGATATCCTTGGTCTTGCCAGCGCCAGTGTTGCCAAGCTGCAAGGGGTTGACAGCCATGTAGAACTCCTCGTAGCTCTGGGTGTTCTCGGGCTGGTTGAGCAACCTGGAGGCCTCGTACTCGACATTCTTGAACTGCTTCTTGTTCTGCTTGGCAGCGATTTTACGTTCAGCTTTCTCAAGCTTCTTCCTATTGACCTTGGACTCGACCTTGCGGGCATTGGCAGACTCTAGATCGACGCTGCCAGTAGCTACGGCCAAGGTGGAGGACATATTTCGCTGAGAGCCGACCTGGATAGCCTGGTCAAGACGCCGCACGGCAGATGGGCCCTGCCTCTCGCCATTGCTACTGTTGGCTTCCTCATACTTGTCAACCCACTTGGAGACAAGCGAGCGGATCTTCTCCGGGTTGGAAGCAGCGGTATCCCCAGAAGCCGAGAGTAGGAGCTCGGTGATGGCAGCAGCAGCTTCAGCTAGTGGTGACAAATTGGCAGAATCCTCATCGCCGACCCAGGCGGTAGATGCATGCCTAAGATAACCTACCGAATACTCGGAGACGACGGGGTCGATGTCCGGGATGACGGCTCTGATATCAGCTTCCATATTTGACGGAATCAAGGGGGGTATGTAGTATGTATGATGGAACCCGGAGATTAGCTGATAGAGACCAAAGTCAAAGCTGGTTTTTTAGCCTAGGACTTTCCAAAACGGGGGTGAATTTGCGAATCTTCAGCTGGCTTGATGGGCTGGGCTTTTTGTTCCACCTAACAAGTTCTAGGGATTGCCCCTGGACGACAAAAAGAATAATACCCGCTGACAGCAACGTGGATCCGTTAGTTGTCAGATGTAATTTCCAGAATGCAGTGTCTATCAGCGTATAACCCTTTTGTTGGACTGAGGATGATCTTTGGTCAGCCTTCAATATATGCAGCTAATGGCTGATGAAGTCAGTTCTGGCACAAAATGATGAAGTCAGTTTTGGCACAAAATAACTAATATCGTCTGAATAATAAAATATGTGGACCTTTGTGTACAGTATGATAGTTTAAGTCCGATACTGTACTACTAAGTAGCACTTGCTGGTAGGCTGCTGCCATGACATCGGTTCATCCTCGGCCTTGAATAATTATCTAATTATGTAAGTACATAACTATCAATAACAGCATAACTTTATCAACCATAGTTATTCAAATAATTCAATATTAAGAATAACTACTCTTCTTGTTCTGGCGCAGGCTTAATAATACTCTATGTAACTTAAATAAAACTCCACGTTGATAACTACGGCGTACACCACCTACATATGTAGATCGTCACAAAAACATCTATGTAGCCTTCAAGGTTTGCTATGATACATACATAATACGATACCACACGATACTACATCATCCCAACGATCGACGGGGGGGTTTTTGCTCATGCTCGTGCACGACCACGACCACGACCACGCTTGGGACCGATCAATGTATCGTGCCTACCAATAGGATAATTGCCCTTTTACCTCGTTGCCACGCGTGGGAATGACGCGAGAAAAAAAAAAAAAAAACAGAACGATACATAGAAGAAGAAAAGAAGACGAAACATAACTAGACCGCTCGCGTATAACTAAACGCGTCTGGGGTTTGTTAAGTAGGTGGATATGCAACCCAACCCCAGGCTTTCCTGTCCCAGCTTTGGGTATGATAATGCACAAGTAGAGAAAGTTAAAGCGCGCATCATCCATCTCATCGTGTCGCGCTCTCTCTCGTCTCATCGCTGATTGGCTGTCCTACGAAACCTGCGTGTTTCCCAGCTAACTACACTACGTGCTACATAGTATTACTACCCGCCTGTCCGGCCGCCTGTTACAGACATACCTAGCCTAGGTTACTTGGGTCACGGATTCTTCAGCCGCCAGCCAATGTCTTGCCAGTACAGTACCCTACTGTAATCATTCTTTTTCCATTAGTTACTAGCAGCTGTGTGTGAGAAGCATTTAAAAACCAAAACCTCCAGGTTGTTGATCTTTTCGTTAACAACAATGTTCGGGCTGCGACACCCGACTATAGGTATCTGCTGGATATTCCCTATCTGGCTTAGATCTCCCCTGGAACGCAAGACAAGCTGGGTTGAATTGATGCGGCCACCGCCTGGACCCGTCACGTCCTCTTACCAGATGCAACATCATTACTTTGATTGATCGGTCTGCATGTAACATTATATGTATGTATGTGCACATGTGTGTATGTATATGCGTGTACAGTTTGATGTATAGCACTTTCGATGGTAGTTAGTAGTTACCAGTTAAGTTATGTAGTATCATGAGATACTGATTCTTGCAGTATTGTATAACTAGATCGGGGAGCCTCCTTTTCATGCGTGTAGTAAGTAACCTACGAGTCTACGACACGCGGGGGTCGTTGTGTAATTCTCGTCATACAATTGATGCGCTTCTTCATTTTAGTTATTCCTAGACAGGACTTTGTTCGCGTGGGGCATTCTTGCATCCCGCCCCTTTTTTTTTTTTTTTATCTTTTTGGGAGCATCCAACGTCATGCCGTCAGTGGCAGCAGTGGGCTTGAGATGCAAAATCCTCACGCAAATCCCCCTCTCAAACATGTTCATGGCAATGATGCAACGCCATCCGCAAATGCTCAATGATTTATAAGACCAACATGTCGGATGTTTACAAGCATAAATACCTATATATGTGATCAGTGCAGGCAGCTCGAGTGCATAGAGTCCGTACAGACATACATATGTACATAGTAAACTGCACATACTAAGTCATACCACGGTCATGAATACGTCGTGGGCGGCGTAGCACCTAGCCTCTAGTGTTCAAAGGTAAGGGGCCTTGTCCTCCACCTGTCCTTAGTAACACCGACTTTTACTTGTAGTATAACTAGTTGCGTGTCTGGGCAAATCCTAGGTAATGGGGGCAAAGACGACATGCCACCGCTGCTTCAAGGAGGAGCAAGTTTCACTTTTCGCTTTAATGAATGGTTCGCATACGGCGTAGTATGATGTGATTCTGCCGGGAATCATCGAGAACCTTTTAAAAACACAAAAAATTGGGTCAGTTTATGCTGCTCCTGGTTGCATTGTGGGAAAGCCGAGGGTTCAGTGTTGGTTAAACAGGTGCTGGGCCGAGCATTGCCTTCGAAGTGAGTCCGGACGGAATAAGTCGATAGTTAAGCCCTTTAATGTTCGGAGGACTTGGTGCGGTTGTACCTGCGCCGCTGGCTGTTTTTCTACGTACCGTAATAAATAATGTGAGCAACATGTTGGTGGTAATCAAGGGTCTCCCATCTAACTAATATCCGTGTAGATTTGTAAAAGAATGCATGTCTTAACAAAGTAGTCTCCGGAGGCGCTTCAAGACAACAACGAAGAGTATCGTCTTCCTGCTAGGTAAATCTTCCATTGGCGATCATGAATGTTCTGTTCCAACTTCCAAGTCCTGACTATGACCTACAGTCCAAGTGTGACGCCGTAACAAAAGAAACCTTGGAACAGTTGCTCGCATAGGTGAGCCATTGGCTAGGAGCGTTTCTCTTCACTAGCAGCCTGGTAGCCTGGTAGCCAAGCCGTTCCTTCGTTTGGTTAGCCCACTGCTCTTGGTTCTGGCCCCCAATCTCGGCTCTGGACTGGCTTTCCTACGTAATGGTTAATCGGCAATCCCGTTCGAAGTTCAGATCGAGTACACTCGTTTATGACTGTTGGTTGTCCTATTACTGTAAATTTGAAATTTAATATCTAAAGATGTGGCTGCGAATCTGAGCTCGATATGATAGGTAGATCGAGTTTCGAGTGTCACGATTCAAGCCACATCACATCAAATCTCTTTCTTACTTATATCACTGCACATTGATTAGATGGCGGGAGTGAGGGGCGTTATTTGGCTCTCTGAGGGGTAAGTAAATACCTACTTACATACCTAGCATATGTACGGCGTATGAAGTACTATGTAGGAAGAAGAAGACTGGGATAGGTACCCAGAGCTATTTTAGAGCATCTCCACATCTCCAGCTTTTTATGTCCGTTGCATTAGGTGCATACATGTCGATATCGTAGGCGGCAGGCTATGTAGATGACAATCGGATACTGTATTCTATATCGTACTTACATACGAACTGTGAGGTCAGTTTCCTTCAGTGCTCATATCATCGGAAGAGCTTAGGCAGGAGATAGGCGAGCTACAGCGTGAGTATATTGTATATCGGGTATCAGCTGTTTGCATCCGTCCGTCGTGGCTGGGAGCAGATTTTTGGGGGGATATCACCAATTCCACCATTCACTTACAACTGTGGAAGTTAAAATGAATATGGTGATATTGTGGTTTGTTTAATAGAACTTGTAAACACCGAGACGAGTACTAGGTAGGTAGATAAATGACGGAAACAACACATTAGAGACGGCAGTGACTTGTGATGGGAGCCGTCGGATCGTAACAGAACGGCAATATGCCTCATCCATGACAACTCACTATGTACCTAGTCCAGTAGGTCGGAGGTGTTGTGTCGGTGTGTCGGTTTGACGGCTGTGGACCATGAGTCTTGTATACATTGTACGATACAAGTGTATGCTTAGTAGTACTGCGAAGTGCGCCGCAATCTACATACACATGTATGTGTGTAAGCAACACTCGCTCGTATCTGTGTCTCGTCGTTCGACAGCCTTTTTGGTACAAGTCGTCACTAGCTCTTAAGAAATGTTCCTAGTGCTTCTTCAAGCAAGATCCCTGTGACATATAAGTAAAGAAGATCCTACGTCGATTTCCATTGGTACATGCCTTGGTGAAGCGGTTGTGAGGAAGAGAATATAGGTACTATGTAGGTAGGCAGTAACAGCAAACCGGAGAATAAGAAAAAGGATGAGCTAAACAAGCACAAGACTTACCTTACCTACATATGTATGTACTTTTGATACTACATAGATATATACATACGACCAACCTACCTGCGTGTGCCTACCTACAATACAAATACCTACCGGGCGGAAGGATACCGAAATATACATATGTACCGATAGTCAGAAAATCTTGTGAGGATAGACCGCTTAGTTGGGACATGAGAGGCGCTGTCGAGTGGTTGCACGATCTGCTTATTGCTCACGGAGCACAGCTTGTTGATGTCGTGATTCGTGACAAGTGATGACGGTAAATAGCAAGCCATTGGTGGAAACGAAGGATGCATGTGGTTGGTTATGGAGGCTTCTTAAGGAGGGGGGAACACAAGCAGGCATTGGCGCTGAAGCGGCAAGCATCAATGATGGAAATGCAAGTACACTGCCGTAATAGCAACCATATGACGCAGCTGGGAGATTCCCCTTGCTGTTTTATACATGGGCTTTCTTTTGATTTTTTTTTTTAATTAGGATAATAATAGTAATCCCAACGGAAGAAGAACATTGAACATTGAAGTCTCTCTTCGTCGACATGCCAAGATAAAGTAACAACTTGGAAGTATTTATGGCAACTTTAATGTTGATTATGTGCGGAGTATTATTGATACTAGACACTGAATGCCATTGTCTTCTATTACATTATGTACATATGTACCTACATATTCGAAACATCAATTGATCATAAGATATAAGTACAATACCATGTAACTAAAGCTAAGAAAACTTTAACCTAATATCTACGCATTGTACTACCTATGTACGGTACCTAGGTACTAGGTAGTATGTAGTAAATGACTGCAGGTTGCTCCAGTCTCCCCTTATGTGCCTAACGTTAGGTACTTCCTTCCTAGGTAAAATCAAGAATGTATATAAACTTGCAGTAGTCTGCACAGCTAGCGTGGGTCTACTAGGAGATAGGACTTTTTAGCCACGAACCGAGAGTCTGGAACCACCGCACCTAAGCACAAGGGTTGCATAACTTCCTAACCTAGGTACCTACATAAGCTAGGTATCGTCATTATAGGGCTGTATCTTAGCTATCTTGCTTCCATGCGAACCTTATGTACAAGGTTATATCATGTGGATAACGTGATGTTGAAATTCAAACCAGTTGGCGAAGCTGATTTTAGTATACATACATGTCTACCTAGGGATAGGTATGTAAATAGTTATAGACAGACCAACTAGAACTGAGATGCAACCAACCCTAGTGTAGCTTGCTCTCGTGTGCTGCAGCTTGTTTCGTCGTCTAGAATTATAATGCTAACCAAAGGCCAATCAGGGACTCCGTACATAGACTAGAAGGTCTCGGATGGCAAAATAGCGCTAAGGAGGTTGCATCGATCCATCCATTCAAGGGCAACAACAAAAGAAATCAAAATAATGATAATACTGTAGCCCAGCAATGCGGAGTTGCGCGTTTGGAAGTTGGACAAGGGCCAATCCATACATAACACACATAACACATCCATGGATAGTTGCTAGGTAATAGGTATGTATGTTACTGTACGTACCTGTCGGACCTGTCCTAGCCTCCTAGGGACCTCCAGCGCTACTACTAACTAGGCATTGAATTCACCTAATACATTCAATGTTCAAGATTCAATGTTGATAGTTTATTTTTTTGCAAGACTGATAATAAAACATTCGGTCAATCTTGATGCCACAATAGAAGAAGAGAATTGGAGAATAATTAAGCATAATAGTTATCTGGACCCATCAATAATGCGCCTAGAAGCCTACTACAACACAATACCTATTAATGTATCGACTCCTCTCTCGAGGCTCTAGCCTCTACCTAGTATGTTCCTATGTGTAGATAGTTACATACCATAATAGCATGTAAACGTTTATCGATCGTTTGACATATGTGGACATCACGCTTTTGATTGGTGCATACCGATCCATACTAAGGTTACTTGTTTGGAAACTTTGGATTAAAGCATTGAGAAATGGTTACTTTAGTGCATACCAGTGTGTTTTCAACTTGAATGTTCTTCATTGATTCTACAATGGCGTTATGCACTGTATGTGAGCAAGGCATATTGTACTGTATATGCGTAGGGAACTTGCATTACATATTGCAGGAGACACAATTTTAACATTCTTAACAGCCCTTAACCTTGGCATAGCTGTCTGGTTGCCAGGTTATTAAGCGTTTTAAGCACCAATACCTCTACCTTAGGCAGGTAGGTACCGCCCAGGTAGTACCAGGTAATACCTGGTAGTGTCAATCGGACAACGTCGATGCCGGACCGCACTGTACCTTACCATACTGTATAAAATAGGTGCAAGCCTGCAAGGACCAAGGCGCGTTTCTTTCAATGTTCCCTGCCCCCAGGACCCAGGTAACTACTAGGTACATGTGTAGATACAATGGATACCTGTAGAGTTAGCGGTACTATGTACAATTTATACACTAATCGATATTAATAGAGCGCTGGAGGTACTTACTGCAAGTGAGGCAATGCATTGTAATCTCAAGTACATTCTCATTTCCCTGGGGAATCTGTGGCTTGTAATCTTAGATCCATCGTCAAAAGTGCACTCGCAGGCCGGGCCGCTTGTAGTATCCAGCTCCGTAAACATCCCGGGGACTTTGATCTGACCTGACCTGACCTGACTTTATTATTGTCATTATTTTTTATTCTTATTTTTTCCCCTTTGCTCTTGCGCATCGCAAAAACATCCCCATCCCCATTTCCATCCCAACCCCAATCCTCGTTTATCAATCTACTTTCTTTCCTCTCTTCCTCCTCAGGTTCGGGGTAAGATTGCAACCTGCAACATTCAGGTTCTAAGACCAATAATAATTTACCTTGCTATGCTATGCTGTGCGTAGATTGTTTCTTCCTGCTGCAGCTTACTCCCACCAGACCTCGGAATTAAGAAGGTTCTCTTTTTTTCACTTCTTATACTCCCTACAGCAATGCTTTCCCTGCTTGCATAAGGAGCCTCTATTAGGAGAATCGCAGTACACACTGTCCCTAGTAGCCACACCGGTAACGACGACAACGACGACCACCTTTTCCATCCCCTGGACGACAAACCTTTTTTTTTATGAGGCACTGTTGTTTTAATCTACTTTCCACCTGCAACAGGTCTTAATCTTTAATCTATTGCTCTCTTCCTCTGGTCGTGTTAGCCCTCGTACTTTTATGTCTAGCAGAGTAAATATTGGCCCCATAGGCATAATAAGATACTAGGTATCTATCCACCGTCGCGCCAGGCCACTCGACTTACGACCGCCGACCATCTGCTCGCAGGACCCACGTATTCCGTACAGAATTCTAGAAGAGCAGATTTTATTGATATTCCTCGACCTTTCCAACATTAAATTTCAATGTCCTAGGAGAACGAACAATGGTCACGAGTACGACACAGAGGGTTAACTTTTCTTCTTCCCGCCTCTCCACCGAAGGCTGCTCTCCTCTGTTCTCCTAGCGCCCATTTCTCGATATGCAGACAGTACCAAGTGTAAGTCCAGCGCTTCCTACATCACATTCGGGCCTTGTCAGAGCGATTGTAATATCGTAATACTTGCCTTCCTTCCTTTTTATTACCAGGGCGAATTTCTTTGGGTTTTGACAATTTCCCCAATTCCCTTGGTGGTTCCCCTTATTTTCTCGGCCTCCGTGTGGTCTATAATTATAATAATTATGGCTGATATGAAGTAGCTTATTGGTGCCGGCTCTGCGGTCGCCGCGGCGGCAACGGGTCTGGCCTTTGGCGAACTGACGGATGGTCAATCCCCACAGCACCCAGACTCAAACAAGAGAAAGTCAATACTCGGTGACAGAGACTTCCTTCACGTATTTTCATCCCGACCTGGAACGAGTACTATGGCTCCTGCCACCCCGAATAACGACCTCATCCAAGACTCAAACCAACAGCTCCCCTCTTTGAACGCGAGCAACCAACTGCATATTCCTCGGCGGTCTTCCCAGACCCAGACAACATCCCCCAGAACCTCATCCGCCCGAATTCCATCTGGTCGACAAGCCGATTACGCACCCACGAGCCCTATTGTAGAAGATTCGCGTGATTCCCTCTCCTCGAACGGTTCTTGGATACGAAGATTTTCTTTACGTCCATTATCCCAGCACGAGAGCCTGAGATCTAGTGTGGGCCCCGATTCGCCTTCCATCACCTTTTCCCACGGTTCCACCGCGCCCATGTTATCTAGTGGACACTCTCCTCCCCAGCTACCTCCCAATAAACTAGTCAAGCGTGCATCGGCTATCAATGGGGGAAGTGCAGGCCCTGTAGTACGGCGAGGATCAAGAACACAGATGACATTGCGAAGACCAGCAACAAGCCACCAACGATCAGCTACATTGCATCAGCAGATAAATGCCGAGGTGCGGCCAACTTTACCTGAGGAATCCTTCGACCAGTACCATCGTCCTAGGGCCCAGACGTCAGCAAGCCGAATCGAACCGGTCCTTGGTGTTGTTACCGACGTATCGTCGATGTGGAAGTCGTTTTGGCATTCTCGCTTGACTCGAAACGCAACGAAGCCTTTACCCCTAAAGACAAACGAAAACTCTACTTCACCTGGAGCAAAGCGAATCTGTGTTGAACACCACGGTCGTCGGCGGGTTTATCTCGTCAAACCAAGGACTCTCGCCATGGGCTCCTCTGCCGCGGAGGCGCCAATCGACATTCCTCCCGAGCAAGAAAGTCAGTCCAGCACTGAGGGCAGCCCACAGGCTTCGGATAAATCCTCTGTATCTGCGGAAGATAGTCCCTCGAAGCTGCCACGTCGATCAATTTCGATGCATTTTAGCTCACCCTCGAACTGGATTACGAAATCAGGTAGTCTCCGGCGGCGTAAGCGTGGTGATGCTATAGGTGGAGCCAGGCGACACGCATCTGAGCCTATCACAGCAAATACCCAACCAATATCGGCCGTTGGTTCAACTGATGAGGGAGAGGGTTCAAAAGAGGAAGAATCGAACCATGCTGAATCCGAGCTTTCTGCAATATTCCGTCCTCCAACTCGCAAGCGGAATACCTCGTCACCTTTGCCGCCTATCTCGAGGCTTTCAACTTTCCACATTGATTTGAGCAAACTCGGCTCGTTGTCACCCGACCTCCATTCTCAATTTGACGAGCGAGCTGTTAGTCCCACAACAGTTCCGCGAACTGTCTCGAATACGTCGCATACTCGGACGCTGGAACGTGCTTCCACCGTTGCTAGCTCTGACTACCATCGTGGGTTTATGTCTGGTGATGATGATGACACTGACTTTAAGACGGATACACCATTCGACTCTTTTCGAACGGTAGCGTCAGGACGGAGGAGAACCCTCGACAGCCCCTTGGAGTCAATGTTTGATGAATCGCCACCCAGCACTGGAGGAAATAACACAAAGCCAAAGCGATTGTCTATTCAGGATATTCTTGGCCCATCTTTCAACGGCGGAAACAAGATCATGGAAGAGGACGAAGGCCTTTCCACTCCTGTCCGAGGAGGAGCATATAAGGATATCGAAGCTCGGTTCCGTGCTGCGAACCTGGATGAGAATAATTTTATGTCCAGCCCGGTTTCCCCTAATTTCACCTTGCAGGCGGAGCATCCTCGGTTTTCACTAGATGATGATGACGATGACCTGGACTGGGGAAGAGAGGACGACAGCGGAATATATAATCACTTGTCTCCACCAGGCTCCATGAATTCGCGACGTGGCAGTCCGAACTCGCGAACTGCATTGGGTCCTGCCAACGGTAATCGAAGACCCAATGCGCGTTTTGATACCGCGAGTGAACGACCTCGGAGCACCGTGTTTGACTGGGCAGAACCCGCTGCCCACGAGAAGCATGATGGGGATGGGGTTTATCAGCGACCTAAAACGGTCCACGGTAAGCAGGAAATCGACATCAGAGGCGGACGTTCCGCGAGCCGTAAGGGCCCAGTGCCTGCCCATATAAGAAGCCAAAGCGTCCCCATTGTTCCGGATCAAGCCGAAGCCACCAATCCGACTCCCAAATTTGGTACCTGGGGACTCGGTCAGAAGAACGCGAGTGAGGATTGGGATGACGATTTCGATTTTGAGGAAGGGGGAGATCTTGGACCAGTCGCTGGAGAGAATGAAGACACTCGATTTGAGATGGTTGTACCTGCATCGATCCAGGCTACTCAACCTACGATCAAAGCTCACTCCGGACAGATACGAGAGCTCTCGCTTCTAGTTAATGACCTCAAGCGATTGTGTCGACTTGGTCGTGAGATGGATATGTTCCATGAATCGTCTACAAAACTTTGGCGAGAGGCTGAGGGCATCATTGCCTTGGCTTCCCCTGACGACGAGGATTCAACAGAGGTCACTGATTCGAAGCGTGATTCGTCTAGTACGCTTGTGAATTCTATTGATGCCCGATTCATTGATCAAGGATTTGATGGGGCTAGCTCTGATGACCAAGGATCTACGAGAGCGGTGGAAAGCCAACGTAACGTTGTTGTTCGTGACCGTCCCGCCGGTCGACGTCGATCGGTCTTTTCCCCAGAAGACGACATCTTTGGCACCTGGGATTCTTCTCCGATCGAAGAAACGATACCTGATCGGCCAAGAACTCCTGAGGATCAGCTCAGCAGCCTCGAGTGCGGATCAAGCAGCGTTGCTAGATCTGTTATGGAAGCTATGCACTCGCGACAGTCAAGGCTAAGCCGTGAAAACCACGAGCCTTCGTCTGGCAAGCTCAATTTCGATACAAATAGTTTAAAGGAGCTGGTCAAACGAGCGAGTGACTTAAGAGACGGTCTATCTGATATCGTTCGTAAGGCAGATCACCTGACACAGAGCCCGGTGCGGACACCAAAGCATACGAGGCCCGATGGAAGCCCTGCATTTACTCGAGTCTTTGATGAACCGTCATTAAGTCCGACAAGAAGAATCCCCAACAGTCATAGCAATAGCTCTATCCTGAGTGGCAATTCTGTCAGCACATCTCCGTCCAATGGACTTGGCCAACGGATGCAGATGATGACTGTTAGCTGAATCGGTACCAGCCAGAAATTATACCCCTAGTATAAAATGTTCGATTCCCCCCTTAATTCCTCCGTTCTAGTCAATTCACACTCGACGGGGGCTATTTATATGTGACGACGTCTATTTGATTTGCATAGCACGGAATCGGTTTTCGGATGTTTCTAAGCACCAGACCCGCATACAAAAAAGGACTCGTTTTTTTTTTCGTTTGACGATGCCGGAAAAATAAAACATGGAAGGGGGCATTGGTCGACCTGAGCATAAACTTAATACAATATTTTATTCGTGTTGTTGTCGATAAGATCTGGATACACTACTAAGTGGATCAGCTTGGAGGAACATTAATATTGGCTGATACTCTTCTACTACGACTCCGAACACCTCTAACGTCTGAACGGCTGCGGGTGACGGCACACCCAAAGCCATGGAATCACGGAGTATTACGAATATGAATTAACGACACTTGCATATATGGTTCATTCGCACGAGTTCACGGTGCTACCAGTCGTGGGTCATGAGAATAGATCTGAAGCATTCCTCGTTTTACGCATTAGATGGGGACCATGAGTGGAGGTAGAGACCCAAAGGACACGACAAACGGTCTTGATGGGGTTATACACAAGCAGCCGCCCTCTCACATTATTCATGGCCTTTCCCCAGGCGGGTGGGAAAGAAGGAAAAAGAGAAAGGGATACCGAAGATAAGGTAGTCCCAATGATATATCATTGATGCCTCTCGTTTGTCTAGCATATGCCATAGAGCTTAGTCTACAGGTGTTAAGCTTACGAATAGTCTGCATACTGAAGCAGTTTTATTGTGATGAATCCACCTACTGTTTGGGTTCAACTCGGATAACAAAAGAACAAAGCAAAAAAGAAAATAAGATTCTCGTTTTTTTCCCTAAATTTTTCTTTTAAGGGGCATGGCATCGGCATGGGCATTGGCAAGGCGATAAAAACATATGGCATATGAATACAATTGCATTGATTGATTGTACAGGTAGACAAGGTCGACTTAGGTTAAGACGGGCTACCTATAGTTAAGCCAGAAACATTGAAGAGAACAGCCTTGAGTAGTAGAAATAAGACAAGAAGAAGCAGATGGCCAGGCGTATACCTCTACCTATGTAGTAATGTCTGGTCGACCCTGCTGATGGTATTCTATGGTTCTTTAATATCAATGATCTCGCTCGGGCTTGTTTTGTGATGATGTTCTGGGTCTGCATATGGAAGTCATTGATTCTCATCTTATGTCCTGGTTGGAGGATGATGGAGTAGATATGTGCCTAAGTTATGTAATTACCTAGTATACATATACAGTATATACAGTATATACAGTATATACAGTATATACAGTATATACAGTATATACAGTACATACAGTACATGTATTGTACACTAGTTGTCTTGAATGCTACTGTGCATAGATACACTGTTCTTGGTAAATACATAATTTACATGAGAATAAAATATGGATTTTGCTCATGCTGACATGATGCTGTCCTTTAGTTTGAGATAATATAATTGGATGGACTACTACTAGTACATAGTATAATTGGATGATGATTTGACTTGTTGATTTTAACTCGTATGCTTGTCAAGTTGTTGATAAAGGGGACCGTTGCCAAGCGTCAACGTGTACCAACGGTACCTACTATTACCTGTTTAATTGCGTGTAATTAGACTAGCAGGTCATGTATCTTTAAAGTCTCCACTTGTCTGGCAGTCCTCTATCGAACATACCGAAAATCTGGTCCGTGCATGATTTGTTTCTGCCCCTGTTGCCTTATTCGGTCCCCCTGAAAGCAGCGGGCAAGTACGGCTGGCATATGGTTGGCATATGGTTGGCATATGGTGACCTTGGAAATGAAACAGCGGGTCCTCTGTAGGCCCCCCCCTTGCCAACATTGAACGAATTGGAACGTGCCTTTCCTTTTTTGAAATCTCCAAGCAGAAAAAAAAGCTGCCCTCAACTTCTCCAGGCACAACTCAACTCAACTCAACTCTTCCTTGCAACATACACCACACCGCTCCTCTTCTTCTTTTTCCTTCTCCCTTAAACCCTTAAATCTCTAACCACTGCCATATTATTCTCTGCTCGCCAGTTTCCCTCAGTTGTGTTCGATACACTTTAATCAACCACCGACAAAATGCGTGAGATCGTAAGTCAATATATATATTCCTCCTTCATGTTTACACATGATTCAGCCCCCAAGCACCAAGCATATTCCCCCTCAAAAAAAGAACAGCCACCCCTGAACGCGTCCAACGTCCCCTGATTTTCGCCCCTCACGCACAAAATAAACCACCTCATTCTACAATCGCCGATGTTGAACTGTTGTCAAAACACGCAACAACAACAATAATAACAACAAATTGAAAATTATGCAGAGTTGAAGCTAATCGCGTCTTTTTTTATCTCAATAGGTTCATCTTCAGACCGGCCAGTGCGTAAGTAACCACCACTACCGATCAACAAATATCGAATTTCAGTGAGGAACTTGGCGGGGCTCACAACAGTATTGTAGGGTAACCAAATCGGTGCTGCTTTCTGGCAAACTATCTCCAGCGAGCACGGTCTTGACAGCAATGGCGTGTACGTATTTTAATTCGCCAATTCCCCAAAAACGCGATATACACATGTGTTCTCTGTACTGACCGCCAATAAATAGCTACAATGGCACTTCAGAGCTCCAGCTCGAGCGCATGAGCGTCTACTTTAATGAGGTACACAGCCGAAGAGCCCCCAATGATGTGGTTAGGAATAGTTACTAATCACCCCAACATGCACAGGCATCTGGTAACAAGTATGTCCCCCGCGCCGTCCTCGTCGATCTCGAACCCGGTACCATGGACGCCGTCCGTGCTGGTCCCTTCGGCCAACTCTTCCGACCCGACAACTTCGTTTTCGGCCAATCCGGTGCCGGAAACAACTGGGCCAAGGGTCATTACACTGAGGGTGCTGAGCTAGTCGACCAGGTTCTCGATGTCGTTCGTCGTGAGGCTGAGGGCTGTGACTGCCTTCAGGGTTTCCAGATCACCCACTCCCTCGGTGGTGGTACCGGTGCCGGTATGGGTACTTTGTTGATCTCCAAGATCCGCGAGGAGTTCCCCGACCGCATGATGTCCACCTACTCCGTTGTTCCCTCTCCCAAGGTCTCCGACACCGTCGTTGAACCTTACAACGCCACTCTCTCTGTCCATCAGCTGGTCGAGAACTCAGACGAGACCTTCTGCATTGATAACGAGGCCTTGTACGACATTTGCATGCGCACTCTCAAGTTGTCCAACCCTTCGTATGGCGACCTGAACCACCTGGTCTCTGCCGTCATGTCCGGTGTTACTACTTGCCTGCGTTTCCCCGGCCAGTTGAACTCTGACCTACGCAAGCTAGCCGTCAACATGGTTCCCTTCCCTCGTCTGCATTTCTTCATGGTCGGCTTCGCTCCTCTTACCAGCCGTGGTGCCTACACTTTCCGTGCTGTCACCGTTCCCGAGTTGACTCAGCAGATGTTCGACCCCAAGAACATGATGGCTGCCTCTGACTTCCGCAACGGTCGTTACTTGACGTGCTCTGCCATCTTGTACGTTTACCCCCCAAACCCCTAACCAACTAGGTTGGTCCCAATTCGATTGCTAACTATTTTTGCTTGTAGCCGTGGTAAGGTCTCCATGAAGGAGGTTGAGGACCAGATGCGCAACGTTCAGAACAAGAACTCGTCGTACTTCGTCGAGTGGATCCCCAACAATGTTCAGACCGCCCTCTGCTCCATTCCCCCTCGCGGTCTTAAGATGTCGTCTACCTTCGTCGGTAACTCGACTGCCATCCAGGAGCTCTTCAAGCGTATCGGTGAGCAGTTCACTGCCATGTTCAGGCGCAAGGCTTTCTTGCATTGGTACACTGGTGAGGGTATGGACGAGATGGAGTTCACTGAGGCTGAGTCCAACATGAACGACTTGGTCAGTGAATACCAGCAGTACCAGGATGCTGGTGTTGATGAGGAAGAAGAGGAGTATGAGGAGGAGGTCCCCGGCGAGGGAGAGGAGTAAAGCTGCTCCGTCTGATACCCATTTCCATAAACGGCACTGCGTGGATGGATGATTAGGCACGTCATGTTGAATGTGGTTTCCGCCCCCTATACTATTCTCGCGTACCCTTTTGCCGCCCAGACGTTCAATGGATATAAAGTACCTAATGCAAATTGATCAACAACGATCAGTTGAACGGCCCTGGGCACGTTAGATATACCTCTTCGGTGTTCGTTGTGGAAAAAAGAAAAACTTCATTACTAGTAGTAACAAGAATTGATTGTCTTGTACGAATAACTCGGCATTTTAATGCAGACCTAAGGAATTCTAATACATACCTAGTATCGTTACGATGAGTGCATGCCGTAGTATTCGATGTGGATGGGTGCGTACCTTTCGCTTGTGAATTCTGGTACCTGTAGATCTATACCTATTACCTCAGTACCTACCTAGATGCCTAGGTTACTAACAATAGACAAGGTCGTGATACCTAGTACGATGGGTTGCTCAAATGTCCCCTAGTATAACTCTACACTAAGCTATGATGGGGAGAATCCCACGAAGATCGAAACATGTGTTGGTTTTCTGCATACTACTAGTAGTACCTACCTAAAAATCAAGATGCGATACTCTTAAGCACGACGATGGGTTATGTTCTGCCTAGCAAAATTATCAAGTAGGTAAAGCTAATACTATCATTTTATTCTTAGGGATTTTCGATGTAGTCGTTGATAACTTAGTATGTATATGTTGTAGGTATGTACACTAAACCCTCCCATCCCCTACCAATCCGGCGCAGCGCCACACCCTCCTCCTCCTCCCACTCCCGCAGGCAGCACCTCTATCGACCCATTCATCGCCGCTCCCAGAACTTTAACACCAGCCTTCCTCCCAGCCCGCCGCGGTGTCTTCGTTTCAACCGTTGTATCAGCCTCCCCGTCCTCCTTCCGCACCTTCCACCTCGTAGTCCCCAGCGCGGCGTCTAGTTCCGCGACGGGTGGTAACAAGAGGTAGACGAGCCCATCGGGGCGCTCCTCGGCGGCGAAGGTGGCGATGGAGAGGGAGGAGTCGTTGCGGCAGTCGCCGCGGGCTAGCGAGAAGTTGCGTTTGTGGTAGGGGCAGGATATGTAGGGTGTTTTTTCTCCTGCTGCTGCTGCTGCTGCTGATTTTGGGTCGGGGGAAGGGGTAGTATTAGGGATGGTTGAAGAGGATGGGGGTAATGTGGAGGAGGGGGTTGTGGGAGAAGGGGGAGAAGCAACGTCCAACCCAACCAGCCCATCCGACAGCGCGAACGTCCGCTTGTGCGGACACATCTGCTGCGTGGCGTAGTACCGCCCCCGGACGCGCCACACCGCCAGCTGGGTGTCCCCGCGCCGGATTGCCGCGCTGATGCCGTTGGGCTGGTCGTCGGCGCCCGCGAAGTAGGAGGCTGAGAGGACCGGCTGCCAGGACGTGCTTGCCCAGGTTGAGCGTAGGCCCTTGAAGTTATCAAGGGCGGATTCCTTGGGCCAGGCGACGGGGCGGGTTTGGCCGCGCTCGGTTTGGGATTCTATTTCGACGAGGACCTCATCGTTGGCGGTGCAGTTGTTTTTGCTGTCCGTGTTGTTATCCATATTACCGTTGCTGCTGGCGATGGCCGTAGTGGTAACCGGGGTAAGAATGGGAGTGTCGTTCGCGAACTGCCGGAACTTGCTCACGATCTTCGGATCGCTCACCGCAGCCGCCCACTCGTCGAAGAACGAATCGACAAGCGCCTGCATCTGCGCCTCCAGCTCCTTGCATATCCCGAGCTTGTCCTCGAGCACGACCGCCTGCAGGTACTTCAACCCTCCTGGCAAGCTCTCGAGCCACCGCGCCGTGCGCTGCAGCTTGTCCGCCGTCTGGATGTAGAACATCAGGTACCGGTCCAGGATGGGGATAACCTCGGCGGGCGGCACGTCCTTGGCGAAGAGGACGGAGTGCTTGGGGTTCGCGCCGCCGTTGCCGGCTACGAAGATGTTGAAGCCTTTTTCGGTGGCGATGAGGCCGAAGCTGGTTACTTTGGTCAGATAGGGAGGTAAATAGGTAGGTATAGGATGAGAGGAAAGTAGAGGGGGAAAAAAAGGGAAAGGGGAGGGTGGACTTACTCCTTACTCCGAGCCTCGGCACACTCGCGCACGCAGCCACTAACGCCCCCTTTTATCTTATGAGGGCTGCGGATGCTCTTATACCGCTCCTCGATACGCACAGCCATACCAACACTGTCACCAACACCAAAACGGCACCACGTCGTGCCGACGCAGCTCTTGACAGTGCGCAGGGACTTCGCGTACGCATGCCCGCTCTCCATCCCCGCCGCGACCAGCTTCGCCCATATCGCAGGCAAGTCCTGCTTCCTCGCACCAAACATGTCGATGCGCTGCCCGCCGGTAATCTTGGTGTACAGACCATACTCCCTCGCGACCTCGCCGATCACGATCAGCTTCTCCGGCGTGATCTCCCCGGCCGACACCCGCGGCACCACCGAGAACGTCCCGTTGCGCTGGATGTTCCCCAGGTACCGGTCGTTCGTGTCCTGCAGCCCGTGCACCGCCTTGTCCATCACGTGCGCGTTCCACAGCGACGCCAAGATGCTGGCCACGGCCGGCTTGCACGCCTCGCACCCCTCCGACGCCCCGTCGTTCCCCGCCTCCCGCATCACCTCGGCCAGCGTCTTGAGCTTTTTAACCTTGGCGATGCTGTACAGGTCCGCGCGCGAGTAGCTGAAGTGCGCGCACAGGTGGTTCGTCACCTCGGCGCCCAACTCGGCCATGGCATGGTGGAAGACGCTGGTGACGAGCGGCACGCACCCGCCGCACCCCGTGCCGGCCTTCGTGCACGCCTTGACGTCGCCGAGCGTCTTGCACGCGCCGCCGCGCACGCGGCGCGCGACGTCCCCCTTGCTGACGTTGTGGCACGAGCAGATCTGCGCGTCGTCGTCGAGGTCGAGGTCGTCCGCGCCGTCGTCGTCGTCGTCTCCTTCCTTGTTCTTCTTCTTCTTCGCGGCGCCGAGGATCAGCTGCGCGGGCGGGATGTCGAGCTCTTTGGAGCTCTTGGCCAGGGCCACGAGGCGCGCGTAGTCCCGCGTGTCGCCGATCATCATCCCGCCGAGCAGGCGCTTGCCGTCGCGCGTGAAGAGGTACTTCTTGTACACCTGCGCGAACGGGTCCTTGTACACGAGCGCTTTGACCTGTGGCTCCCCCTCCCCCTCGCTGCTGGCCGTCTTCCGCGCCGCCGCCGCTGCCTTCTTCGCCGGTAGCTGGCTCGGCCCGTCCCTATCGGCGAAGAAGTCTCCAAAGCTGGCCACGTCGACGCCCAGAAGCTTGAGCTTCGTGCTCAGGTCGGGCCGCTTGAACGCTCGGGGCCGGTGGAGCTTGGCTTGCGTGAGGTTGAAGGAGAGGACGTCGGCCATCTCGATGCCCGGGGCGATCAGCCCGAATGTCTGGTTCTGCCAGCTCGCGCACTCGCCGACGGCGTAGATGTTCGGGATGCTCGTGCTCAGGTCGTCGTTCACGATGATCCCTCCTCCTCCTCCTCCTCGCTCGTCAGCACACTCGATCCCCGCGCTCCTCGCCAGCTGGTCGCGGGGCTTGACGCCGATGGCGAAGCAGACCGTCGAGCACGCCATCCGCCCACCGTCTTCGAACACGACGCCCGCCACGTTGTTCCCCGCGTCCGTCTCGATCCTCGCCACTCTCTTTTCCAGCACGACCTCGAGCCCCAGGCCCGCCACCTTCTCCATCACCAGCCTCCCCGCCTCGGCGTCCAGCTGCCGGCTCAGCACCCACCGGTTGCGCTCGACGAGCCGCACCCGCTCGTAGCACCGCAGCCCCATCATCGCGTTCGCGGCCTCCAGCCCCAGCAGCCCGCCGCCGACGACGGCGCCGACGGTGCCGCGGTGGGCGTCGCCGAAGGCGATGAGGCGCTCCAGGTCCGCGATGGTGCGGTAGACGAATACCCCGCGCGCGTCGTGGCCGGGGGTTTGGGGGCTGGGGAGCACGGCGGCGGAGCCGGTGGCGAGGACGAGGATGTCGTAGGGGATGACGTCGCCGTTGGCGCAGGTTAGGGTTTGCGAGGGGGGGGAGATGGATGTCACGAGCGTGTTTATGTGGTAGGCTAGGGCGTGGGAGCGGGCGTGCTGGGTATACTAGGGACATGTATCGTTGTGTGAGTGGCTAGAGTTTTGTGTATGTGTGTATGTGTGTATGTGTGTGTGGGTGGACGGGTGGTGGGAATTAGGTACATACCCATTCTCTCGGATTCAGATACAAGCTCTCGACCTCCCGGTGGCTGAAGAAACTCGTCAGACCAACTCGGTTATAGGCGAGGTGGGGTTCTTCGCCAATGACGACGACGTCGTATTCGCGGGCTCTGGCGTCGAGTTTCAGGAGCTTTTCTCTGAGGAGGGTCAGCTAAATGTTCATATTTAATAAAGAAAGAAAGAAAAAAAAGAAAAGGTCCAATGGGCTAGGGGGGTTAAGACATGGGCTTACATGAAGGCAATGCCGACCATTCCCAGGCCGACGACGACCAATTTCGTTCTACTGTTGCTAGACATGATGGCTGTCTGTATAGGGGGATTGAGATGATTAAGATGATTGATGGCGACTACATCACAACCTCGCGTTTCCTGTAGGTATAACCAAGCAGCTGCTATATCCTACAGAAAGATAGTAACCTAGGTTAGATGAATATGAAGGTATAGGTATCAAACGAAAGCTTTGAGAAGTAGTCAAGGAGTGTTATAGGAAGTTACACAGAAACAGTAATAGGTAGCATAAAGTGCTGGTATTTTATATACTCTCTCCATGCCAGATATGTGCATCTCCGGATGGAAGATGTGTTGGTAGGGAAGATAATACTAATAGATACTAGATAATATTGGACATGTCTGATCTATACCCAGGAGACGGGTAGCTAGCTAGCGATTTATTTACATCTTATTCCTACCGATATGTTCAATGTTATAAGAGGGGGGGGGGTTTCTTGTCAGGGAGCAAATGTCACGCTGGTTCGCAGCTGTTGAGCTTGGCTTTGGGGACGTTGTGATAGGAGGTAACTACTGTGTAAGTGCGATAAGGGGATCCGATGGGAAGATCTAGGCATTTCTGACCAATCACGAACATGTTGAAGTATACAATATTCATTTTATTAGTTGCTCTAACTTCCAAGACTAAAAAGTTCACCGTTGGCGCCCGCGGAGAAGAAGAATAACGGGTGTTGATTCGCTCCGCTGTTTCACTTTCACATGTCGAACCCGATTCACTAGAGAATCTTGCATCTCCGGTTTGTATTTGTTTTCCTTTTTTATTATTTTTCTGTTTATAACTCATATGAACCTTGGAAATGTAAAGTTCATCATATACTGTACTGTGCCATAATGCCACATGCCGCGTGCCGTACGCCATGCATATGTATGTCCAACCTTCACCTTACACAAAACGTCACGAGAAGTACATAGGTATGTATTCAACCGAAACTCTGGATGCATTGTAGGTACCTTCCTACATACCTAAGCACACCAAAAGCCCTCACAACCTCGAAACAAACGCACTCCCCCCCTCAACCCTCCCCACCCCTTCCGCCCCCATAAACCAGCCCACCCTATCCTTCACAAACTGCTCCACCCTCGGCCTCAACACCGTCTCGTGCAGGCTAAAATCATCCACCGTGCCTACGCGCAGGATATGCTGGCCCGGGAAACCGGCGCCGACGCGGTACATGAGGGTGCCGCAGGTGGCGCAGAAGTAGTTCGTCATGCGGTGGCCGGAGGCGATTGTGCTTGATTGTCCGTAGGTTTTTAGTTGTGGCTGGGTGTTGTTGGGGCCGCCGCGGAGGTGCCGCAGGGAGGCGCTGGTGACGACGAAGTTGGTCGCGAACATGGAGGCAGTGATTTTGCGGCAGTCGGTGCAGTTGCAGACGAAGGTTGTGACGAGGCCGGGGGCGCGGAGAGGCTAAAGGAGGGAGGGGATGTTAGGGGTGGAGGTGAGGTGAGAAAGAAAAAGGGGGGGATGGGTATGTACGCACGAATGCGAGCTGGACTGCACCGCAATAACAGGTCGCTGTCGCCTCGTCCTCCGTGGACCAGCCATCGTTGGCGGCGCCGGCTAGAGGGAAGTAAGACTTGGATTTGTCAGGGGCAGCTGCCATGGTGGTAGATTCCTCTTTTTTTTATCTCTCTCTTCCTTTCTGCTAACATTAAAATCAGTTATGGGAAGAGTCTGTGGTTTCAACTGGTAACGTACTTCTTTGATCAAGTCAATAGTTGCTACTATTGTCTAGCAATGGAAAAGATTGCTGCTGCTTAGGTAGTTCCAAGTAGTAGATAAGTATATACTTGAAGCTTTTGATAGAGCAAATAGTAGTAGGATGTCGCAATTAGTTGATTCTATCAACTTTTCTAAACATCAACCTACTCCTGGGATATGATCTCGACTTTATAGATCTCCCCCAAGCTACGGGAAAAAGTCAAATAAAGCATATAGTTCCTCACTTGTCACACATACCCTCCCTTTGATGCTTTCTAATTCAAGCCATTATTCAGCATACCTACAGCTGAGAATATCATTCTCCCGCACATACTACGTCGTGAACTCGACGATGGCCGACAAAAAGCATAGAAAGCTTAGTAATGAACCAGGAACAATATTTCTTAGACTTCACCTTCTGCTCATCATGCATCAAAACCACCACACCCCGCGGGATCATTATCCCTAGCTCATAGCCTCATGGAGACTACCTACCTAGGTAGGTAGCAAAGTTTGGCTAATATAGTATAGGTTCGTCGTGTGATAGCTGATAGCTAATGGCAGCGAGTCTACAGGTTAGTAGTACAGGGCCCTGACCTGACATGCAGGAAAGCTGCCTAGAAGCGCCAGTAACCTGTTCTGGAATATGGTATGGTCGATGCATGCATACATACACATGCATGCAGGACTCATACACTAAGGTATATGCTATTAATACTATAACCTAGCTGGTTAGGATGGGTAGGCAGCGGGTTTTTATGAGGATCACCGTCTATATGCATATTTGTATCCGCAGGAGCTAGAAACTCCGCATCATCGTCATTCTGTCTACCTAGGTATTCTAGCCTTCGTCTGGAAAAATGCTACCCTACCTACCCACCTAGTAGGCATATACGTCATGCATCCATGTGGCACAGCAGGCTCACTATTCTCTGTCTACCGGTATTGTACAAAGTATTACCAATTGGTCCACTTGAGGAGCAAACAGTGGACATCTACCGAAATATTTCAGGGGCCATGAACTTCGACTGCTTCGAGAAGCTATTTAGCTTACGCAACCTCGTGCGGACTATCGAGTCCTTCACCGCTAAGCCAGCCTTGTCCCAGATCTATTTCATTCCTTTCACATCTTTAATCTTCCAAATAGATACTCAGTAATCATTTTATTGCACTGTTCGGAATGAACAGCTTAATAGGGAGCCTTTTTATTATACACGGCGGCAGCGCCTGGGGCTGTAGGTAATCCACGGATGTCATGGAACGAGAACTGATCAAGGAGAGACATGTTCCTCTTCCCGCACAGCGCCCAGATCACCGAAAGAAATACGCAATGACATCGAACCCGATTCTTAAGAGAGCATTGAACTTTTCATCCTTTTTTCTTTTCGTCACCCACAATATCCGCATATGACCGTGAGATTGGCCCATCTAGACATCGAGTTCGGCAGTAGCAGATTCCGAAATATACTTCCTGTATGGCAACAACGCCTTCTCTACAGGACCGCCGGCACCACAATACTTCTCCACAATCTCTACGCTACGGCCAATGTAACTGTAGTAAAACCCGGTTAGTGTGCTATAACAAGCAACACGATCCCGTAGGGGAGTCGTGCGAGGGCTTTGTTAGAAGGAGTATAACTTACAGATCAGCCTGGAACATAGAATCCAGTTCGCCCCAGATAGGCTTGAAGTACTCTGTTTGTCGGATTCGCTCAATCAGGTCATTTGCCTTGCCCTATAAGCCATGGCTTTCATTAGTAGCCACTTCATCTAGGCCGCTTCGAGGCATATACGTAGAAGAGCTACATACCTCATTTTTGACGACGCTTGCTGCTTGATGCGATAAGACTCGAATTTCTTCGTGTGCCCTAGTAAACTTAGCATCAATCACATTCGTCTATTTGAAGCAAGTACTCACTCTTGTCGGGAAGCCCCTAAAGCTACAAGACGCATAATGATCTATAGTAGTAAGAGGTGAGCAAACGCCTTGAATATTGTCAAAGTAGCAAAAAAAAAAAAAGGCGAAATACCGTTTCCGTGATCATGAAGGGCAGCTCTTCATTCAGACGATTCTGGATTCTCTTTGGGTATACTACCAGTCCGTCTGAAATGTTGTCCAGTCCAATGAGAATGGCTTCAGCCAATAGGAACATTTCCGGAATATCCATTCCTGGTTACGCTTGTTAGTTATCATGTGGCATATAGTTGCGCTTCTGGACTTAAAGACTCGAGCCTCTAGTCCCTATAGAGAACCCCTTCAATATGATATTGGGGGCGCCAAAATCAGTAGAAACTTCACGATGAGCACTTACTGCGAATGGCAGAGTCATCAAGGGTTCGTTCCATCCATTGGTCCGATAACGTGTTAGCGAAACTTGCCGGTTTTGCCATTAGCGCGCGAGCCAACGCCGAGCATCTTTCCGCACGCATCTGTAATAAACATTAGACAGCTGCAGATAGGATAAATTATAGAAGGGGGACGGAGGAACAGAATATTTGAGGTGTTGGGTATGCTGGGGCGTATTAGGGGCTTCTTAGACAAGAATATGGATGACTAAGCCAATAAAGGGGGGCAATATAGGTAGAAAAATATAATCTCTTACGGGATTTCTCTTGAAGGCCTAGATAATCTCGAGATTAGAAAAAGTTCACGAACAAGATTACTGGAATAACACACCATAGCCGAAGATCCAATCTGAGACTTCTCAAATGGCTCCTCGATTTCCTTCCACGATGCCAGGTGCCGAATATCACCACAGATCTTCTGCGCGGTGGCACCCAGACCGGACACGGCATTGGCGATGATCAAATCTACTTTACGAGTACTTCGTTGCTATGTTAGCTAATAGAATATAGTTATCAAATAAAGAGGCACAATTCAAAAAAGGGCAAGTCTTACTATGTCTGCGTAGAAATGTCCTGTTCGATATTAGTGAGATGTAACATGATGTCTGAGGATTTCTAACTTACATAGCAACCTGGGAAATCAAACTTTTTACAGAGCAGCTCGTTGAGCTTGTCGCACTTGGAAGAGTCGCCTCGAAAGCTACAGCGATCACGTATTAGCGTGGCATACTCAATCTTGACACGTCCCCAGAGGGTGCCTCCTATACAGGGACTTACATCTCCAAGAATGACGCCTGGGTTCCAGTTGTTCCTACATTATTATTAAGCACCAGCACGTAGCCAATGGGTTCGTAGCCTTGGGGCTATCGCTGAAACCACCGTGAAGCGCAAGGATTTAGATCGCTTACCTTGTGCGCCCCGGAACTTCAGCTTATTTCGTACTTCCTCAATACTCTCAAGGTCGAGCTGTACCTAAATTAGTAATGTTTTCCGAATGACTCGATACCCATATGCGCAACACAAGGCTCTCTACTGGGCGGTTAAAATATTTACATACCATAAGGTCTTGAACCCATTGCGCCGCTTTTCAGCTGTTAGCCATTGCTTTCTGGCCAAAGACAAATTGCAAACTAGGAACCCTCCGCCTTACCCCTTTTTCCAACACTGTGTGGCCTAGGAACATCTCAGTCAGTCTCAAAAAGAAATTTTAATGGTAAAACAAAGATGGCCTCTGTCACTCCTGCTAAGAAAATGGGGGTTACTAGGAGAATGCTTACTGGGCCGCTTGCAAATGAGTGTACGCGAGTGTTGGTTCGCCTACGATACGGTCAGCATAGTTTTGCAATCCCAAAAGGGGTAATATTGATCGGAGCACTCACCCTTCCATTGGAGAGCAAAAGCTGATAGGTTTGAAATGACCTTGGCTAGCTTCTTTAGTAGGAGATCCAAAGCATCTCGCATGATGATCAATTCGGCATTATCGGTGACTATTAAGGTACATGTCAGTTATTTCTTTGCCATTTATATGCGTAGCTGAACACTTTTTCTTTACCACTGTTGAATCGTTAGTCTCCTGGTAGTCAAGCAATTTGGAAAAGGGGAGAAGCACAAGCATGAAGTGGCGCCTAAGTGAATAATGCCAGCGGCGGATGGGGCAACAAGGCCATATGCGTGAACATGCTGTGCCCATGATTAGCTGTGGCTAAGAGGAATGTCGCAAAGGAAGCAGCTTACGGCCATGACATCCTGTGGCACATCTAGTTAGTAATAGAGCGAAGAAAGTGTGCACTGGCTATGCGACGGCTATTATTTACATGTCTACGCTTCTTCTCTTCAATACGAGCTGTCTCAAAATCGTCGTCAGTGACTATGAGGTGAGCTTTCATTTCATCTAGAGCCTCAGGAGTGATAGTAGTAATGCCGAGCTCCTTTTCACTCTCTGCGAGACCCAACCACAGTCGGCGCCAAATGGAATGCCTCGAACGTTGACTGAAAAGACCCATCATCTCAGGGCTACAGTAGCGGACACTTAAAGATGTCTGGTAAGTATCGAAAGACGAAGGTCTGGTCTTCTGCGCCTTTACACTCTGGAGCTCCTGTTGCTGCTCCAGAGGATGCTTGTCGCCTGCCATGTTGATATAGGATGAGCGATCTGACCCGCTCAATATAAAAATTGGAAGATACTATGTTGGTGAAGATATCTTGAGATGATTCTAAGATCAATTGTTTTAAATCAACGTTGCCAATTGCTCCTTAAAAAATGTAAGGCAATTATAAAAAAGTTGAGAAATTTTTGACGATGAGTAACTGCGGTCTTTAGTGTAGATCGGAAAGGTTCCTTACTGCGCATGTGTGTACTAGTAGTACAAGGTTGCTAAACCTAAGTTACCTAACGTTATTATTTGCTTTTGCATGTTGCAGTAGGGCTGTTTGCACAAGATATTCAAATCCTGCGCTAAAACTCAATTCTAACTTAAAATAGTACTAGTTTTTCTTGTCTCCCCGCCGCGGCAGATCGATGTCGGAGTCTTTTTCTTTCCTTTTCCTTTTCCTTTTTATTTTTATTTTTCTCTATTGTTTTTTTTTTATCCTTAGAAGCCTTTGAAAAGTTCAAGAGACTAGATGTTTTATACTTCAATGTTGTCACCGAGTTATGGGTCACATTGGGGGACAATTGATATAACCTAGTGATGTAACCTACATGTAGAGGAGAATGCCTACCAGTCCACAATTCCACGACCCTTCGCCAATACGACGTATCACCATCAGCAATAATATCATTGATTCAGTGACGTCGGTCGATATCCTAACTTTGAGACCTATGTGGTTACACCCACAATTAGAACAGCCACCCTACTCAACCTTAGCACACGGTTGACGAACAACTTAACACAATGACAATCTCACATTACATCTGTGCAACAACGTGGCCAGCAGGCATCGAAACCCGGTTAGTTTCATTCGCCATCTATGAAGGAACAAGTAACCTACCTACCTTGGTACACCTACATTGGTCCGAGGGCATTAATGTCTATCTTACGATTGGCGATCAATTTCGACAAGTGATCAACTTTATGTAGATATTTTCAATCAAAGGCTCTGACCTAACCCTACCACTATACTCAATTACTTGTAATCGAGTCGAGTTGAGAGTATACCTAGTAGTTAGTCAGATGCAATGATGCTACATGTACTAGAGTGCATCTGCCTTTATTCGTGGTATGGCCATAGAATTGTATAATGCTATCTTAACCTGAGGAACAATAGGCGATTTCTACCAACTCAAATCGATGATCTTTATGGTACCCTACCCCCCCTTACATCAAATTATATCTTAGGACAAGCCTTCAACCTTCGAGTGGTACTATTAAAGGACTTAAGCAATCGCTTCTTGGTAGAAGGATCGATATCTACGAGAAGCGTTATGCTCCTACCCAGATTCCTCAACGGGGCTCTTTTAATCTAGGCTGGAAGCTAGATGTTATGAACCGGACTCAGTCTGACGCCTAGCCCTGGGGGTCGAAGATTTAAGCTATGAGCAAATAGCTACCTATGCTTGAGCCAGGTCAGCAGCTTTCAGACGACCATTACTTATCTCCCAATCAAAAGTAATGATGTGGTTTGAAGGGTCATGGCTATGTTTTCGACCGACCTCTCGGAGGTATACCAACTACGTAGTGGTTAGCACACTCAAAAGGTAACGGTGGGAGAACGACTCTGTCATCGATTCTAGAACTCCGAACTTGTTCTATCCGCTGGAGGCTATATATATATATTGTGTGTAAAAGAAAGCCTATGGGTCAATAACTTGGGAGTTCCAAGAAGGGTTCTTCAACGGCGCCGGAATCCCCGAAAGCAACTTGACATAGGCAACACGAAGGGATAAAAAATGACAGCTGTTCGCCTAACTCGAGTCATGATATATCGCGTACTCCGCGAAGTAGCCCTACGGATCGAAAGTTTAAATATCCCGTTAGGTATCTGCTTTGATTGGCTGACTTGACTACATGGTTAGTTATTTAGAGAATACTTCTTTCATCTCTGGTCTGGTACTGTTAACGCATTACAAGATTGTCTTGAGGAATTATGATATGCTTGATTCCTTGAGCTCAAGATCCTGATCGACGTGAGGCACTCACCTTGCGTGTTCGGCGGAACATTCCGTGCATATAACTGTAGCCTCTTACAGCTAAGGGGCGTTAGTTAGACGTACCCGTCCAGCCGTCTTCCTAGCACGAAATGTAAGCCTCAAACATCCGATCGATTTTCATAAAAATTGGACTGATATATAATCAATAAAAGGCTTGTTGTAACGAGGTAGGTTAGGTTTGAAGGTATGTATCCAAGAAGAAGAGATTATAGGTAATAGGTACCTAACCTAGCAGCTTATTAGTTGAAACACACCTCAACGCTATAGGTACTAGGTAGTTAATTCTAACCTGGTTCAGCCAGATGGTACTTTGCTTGGTACTTAGTACTCCAAATATGGATTCTCTTTAAAGTGGGTGAGATGGGGTTACTCGTGGGTTGACAAGGTTGGAAATTGAGGGTGGAGTGTTATAAGTATGGCAAGTGTGGGATGCTACACGCTAAAGAGCACATGGGACTCCGCAGCTGAGCGACGCCGATCTATCTGCAAGCCCCACAAAAGGTTCTTGATTGTCTGGGCTGTCTGAGTACATATATACATGACTTCGAATGTACTTATAATCAAAAGGATACATGCACAGTACCTACTCAAACATCGAGGTTTCCAATAAACTCGGACCGTAACAGAGTATGCACCTGAGTATTTACTTAGTAATATTTCTCTTACGAGGTACCTCCAACGGGCTGCAGTGATGTAGTACCTCCATACAAACATAGTACATTCCAAATGTTAAGATGTAAATACATATATGTACATGACATTGAACGCTTATCCATCTGCTCGCAGTTCAATGTTCCAATTGGCAATTGCAAGCATTGAAAGCAACATTGAACAAGCAAGCGGCAGTAGGAGGTAGCAACAAGAAAGTAGTTGCATTCAACTTATTACATACCTACCTACCTTTAGTAGATGCACTCTGGTTCTTAGTCGACTCTCAAATCAACTCTACCTACTCAACTTAACTCAACTCAACTCAACTTACCTTTTTCAAATCATTCCTTCTTTTCGTCTTTTTTGACTCTTCCTATTCCGTCGCATATCTCAACTCCAGCCCCCAGTGCTGTTGAGTCTACTACGTACTACGTACTTTGTACTATTTTCTACAAACATTGAACTCCTTACACATACAACTAAACTACTTAATACATGAAATAACGGCGCCAGTCAACCAGACTAGGAATTTTGTAGGGATCTTTTCGAAGAAGTGGATCACTTCTTGACCTCCTGACATCCCATTCCGAGGTCCTCCCTATCATTACTTTCTGTCGTTTTTTTGCGCTTAATTATTTGTCTGCCTCTTCTCTTGGTATTTTTCTGAACTGCCCATCGTTCGTTTAACTCGTTATCGTCTTCAGCGTTCTTGATGCTATTGACCTATTGGCTTATTGAACAATACCAATACAAGACCAATTCAAAATTAAGCAAACTGGCTTAACACACTAAACTCTATCTTGCAATGGGCAACAATCAAGGCAAGCCCGTTGACCTCAACGGCGAAGGTATGTTTCTTACTTGTTACCTACTGTTTCTCCCTTGAGGGGGGCTATATAGGATTCCGCCCGTTGTCTCGGAACTGTCACTTGCCCAACCAACAACGCGCTCCTTTGGCTGACCTACCATCTTTACCGCTTCTTAGTAAACCTCAACCATTTCCGATTATTACGAGTAGTCGGCCGCGGCGCCTTTGGCAAAGTACGGATAGTCGAAAGGAAAGATACAAACTTATCCTTCGCGCTGAAATATATTCGCAAAGATGAGGGTACGTCGACCCTGGGCAATGAAAGCCATCCCTGGCCAGAATTCCCATCATGATACATAATAGAAGAATATTCACATGTTAACATCCCTTCCCTTCTACAGTCGTACGCTCCGAAAGTGTTCGAAATATCATACGAGAACGTCGCATGCTCGAACATGTGAACCATCCCTTTATTTGTAACTTGCGTTACAGCTTTCAAGATATCGAGTACATGTATGCTTTCCCCACCATAACACCGACATTGTCCTTGTCAACGGGAGCAGCTTGCCTAATATGACAACTTCCAATAGGTACCTCGTGGTTGATTTAATGAGCGGCGGCGATCTACGTTTCCACATCTCAAGAAAGACATTTACCGAAGAGGCTGTGCGGTTCTGGATAGCTGAGCTAGGTTGTGCTCTCAGATATATACATGGACAGGGTATAATACATCGTGATGTAAAGCCGGACAACGTATTGTTGGATGCTGATGGTCATGTCCATCTGACTGATTTCGTAAGTCTTTTCACCCTGGCGCATGGTTCCAGGCAGCATAACTCTAAACAGCTAACCTTTTGCTATCCAGAATGTCGCATCGGACGTTGTACCCGGCAGAGTTCTTACGAGCAAATCGGGAACACTAGCATATCTCGCCCCCGAAGTCTACGCAGGCAGAGGCTACGATATTCGAGCCGATTGGTGGTCATTGGGTGTCCTCTTCTACGAATGCATCTATAACAAGGTATATATCAAACTAACTTCATAAGGGTCCGAAAGCTGTTAGTCTATAAATGTGCTTACCAAGATGATAGCGACCGTTCGAGGGCAACTCGGAAGCGACATTGACGAACGTCATCCTCGGCGCGAACCCGAAGTTTCCTGTCACCCAACCCCCCGTCTCGCTGCCGTGTTTGTATGCCATTGGTGCGGCCCTCAACCCGAACCCTGACAAGAGACTCGGTCATACATGGGAAAGCTTCATATACGAGCCCTTTTTCCAATGCATTGACTTCATAGCTTTGGAAAGGAAGGAGCTGGAGCCCGTGTTTATCCCATCATCAGAAAAGACCAACTTCGATGCTACCTACGACCTAGAAGAATTATTACTAGAAGAAGCGCCCTTGGAAGCCAGGGCACGAAGGCAAAAACCCAGAGAGAGGTTAAAGGATGATGCTACCGAAAAGGAGATTCGGGAAGAGGAACTGTATCTCACTATAGAGCGAGAATTCCAGCCGTTCGACTACACTGTGGCGGCCTATAAGAAGTGAGCATTTTCGTCTTTCTTTCTTAGCCATTGTACTTGCTAACTTGGTATTAGACTTACGGGAATAAATGGCGAAGAGATCTGCGATGACGATTCTAACCCCGGTCCAGCTAACCAAGAACCCCAAGCCATTAGCACGAACGATGTTAAGCCGGCTCCAACTGGCAATGGGGTTCCACAGCCATCCTATCAACCCACACCTGCTCCGGGATCAAGCCCACCAGACAAGGCCTATCCGAATCCCACCCGACCAGCACCGGCCACACCACGACAGCAGCCGCCACCGCTACCGTCCTATCACCGAGCATATAATAATAAGAGCATGTCTCAATCGTCAGGAATACAAGTCAAGTCGCCAACCGGTGGGATGTCAGTTACTCTCGATGACACTGGCAGCTGGTCGGATCTGGCGCGTAGGGATGCCACCTTGCCTGCTGATGCCAATGCTATAAATGACGATAAGCCAGGCTCAGGGAGCGGCGGCGTCTTTGGGATTTTCGGTCGAAAGAAGAGGGGCCACAGTCCGAAACCAAAAGAGAGGGGAGTTTTGGGTAAAGAAGGAGCTCGACAAGTGGTCGGTTGATATTATCACAGCATTTGATATCATAGCGTACATTGATTATCTTTGAGTACGAGGAGCGAGCGAGCTTGCGGGAACTTTCGTGGATCTATTTACTTGTTATACCCGTCTTCCATCGCAGAAAGAACATCTCGTTTGATCTTCTTTTGCGGGCCGAAGCCAAACCCCCGAGCATACTATATGCAAGTCTTCATTAGTAGAAGACTGAATTCGACACACCAAACAATCCGGCGGTCACGATATCCTCGTCAATTCTTAAATGGATTGAGAGCAAAACCGTACCCATGGACTGCAAGCATACAACGAGCCGGATCACACACACCTGGGCCTCACCATCACCATCCGTTTCGAGTGAGATTTTCAGTCGGGATTTAATACAGCTTGTGACTCGTCAGTGACAAGCCCCGGTTTAGTTTACGGAAGGCCTATTCAAGATGAAATGAAGTTGTTATGACGCCCGCATGGAATTTCCCTAATTGGCTACGTCAATGTTATGGCTCACGGCTTACAGCTGATGCAAGCTGAAACGGGATTTACAAGATCCGTTGGTGGCAGCAATCAGCGAGGGAGACGAGACAGTGACGTAGGTAGGCAGGTTAGGATATTGGGTAACAACGGAGGCGTATAGACACACTATTACTACTAGGTACAGTCGGCATGTTCTATAGTGGTGGTGGAGTATTGGGGTGTTCAGGCCACCGCTCTGCAGAGGGCATGAATATACATATTTTTATGAGTGTCGTGTCTAAATTGAATTACGATATGTCTCGTGATTGCACTAACTTACTGGTAACTGGGTAGGAAGAGCTGATACATGTGCAATAAGCACGAATGCTAGAGCAAACTGCGAACTGGGGACGTGATGTGATGTGGTATGAGCTGAAGATGGACTAATGCAGGTCTAGCTGAGCTTGCAAGCCACACACATGCCTAAGCCCTTTCCTTATGGCTGTGTTCAAGAGATTGGCAATGATTTCAATTTGATTCTTCTTAAATGACGGAATAGGAATTACCAAAAGCGTGCGCGATTTAGAGGCCTCACGAGTAACTGCGGCTTCAGGTTCCAAGAGGCTTCAGCCATAAGCACTTGGGAGTAGCGTCAAGCCAATGAAACGGTAACTATCTACATAACAGTGTGCGTGGATTTAACTTTGGGCTGTTGACGATAACAAAGTAGGTAAGTATAGACTAATAATGGCCGTCTGAGCCGAGATTATGTATGGTTCTGGTCTTATAACCGTATAACTCCTTTATTACCAGACCGAATCCGGCATAGCATACAAGCCACAATCAAGCCCGTCACCCTTTCGATGACGATGAAGCCATACCAGTATGTTCCTTTGGACCACTCGTCCGATGATATCCGTCTGGTCACCATCCTACCAGGGAAGCCGAGCGACCCGATCCGGATCCGGATCACACACGCATCGCTCGCCATTCCACCACCACCTATCACAGTAGACAGCGATGAGAAACAGAAACCGAAGCCGAGGCTGTCGTTGAAGGAGATACGCAAGACGCTTCCGAACGGATGGGCTGCGCTGGAGACTTTGGAGGGGAGGATCGTGTTTTGGAATAGGGGGAAGAGGCACTCGTCTTGGATCCATCCGAACCCGAGTTTCCCCCGTCAGGCGTACCATGACCCTGTCGATGGAGATGGAGATGGAGAAAATGGGCAATCACAGGTCCCCTCCTACGAAGCCCTGTCTTACACCTGGGGCTCCCCTGAAGATCCCCAGGAAGCCATCGTCGAAGAAGGCTGGGAAGACGAGACGCCACCACCACCACCACCCACACCATCTGGTGAAAAGCGTGGTCGCGTGGGGGATGAGGGGTCTCAGCTATCATCCCTACCCATCTCCAAGAACCTCGCAGAAGCGCTACAGAACCTTCGGTTCAAGGACAGCGCCCGCGTCATGTGGATCGACGCGCTCTGCATCAACCAGTCCGACGTCCGCGAAAAGGCCGCGCAGGTCAAGCGCATGGGGCATATCTACCGCCTCGCGCGCCGCGTCGTCGCCTGGCTCGGCCCCAGCTGCCCCACCAGCGGACTCGCGCTGTCCGAGATGGCCCGAGTCGGCGAAGGGGTAGAGTGCTCGCGCGACCACTGGATGCTTCCCTCGCCCGGATGGGGGGGAGGAGGAGGAGGAGGGCCGAACTGGGCGGATCCGCGGGCGGCGCTGCCGTACGATGCGCAGGCGTGGGACGCGATTGCCCGGCTCTGCGCGCGCGAGTGGTTCGCGAGGCTGTGGATCATCCAGGAGATTCACTTGGGCGATAGCGCGCGCTCGGTCTTGCAGTGCGGGCGCAGCAACCACCCCGACGACAACAACACCAGCACCAGCACCAGCACCAGCACCAGCACCAGCACCAGCACCAGCACTGCGACAAAAACAACGATCCCCTGGCCCCTCTTCCGCCGCGCCCTCCGCGCCATCTACGCCAAGTTCTCGCACGCCCCCACCCCCCTGCAGCAGCGCCTGCGCGGCCTCAAACAGCTCACCTCCGACGTCGGCGGCAAGACCCTCGACGCGACGCTGCATCAGCATGCCGACCGCCGGTGCCAGGACCCGCGCGACAAGGTGTACGGGCTGCTCAGCCTCGTCGCGCCCGCGGTCCGCGCGCGGATCGTCGTGGACTACGAGCTGCCGGTGGCGAGGGTGTACGCGCAGGCTTTCAGGGCGGGGGCGGAGTGCGAGCGGAGGGTCGAGCAGCTGGTTTACGGGGGGCTGAGGTATGCGATTTTCAGACGGGAGGCGGGGGAGAAGGGGTTGCCGTCGTGGGTCCCGGACTGGGAGCGCGAGATCCGGGTCACGCTGCCGAGGGGCCTGGGGTTCTGCGCTAGTGGTGTTTCGGCCTTTTCTTCTCCTTCTTCTTCTTCTTCTTCTTCTGCCTCGGATGGCTGTGGCGAGTACTTCTCTCCGAGATTGCGGGTCAAGGCGCTGCGCTTCTCCCGCGTGGTGGGGGTCAGGAAACAGATCGAGGCGCGGGATTTCGGGGAGTTGGTGGATGTGTTGGGGGGGATTGTGGCAACGCCGCCACCACTGCCGACGACGACGACGACGACTACGACGACTACGACACAGGTAGAGGTGGATGCAGGGGAAGGGGGGAAGGATACGCACCGCCTAAAATACCCAAGCAGCAGCAGCAGCAACAACAGCGAAGGCAAAGAAACGTACGCCGAAGCATGGCTTGCCGCGCTGACGCGCGCCCGCTCCGAGGACAGACTCCCCGCGTGCGGGTTCCCGAGTCTGGCGCTTATTAAGGCGGCCTTTGGGATTGCGGGGGATGGGGAGATGATAACGGAGAAGAAGAGGGAGGAGTTGCTGCCGGCTGAGTATAGAACGCTGGTTACGGGGTGGGCGCGGTGGAACTTTGGGTTCGAGCTGGGGAACGGGTATGTGGGTGTGATTAATGGGTTTCCGATGAAAGGTGAGTTTGGCTTTTGGCCCTCCTTTTTTGGTTGTTGTTGCGTGATGTTTGGGTATTGTAGTAGGTAGATGTGATGTAATGGGATGGGATAGAATAGGGGGAGTAATGGGATGCTACGGCTTGGTATGATTTGGCTAATAAATGGAGGATATAGGCGACGAAGTCTTTGTCGTACTAGGCTGCGATGTCCCGATGCTTCTGCGCCCCAAGTCGGATGGCGAGTATCAAGTTGTGGGGGATTGCTACGGTATGTGGTTTTCCTTGGAATTTGTTCCTATAATACCCCCTTTTCCCCTGTCCCCTTTCCTCCAGGCGTAAATCAACGATTTACCTACTTACCTCCTGCGTATTTCTAGTCCACGGAATTAGTAAGTAACCCCTTTTATACCCGATCCATACCTCCCCTTATCCCCCTATCTCCCTAACCCCCCTCCACTTGACTAACCCAACACCCACCCAGTGGACGGCGAAGCCCTCCTCGGCCCTCTCCCCCCGTCCTGGCGAATCGTCATGACGCAAGAAGAAGACGGGATCCCACGACCTCGCTACATCCACACCACCACCACAACCTCAACAGACCAAGACCCACGACTGACAGGCATCCCAATGGCGCCCGACTGGCAAGCCGGCGCGTGGGAGCGGACCCGCGTCGACCCGAACAACTGCTGCCGCTTCCGGAACACGCGGACCGGCGAGGTCGTCAACTCGGACCCGAGGCTGTTCCCCGAGGCGCTGGAGGCAAGGGGGGTGGATGTGAGGACTATTACGCTTGTATGATGGATACATGGATGGGTAGGTTCCTACCTACATATGCTGGGCATAGGTAGGGGGCTATCTACTATCGCCTTCCCCCTCCCAGTAGACGTCACGGGGTAAATATACAGTGATTAAGTTGCACAACATGATTATCAAGTATGAAGAACTCAGACATCATTATTCCCGAGGGGACGATTCGCCCCTCCTATATTCATCACCTTAACGATATTGACATTTCCGAGAAATTGTCCAAAATCCAGCTATTTCATAATATCATCATTAAATCGATTATACATCTATCATAGATGCGTGGCGCCTCAGAAAAGGTTCGTGGTACCTTACGTCTTCATAGGAGAGCAATGCCCTCACTCTTCGTGCATCTAACAGGCTCACAATTCACATTACGCACTCAATCATGATCCCAAGTTTCGTATAATCCACGACTTTCAATTGTGTGGCGGAGTACTATACAAAGAAAGACATACAAATGCCATCTCGAATGAAATGTCCCTTGAAAGTCCTCTGCTCATGAGAGTGGTGTATGTGAACACCTCCATCTCCCAGAACATCAAATCATCAGCTGTCATCATCATCGTGCCACCTTATTTCATGTCCCCCTAACTGTCACGAATAAACACCTGTTGATACGTGTACCCCAAATATTTGGCTTCGGCTACACTCGGCTTCGTGAAATGTGGCCAATTGCCCCCAAAATATTTACCATCCTGTGCCCGGAAGTGGGCAGATACGGTGCAAGGAAATGGATATAAGCTGAGAATAATAGTGCGTAGTAGTGTATGTTGATAACAGTGATTTTCCGCCTTTCTCTGTCGCAAATGCAACTCCGGTTCCCAATGAGTGGTTTATACGACATAAGAGACTAGAAGATACTGGTGATACCTTCTAGATGACCGATCCCATTGCCATGTACGTCGTAAGCCTGTAAGAGGTAATTGGTAGCCTCTATTACCACGTCGTTTCCGTAAATGAATAATATTTCCTATTTTGACCCAGTGAATCGTGGCTGTTGCTGGTGGTGGCACAATGATGGTAGTGTTGATAAAAGGTAGTAATTACGCCCTCGTGGTACAGTTTCCGGCGTCGGAGCCAAGGTACTTTGTCATCACAGCCTTGAAATCTTGTTCGTCGACAACGGCCCCTGTGCCGCCACACTTAGCCTTCTTTTGGAGGTCAGAACAAAGTCCATCAAGGTCGAGATCGCCATTTTGTACTCGGGGACAGGACTGCAATTTCTCCCTGTTATGATATGTTAGCAATCTATTCACTCATTGTGTTATGTATTCCTGCGAGAAAAGAGTGTTTCCACGTACCAAATGTTAGTGCAAGTAAGCAGCTTCCCGTTCTGGCCCGTGATGATGGTATCCTCTGACTCCTTTCGGGCATCAATCTCGGCAATCAAGTTCTTCTTTGGGCTTGGCGCCACATTGAAAGGTGTTGTGAAGTCAACATCGAAAGCGTCATTAAAGAAACTGTCATCGAACGTGGTGTTGGCTAAGACATTCTCCTGCGGTTCTCGATACTCGCCGAAAAGCTGTGGATCAAATTGGCCTCCATTCTGCTGTGACAACCAGTCAAAATTGGAAAAGTCCATATTATTGAGATTAGCGAAGTCTGTTAATCCTATTAGCGATCAAGAAGTTGATGATTTATGACGGGAACGTTGAAGACGTACGGGACATGGAGTCACTCGTCAGCGATGGTTGCTCCTCGCCAATTGTGGTCAGAGTATCAACGGGCTTGAACCCTAGCGGTGATTGAGTAATTGGTTCAGGAGAAGTTCCGCAAGAAGAACTAGGACCTCCATTAGAGTTCGCCGTTGACGAGCCGGGAGAATCCGAGTTTGCTCCATTCGCGCTGTAGTGGCTTGAATCCACGCTGGTCCTTGATACACTGCCACCAAAGGTACTTTCGTAAGGGGAAGTCGATGACTTATTTGAAGAATTCTTCGGTGCAGCATCTGAGTTCTCCCGACTCTTCATCGAGTTGGGGCTGGCTAGCCCCTGACCCTTGCCCTTTGGGCTAGTTTGGTTATTCGAGGCACCGTTAGACGACGATGATTGGTGATATATCGACTTAACACCACTCAAGTCGTTCGCCCCAGGTAGGACGCCAAACTTGGGAAACTCGAATTGAAAATTGACATCGTTCAAATTCTGTAGCGCGGCACTGCCAAAGGCCTGGTTTCGTTGCGCCATACTCGTGACTGGATGGACATTGTTCATCAACGATAGTTTTTTCTTGTACTCGCTTAGCTCCATCGTTAGTTTATCAATCTGGCTGCGCAGTTGTGAATTCTCGTTATTTGTGGCCGTAGAGACTTTTTCCAATTCTTCCACCTTCGTCTCAAGATCCTTCACGTGCTTCTCCTTCCGCTCCCGGAATGCTCGCTGGGCCGCGCGATTCTGAGCCTTCCTTTTCTATATTTTATGGTTAGATCAAGTTACTCTACCAAGGTGGATGATTGCCAACACTCACCGAGCTTGGCTCATTTGTAAGTGGCTTGCGACCTGGCTTCTTGGGAACCTTTCCTTCACTCTCTCTTCGCTTGCCTCCACCATCTTCCATGTCATCTTCATCATCATCATCTGGGTGGCTTCTCTTGTCGGGAGTGTCGTTCTCTGGAGAGCTAGACTTAGAGTCATCCTTGGGCGAGCCACCAGGAAGATCTCCGATCATCTTGGCTTGACCATCATGGGTGAAGTCGAAGTCAAAGCTAGTATCAGGTGCTATGTCGTAGTCATAATCCAGGTAGGGGCTCTCTTGGATGCCGTTGGAAGTGCCCTCAGGACTATTAAAATTTGGGGTACCATTCTGATTCTCAACGGGGGACTTGGTCAAAGAACCAGGTGACAAGGACAGAGCATTGTTTGGGTTATTGCTGTTGCCGCCTTGCTGGTTTGATGTAAGCGCGCGAAAGAGCAGGTTCTGCTGCTGAGGCGTGAGGATGAAGTTGGGCAGAGAGTGAGCGTGAGTCGAGGCCATGGCGACTGTGATAGGAAGGAAGACGAATCAACAATATATGAATATGAATAAGTCACAGTTAGAAACAGCAAGGTAAAGATAAGTAAATAGATATGAATTGGATATATGTCAGTGACCCCTCTTAGTAGGGTGGGAAATTGTCAAGCGACGTGAGCCGATGCTATCAATGACGACGACTCGCGTATGTATGTGTTGGTTGTGTTAAAACGCAGCGATTGCCGCGCTTAGTGTCGACGAGGTCCTCAAAGCTTCAAAGATAATGAAGCTTGAGAAGCTGATAATTCCTGATGATCGAAGCTATCCACATCCAAACCGGTACAGATGATGCCTTGTGTGCAAGAACTAGGAAAGAAAGACAAAATTCGCCTCCTGGGGCCCTAAGGCTGAGATGGCGAGCGAACTGTATGGGGCAACGGCGTTTCTGGCCCTGAATTTTCTTTCGAGTGGCAGTTGACGTAGGGATCACACTGCTAACACACCCGGGGTCCCCGTTTACTTGGCTGATTGGAATAGGGATAGGATGGGACAGGATGGGATAGGATGGGATAGGATGGGATAGGATGGGATGTGGGATGGAATGGGGACAGCGTGTTAATGTTGAAAGAGAAATGAGGCTTGCGCAGTAGGTAATAGGTATGCAGAAAAGCGATCTACGAACAAGTTGCAGATACTAGGTAAGTAAGTATGTAGTGTATGATGTGAACTATTTTCACGATGGGAAAGGAATTTGAGAGAGGGGACCAGAAGACGGGCAATTTTCCGATTTGTAAGCGCAAGATTATATGGATATGGGCCAAAAAGGAATTTAATGTGGCGGGGAAGAACATTCAATTCAACTCAAGTGCTGAAGCCTACATGTACAGTACAGTACCTAGTACCGGTATATCTGCAGTGGATTTCGGAATTTCGGACATATCGGACTTTGAATGTGGCTGATTGTCCTTTATGTAACTATTAGATATAGTTATGTATCAATATGTATATATGTTACGTTCACGCCGTCTTTTTTCGTTTGTCTACTACTAGTACTACATATGTACATGTATTTCTCTTCTCTTTCTCGCTGAGAGCGATATCCTTTATTTGGCTGCATCCACCGAAGAGTGTCTCGAACCCTCGACAGCATTCCATTCCTTGTCTAGAAGCCAGTTTTTAGTCTACGGTAGTGTGACTACCACGCATGATATATTGCTGTACCTACTATGTAAGGTTACTTCAAGATGGTATTACTACCGGGAAAGATGCTCCTACTTGTACATGCGTGTGTGTATGTTGTAAGCCTTGATGGGCAAACCCCGGTTTCATGTCCAGTGCCTACATGCCTCAACCCAGTGCTTACCAGATTCGCTACCAATAGGTCACAGTATACGTTGACAAAGGCCACATTCACAAGAGAGATCTCCAATGAAAGTCTCTTACGCAACAGATGCGTGGGGGGGACATCGGAGACTTAGAACAGGTATAGACGGTCTATGTATATATATGTACATACTTGATATACGGTATGATACACAGTAGATACATTCAGCGGTACCATGCATCCATAGACGTATCATAAATGTACGGTAAGAACTTGTGCTACTGGCTACTAGATGAAACGGTCAGTTTGATAGGCCCGAGTCACGTTATCGGGGGTTGAATTTAGCCTTTTGGGTGGGGGAGGGGAATCAAAGACTGGGGTTAATAAGAACCAAGCGATTCTTATTCCTTGTTTCTTGTTTCTTGTCTCTTGTTATTAAAGCAAAGCAAAGCAGCATTGCATTGCATATCTTCACCGTCTGTCTTTGGCTCTAAACTCTGACTCTGACTATTTATGACTCAAACCGAAATCACCGATTTGGTTTCGGCTTAGGGATTCGGCCTGTCGGGTTAACTACCAATGACGACTCCCCGTCAGCTCGGTGCCTGGCGGTCGGGTCTGTGCCCGATGATCAGCACGCAGTGTCTCTTAGGAGAAGGCACTATCTTGGATAGCTTTGGTAACCGACTGGTCGAGCCTGGAAACAGTGAACATACTAGAAAGGTAGGTATTTAAATAGTTGAAGCATTGCAGGCATGATGCATCGCAGACTGGCTCGCCTGTACGAACCCCCCCCAAACAAAGATTCAATGTTCTTATTAGTGGTCGGGTATCGTATGGGTGCCGCTAAGCAGCAGCATAAGCCCTAGGCTGAGATTTGGCCACCTATGATATGTACATAGTGTACATATCATCGATATAGCCCGAGGAGTTACTTTTTTATACCTAGGTGTCTAAGTCCATAGTACACATAGTACAGGTCTGTAAAGCTGCCGAGTGTCGGAATTCTCACCTCACATCAATACTTACATAGATACATATGCACCACCGTAATTGATTTGAAATCGTGAGGGCAGCTCTACATATGTACAAATAATTGCGCACGCATGACAGGATACTGAGGATAGAAGATGCTGCTTTAAGGCGATAGGTATACATAGTGTAGATGAGCTGGTGACTGGGATCTGGTACATTCAAGATACGTAGGCGGAAACTTCTACGGTAAGTTCTACCTATGTATTGCGGACTTGCTCTTTTCGGCGTTGGTTCCCGCATCCATTCCAGAAGGATACCTACGTGTACCTAGGGTACATTGATAGTACGGTTCAAAGTTGGATGTACGTGCTATTTTATAGTAGAACATCCAACTTTGAAGTTGACTATTAATACATGTATGTAGGTAGTTACCTAGGTACATATTTTACAATTGAAGGTTCAAATGTTGAAGCTAAGCCACATCTACTATGATTGGCGGATTAGATCAATGGGAGCCGTTAGCCTATTAGTATGGCCTATCTAGTACCGTATATTTTCGGCATTATGGTCCTCTTGTTAGCTCCACTTATTAATGCGCTTTACTTAATTAGGGTGATTTACCCCAAGGTTTATTCAACTACACCTCATTTCGGAGGGATTCTTATCCGATTCCAGCAATATTAGCACGCAATGTCACGTGTCGGCACGTGAAACCTGCTCTCCAATATTTACGTTTATCTGTTATTTCTTGATAGATATATGAATATTTGAAGCTTCTTAATTAATGCATAACACTTTAAACCTATCCTTATTGAAAAAACATAGAAATAAGATAGGTAAAATTAGGATCACGTGGATTTTGATAACACTAGTACCAGAGCCTCAGCACTGAACTAACCAAATTGGGCAAGGTGCACAAATAAGTGGAGCTAACAAGAGGACCATAATGCCGAAAATATACGGTATGGCCAAGGCGATTGGTATCTTCTACGCTAAAATACGCCGCATAGGTATTGTACAAACAGCACTAATCAGAAAATAGGAGACCGCGTAGCCTTTCCGTGCTAAGCGGCGTCTCCAAGTTTCCATACGTCAATCGGCAGATGCCCACCATCAGCCTCGTTACCTTGTCACCGTCAATGCTAACCCCCAATACCGGAACATCAACATCAACCATTAATCATTTACCATCGACCATTAACCCAACATACCTACTAAGTACCTAACCATACATTTAGTAGATACTACCAACACAGTATTATCCCACGCCCGAGGGCACTTTTTGTGGCTTACGCATTACCCCTCCCTCTTATATTGCAACATTGAAGAGAATCCTATCCTAGGCTAGCAACACACTTGCTTGGTCAAGGTAGTATACCGGTTCATTTTTAAGGGAGTCTTACAACCTGACGTAACCATGGATCTCGCATACGACCACATAGCCGAAGAATCTTTCCCCAAGGACAGTAACGCCAATAATTCCAATGACAACAACCAGAATGCAGAATCCTCCTCCCGCAAGCAACCCGAGAATTCATTAAACGAAGACCTTCAAGAAGCGTATCGTGCATTCTCTAGCAGTAGCTGGGGCACCTGGCTCGGTGGAACTGTTGGCAATGTCATTAAGCAGGTATATTGGTCACGATAGCTGTTTCTAGCCTCTATATGTACCTATTTACTAATTGCTTTCCTTATCAAAATAGGGCGAATCTGTATACAGAGAGGCACAGCAAGAAGTCACTTTGCTAAGTGCAGACGCTACAAGAGGTCTTGCGAGCCTTCGCGCAAGAGCTATCTCCTTGACCACCCCACCCATTGTCACAGATCAGCCCCAGCACTCTGGCGACAGGGAGAAGGATGCCGAAACCACCCCGACAGCAGCCAAGGCCGGTAGCTCTGACGAAGCGACTAAGGAGTCCGAAACGGTTATATCACGATTGAAGGCGGAGGCCGCAAAACGACTAAAGGATATTCAACGTGCCGAGGAAGCTGCCGATGACGCTCTCTTGAAGTTTGGTGGGAACGTTCGAAATTTCTTCCGTGATGCTATCATCGTAAAGCCTGCCGCCGACAACGAGGACAGCGATGCTCGCCGTTTTGAAAGCAAGGATGATTCCGGCAAGCGAGTTATTCATACGTCGAGATACGATGCCCAAATTCACGTTCTTCACACAACTGAGAAGAGCTTTACCGAAGACCCAGCGAGTGCCGAGTATGTTACATGGTCAGAGACGTTCGACTTAGATGGTAAGACAGAGAGCATCAGTACCGATTTGGCCAAGTATCCGGAATTGCGGGTGAGCATGGAAAGACTTGTTCCTGACAAGGTGCCCTACGCCGATTTCTGGCAACGATACTACTTCCTCCGACACAGCATAGAGACTTCCGAAGCACGACGACGAGATCTATTAAAGGGTTGGTTGCCCTTTATTGTAAACTTTTTCAAGGCCTAGCTAACTAGTATCTAGCCGCATCTGCCGAAGAAGAGATCGGATGGGGAGAGGAATCTGATGAGGAAGAGTCTTCTGAAGAGGAGGAAGAGGAAGAAGAGTCTGATGATGAGGAGGAAGATACTACGCCATCCAAGTCGATAGCTAGACCTGCGAGGCCAGCCTCTACCGAATCCTCCACCACCATCCATCCGCCCAAGGCTGCCGCAGCCGACAAAAGTCAGCCGAAGCCAGCCGAGCCGCGCAAGTCAAATGACGAGAAGTCGCAACCCGACAGTGACACCAGCTACGACGTTGTTGGTGCAGCATCTGGAAACCCGAGCCAGGCACCCAGCAGCCCCAAGGAGTCTCGGAAGGTGGAGGACAGCGATAGTGATAGCGAGGATGACGAATGGGAGTGATTTCACCGTTTGAAACGAATCTTGCTGGCCTTGTCTAGAATGAATTGCCTGATTTCGAAATTCCCTTCGGCGTTGGTTGGTATTTCTGGATGGCTTTGACTTTGTACGCATGCTATTACTCGTCCGTCACTGTGTATATCCTTTCAAGCAGACTTTCATTGCAAATTCATGATGTCGCCATAACGACCCTATTCATTTAGAGTCTGTAATTCACGACTTCGGAATTCATATGCTTGCTCTCAACGCTTCTTTCGCGTAACTTTTGTAAAGCCATCGTCATCCACTTCTGGAGGTGGACGTTCTTTAGGAGCTGCCACCAAGGCGGGCGCCTCATCCATCTCAACGTCGTCATCATCATCTTCGTCATCATCTTCGCTTTCCCAATCTGTCTCTTGATCCCCGCCGTCCACCTCTTCCACCTTGACGGTCTTACCCTTGGTAGCCAGCCACCTCCGTCTTAGCTCCTCCACGAACTCGAAGTCGCCTGCGATGCACTGGGTGCGGGCTTTTATGATGCGCTCAGCAACCTCGACCTCCGAGTCATCATCAACGTTGGTCTCAAACTCATCCCACATGACCTGCAGCAAAGTGGCCTCGACGTCCTCGGCTTCGGGGTCCTTGGGAGGGCTCTTGTTCTTATTCTGCGGCTGGGACTGAAACTTGGCTAGGTCGACGATGCTGGGGAACATCTCCACGATGGCACCGGCGAACCAGTCGCGCTTGTCGTCGGAGTCGGGCCCGCCCAGGCTGTTCTGCACGGCGACTGTGAGGGAGAGCCATAGGTGTAGGGAGATAGCTACGCCTTGCTCGAATTGCTCCTGCCGGGTTTCTAATAGTTTTGTTCATTTTGGTCAGTAAATGAGATCATTATGCCTTTATAATACACGCTTAGGTTATTTTATATATATAAATATGATAATACATACCAGGCGACAGTTCTGCTTGCGAGGACGCCATTTTGTATAGTGACGATCACAGCTGCAATGGGTAGAGGGGCATTTGCGCAAAAAAGTTTCGCGATAATAATTTCTTGCACTATCAGTTTCTGCCACGGTTGACCGCATTGCACCGTATCGGGAAGAGGCCCCATGCTCCCAATTAAGATTCCAGATCCACGCTACTATGTACTATGTATGGATAAGCCGGGACCTATCATACCCTTGAACATCCATCCCGTTTTGGGACGGTTTCTCCGATTTTAGAAGCTAAACTAGTGGGAATGAGCTGTTTCGCTGCTTTCTAATTCGTTCTAAAGGGGAAACAAGCGTGATGACATCACCAAATAAAAAGTGGTTTGTTTGAAATTAAGGTAGGAAGCAGGGAGGTAGGAGGTGTAAAGTTGAGAAGCTGGGCAGCAAAGCAAACAGGGTAATAAGCTTCAAAGCTTACCTTAGCAAGCATTAAACACCGTTACTCCTAACTAGTTATTCCAACTGTTCAACCCGTTCAAACTGTTCAAACTACTCCAGTAGCCTGTCGGACTTTGGAATAAGTATCCACTTACAGGAGTGATTGTTACTACCTACTTACAGTGTGCACTGAGTCGCGAAATATCAACATGTGCACTCCTGTTTTTTTCTAAACTGTAACTTGAAGTATTTATAATGTCGTCGGCTTAGCCGTCTAATGCCTTTATTGCTCCTACATAACTACGTATCTTTCAACCTAGATACCTACCTGGTAGCTTCACGACAGCTACAATAATCATTACTTGGCCGCAACCATGAATACCGCAACGGTTTCTATGGCAGTCACGCCGACTGTCTTGTCGACGTTCTTGTCTCATGTACGTATATGACTCCTATACAAAACCCAAACCTTATGTGTCCCCTTTTATCGCAAAATTAAGGTTGTTACCGGTACCTTGCTGTCTTTCTTCTCTTTCTTCTCTTTTTTCTCTTTTTCCTTTCTTCGTACACCTCGACTAGTTTGTTTTGATACCCTGAATCTGGGTTCGCGAAGGGGATTCCATGCTAACACGAGATTGTCTGGTAATACCGTAGTACCTAAAACGCAAACCTCTTCGCGAGCGCCCGACCGCCCATCTCTCGTACGACGAGGGCCTACACCTAATACGATCTTTCCTCGCCTTCGCGTCGCACCACCCCGTCGAGGATCTACAAGCTTTCACTGCACAATGGGTGCCTCATCCCCAATGGGTCAAGGTAGACCCGGTCGAGGTCCCGGAAGCGAAACTCTTGGAAGCCGCGGAGATCCTGCAAGAACAGTTAGGACCGGACGGTATCAAAAAAGTAGGCGGCCGGAATTGGTGGCAATGGCGGAAACCCGGGAGCCCCCTGAAAGCGGAATGGATCGAGATGAAGTCTGATTACAATGAACGCAAGAAAGCTGGTGGTACATGCAAGAGGGTTATGTTCTATGTTCACGGAGGCGCCTACTTTTTCGGCAGTATTGATGAACATCGCTACCAGATGCAACGACATGCGCGGAAGCTGAAGGCTAAGGTCTTTGCCCCCGAATATCGACTAGCCCCACAGTTCCCCTTTCCCTGTGGTCTACAAGATTGTCTGGCGGCGTACCTGGAATTGCTTACGACCCAGGACCCAACAACAATTGTCCTCGCTGGCGACTCGGCCGGAGGAGGAATGGTGCTGAGCATGCTGGTCGTGCTGAGGGATAGAGGCATCCCTATGCCTGCCGGCGCTATTCTCATCAGTCCTTGGGTTGATCTGACGCATTCTTTTCCGAGTGTCTCTGACGATTGCCCCCTGGACTACATACCCCAATGCGGCTTTCATCACAAGCCCTCCAAGGCCTGGCCACCTTTGAACGCGGATGAATACGCGGCATTGCAGGAACAGGTTGCCAACAAAACCAAACCTGGCAAAACCAAGTTGGTGAAACCAGCAGCGATGGAGGCGAAAGAACTTCCTCAGGATCTCGGAGAGCTGAATGCCACGACGGCGACGGATGGTGGTGAGCCATCTGATAGTCGTGCTGAGACAGGATGTATCTCTGTTATGCTTGATGGAAAAGAGATCAAGCTCAAGGATCAAATCCAAGTACGTAATATCGGTTACGAGTCCGAAAGCTCAAGCTAACGTATTCCTAGATGTATACGACAAACGAGCTCTTGGCTCATCCTCTAGTTAGCCCCATCATGCATGGTAGCTTGGGTGGACTGCCACCCTTACTGATCATGACAGGAGGCGGCGAGATTCTTCGAGATGAGCAGGTATACCTCGCTCACAAATGTGCGAATCCAGAGCAATATCTACCCCCTGAGTCTTCCATGACGGAGGAGGCACGAGAGCAACTGTCTCGGTTCAAACCAACCGATGTGCAGCTCCAGGTCTGGGATGATTTATGCCATGTGGCAACGACCTTGAGTTTCACCCGACCCGCAAAATATATGTACCGCTCTATAGCCCAGTTTGGTGCCTGGGCCTTGGCCAGGGCTCAGAAAACAGACATTGAGATTCTAGATGACGATTCAGTTTCGGTCATATCGATTTCGAGCGCGAGCTCTGAGTCGGAACGTGATAACGAAAACGGAGAGGCCAAAACACCCGCTGAACCTGACGGAACCGAGACGGAGAAGGCGGAAGTAGGAAAAGCTGGGGACCCATTACCCCGTTTCAAGAATCACATGATTCGTCAGCGAGTCGACCGGCACGGAGTCATCAGTCCATTAGCACCTCCTAGTGAGCTGCCTGGTTGCATGATGGCTCGTGAACTAGTTGGCGTCGTCAAGGAAACGCCAGTACGAAGGTGGCTCGAAGTACGCGCGCAATGGAACAAACGTTATGGGAGCACTCGTACCAAGATCCATAAGCGACGGCTTAAGGAGATGGCGGCAGGATACGTGGGCTTCGATGGAGAGACCCCGCCTCCCGCTGCGCTCGCTGGTAGACGCAAGGCTAGCGGTGACTCTGCAGAGAAGAAGAAGGTCAAGAGCATGGGTCTCGCTCTTTGGTCGCTTTGGGGCTCGAAGCACGACGAGGCTACTATGCATCGGGAGCATGGCATGGACAAGACACCAAATACCAAAGCCACTACTAGCAGAGAGGGAGAAGGTGCTCGTTCGCCATCGGATATACAAGCGCAAGAGGAGGATATCGCCAGAGACGAGCTTAAAGCTAACCGAAGGAAATCAAGAACGAAGATCGTTCGGGACTTGAACCAGGCCATGGAAGACGAGAACCCGAATGGAAACACCGAGATCTCCATACTTATGGCTCAAAGGGAAGGCAAGGCTGAGCAAGCTGGGATGCATTCCCGCGAGAGCAGCATGGCGTCGGGCTTCCTCCCCCACAGAATGGGCGTTGCGGGCAAGCGGCCCATCGTTGGCGGCATCGCCGTGCCGTTCAGCCTCGACAAGGATGCGGAGACAGCCAGCATGATCACCCTGACATCCGCAATGGACCAGCCCGGACGAACCGCCAGCCCGCTACCCCTGACCCCCACTACGGACGCGTTCATAACGAATAGTGCTGCCGCAGGAGCCGTCGCCACCGGGGAAGCGAGGGACGAGGTCATAGACCCAGAAGCCCTCAAGGCGCAACACATCTACATGAGCAGAGCCGACCCCGAGACCCCTGGTTTCGGCGACGTGTTCGCTACGCCGATGGGTGAGAACGGCGCGGCTACGCCGTCGTTGCTCGGCGGAGGCGCGGGATACATGGAGCGCCCAAGGATGCAGACGTTTGTTACTGCGCAGGAGGATCTGCCTACTCAGAAGTGATCCTTTTTTTCTCTCAATAAATTTCTTTCTCAATTCTCGATCCTTTGATGTCTTGTTTTTTGTGTTTATCTGTATTTGTGGAACATCGAATCGATCGCATCGCATCGCATCGCGGGTGTTCAAGTTTTTTCAAAGCGGGAATGGTGACAATCAAGCAATATACCCAGTTTATTCAGATTTTCATTTGTGTTAAGGGGTATATATATATGTCGATGTATTTTTAACAAATGCGTTTTTACTCTTTTTCTTGCAACAAAAGAGATATATATAGGTTTATACCCTCTTTAGTAGTATGTCGTTAATAAGATAGGTAGAATTTGATATTTTTGCTTCGTCTTGATCGGCTTGTGAGGAATATGAATATGAGATGGTGTGATTGTGGTAGGTCGTTTATGGAATGTATAAATATATGCGAGTTTTTTTTCTTTGAGGCTATGTAGATGCGTAGTATATGTTATGTGAACAGTATGGTACAGTTTTTATATAGACCCGTTAGCATGATCTACCAGCGGCCTTGATAGACTCTAGGATCACGCTCATGTGCCATGTCGATGGCCTGGGAACTTGGATATTATACCCATCCATCCATCCATCCATCCATCCATAGTCAAACAGCCAGCGTTGAGCGGGACTCAGCCCTCGGTGCCTATCTAATAGACCCAGCGCATTGCCCCCCCTCCTGTCGTTGCTTAGAGTTGGACCTTGTGGGTGGCTCTATTTATCTCTTTATTGTTGACAATGTGCCCGTCCACCCGCCTTAATCCAGCCCATTCTCCGCCTTCCACCGATCTAAGTACAGCTCCGGGCTCTTGGGGCCCTTGGCGTACCCCTCGTACCGACCTCTTGCCTTGGGTACTCTGTTCGCCACGAAGGGGGTCAACTGTGTTTTTGTTTAGCTTCCCGAAACAGTTCCCATCATTCCCATTACGACATCACAATAAAAGAGAAAAGGGGATGGGGGGGTGAGGCAGGGGGTAAGGGAGGGTCTTACCTTGAAGCTCTCCATGTCGGCGGGCACGACGTAGGTGCGCACCTTCTTCCAGTCGATGATATACCCTCCGAACCTGGTGTGCTGGCCCATGCTGCCCGTCCGCGTGCCCTTGTAGAAGCCCTTCTTGATGTCCTTGGTCGTCAGCGGCAGCTTCCGGAAGGCCTTTTGGAGCGCTTGCGTGGGCTGCATCGCGGCGGTTTTCTTTTCTTTTCTTTTCTTTCTTTTTTTTTTTGCCCCCTCTTAGATCGCTTTCGCTTATTTATTTAGAGCAATTTATTTTTTGCGCAAAGGCGTATGGATGAGTGCCTCCTGCCCGTCGGATATCGAAGTAGTGTGGCCTTTTTTTTTTTTAAAGGTCGGGAAAGGGTCATGCGACTGCGTGCGGGATGTATAAGTCGCGAATCTTGAAAATCGATTTGACTCTGAAGAATGGTGGGTCAAGTGGCTATACCTTATCGATAGTGGGCCAATCTGAATCTACTGGGATAACTCTACTAACTGGTTAGGTTAGTACGTAGTTAGTAGTTATCGCAAGTAACTAATACGTAGCTCCCCGCCAAAACTAGCGGCAGAAAAAAAGTTTGGTCACCGCCTAAATTTTAGAGCATTTCGATTATCGATTTCATTAATTTTCGTTGAAAAAAAGAAAAGTGACATTGTTAGATGAGGTTGACGAGGAAGAATTATACATAACGACAAGACACTGCCTCTATCAACGAATCTGCCAAAATAGAGCGCTCGTCTCCATTCCCACGAAAAAACAACCCCCCCAATAATTCAAAGATGCCAGGCCGGCAATCGCACGGCCGGTCCGTCGGCGGCGCCCCAGGCGCTACCGGCAAGGCCAAGAAGAGGTCCAAGTCGAGGTCCACCAAGAAGGCGATGAATGCGTTTGCCATCGCCTCCGAAGAAGTCGTCGACCGCCCGAAGCGCACCCCGCGCAGCCGCGAGCTGGACATTCCGCTTAGTGGTAAGCGCGCGAGAGGCGAGGATGGCGAGGACGAGGACGATGAAGACGACGATGAGAATGAGGGACCGCCTAGGAAGATGCGACGAGGTGCTGGCCGTGATGAGGAGGTCGAGTATGGCAGCGACAGCAGCGGAAACGAGTGGCGCATTGGTGTTGACGAGGACGACGATTCGGAGATTGATAGCGATGATGCTTTTGGCGAGAGCGACCAGGAGAGATTTGAGGACTATGCTTTCCGAGGGAGCACAAAGAAGCCGAAGCAGAAAAAGAAGGTAATAACGGATAGTTGATTCAGGAGACTACGTTGGCCGTTGACTAATACGTCTTATAGGATGACGATGACGATGACGAAGAAGACGACGAGGATGAAGATATCAGCGATGCTGACGGCGCTTCTCTTGGATCAGACGCTATTGACCTTGCTCAAGCCCTGGACATGTCTATGTCAGAAGACGATGGGGAGCTCGACGCCGGTCAAGAGGATTCTGGCTCTGATGAGGAAGAATCTGATGAAGACGATGACGCATCCGGTGACGAGTCTTCCGACGTTGAAGACGACGCGGACGATAACGAATCGGAATCAGGTATCAACGCATGGGTTTCCAAATTTTCTGGAGTGAAAGACGCGAAGGAGGAAGAGGCGCAAACAAGCAAGAAGCCCAAACTAGGGCTGAAAGACTTGGGGTTGTTGGGAATCAAAGACCCTGAACTCAAGAAATCCCTCAAGCTTATGGCCAAGGAGGATAAATCCAGCAAACCGCAAAAACTCGAAGTGCCCCTTGCAAGACGGCAGCAAGCAAAACTGGATCGCGGCGTCGCGTACGAGAAGACGAACGAGTCTCTAGACCGATGGACCGAGACAGTGAAGCAGAACCGAAGAGCGGATCATTTAGTCTTTCCGCTACCCCAGACGGTCACTGGTCTCGCTAGGCACGACAACACCGAAATCCAGCCCCTGAATCATAAAACAGCCGGAACCGAACTAGAACAAACCGTTCTGGCCATTATGCAAGAGAGCGGGCTAGGGCCAAGCACTAAAAAGGAGACCAAAGAGAACGAAGATGAGGAAGATGAGGAAGTGCAAGGTCTTTCGCGGAGTAATATGAAGGCTTTATGGCAGGAGAAGCGACGTGAAAGAGAGCTCAAATCTCGAGAAGAGGCAAGGGCCAAACGTATCAAGAAGATCAAGAGCAAAGCGTATCACCGGGTGCATCGCAAGCAAAGAGAAAGAGACGAGATTAAAGAACGTGAAATCATGGCCGCTTCTGGAGAAATCGACTCGGAGGAGGAACGCGAGACTCAGGACCGTCAACGAGCTATGGAGAGAATGGGCGCTCGGCATCGGGAAAGCAAGTGGGCCAAAATGACGAACAAGAATGGCCGCGCAGCATGGGATGATGATGTTCGAACGGGCATAGCTGACATGGCACGGCGAGACGAAGAGTTACGTCGCCGTATCGACGGAAAGCCGTCAAAAGGAAACGATGACTCCGACGACGATTCCGATGATTCGGCTGGCTCAAATGATGTCGATGAGCGGAAGAGACTTCTTCGTCAGCTTGATGAAGTTTCTGGTGACGACGATGCACAGCCAAGGTCGAAGTTGCTGAATATGGAATTCATGAAGAAGTCCGAGGCGACTAAGAAGAAAGCCAATGACGAATTGGTGGCACAAATACGGCGAGACCTGGCATCCGACGATGAGGCTGGCGATGAGTCTGATAACGGACCTGAGGATGTCGGACGACGAATATTCGGACAGCCGTCAGGAAAGAAGCCAGGGAAGTCGGGCGAGAAACTCCTCGGTAATGGCAAGAAAAGCAAGCTCGACGAAGCAGGTCTTCCAACCGCTAGAGATCATAATGCCACTACCTCAGGGGGGCGGTCAAGCGGGCTATCTGCTCCTGTTTCGCAAGCCCTAAGCACGGATTCGGTAGCAGGTGCTTGGAGTCAACCCTCCGCAGCTGGTCCTTCGAAGAAACAAAAAAACAAAAAGACTGGATCGAGCGTGGATGTACTAGAGCTTGGAATCGACTCAGTGGCCGTAGCACCATCTACAGCTCCGATAAAGAAGCCTAAGCCAAGTAAGAAGCAAGCAGCCATCAACGTAGAAGACGCTTCAGACGATGAGGATGACCATCTACCCATCCAATTCCGGGAGCAAGATCTCATCGAGAAGGCTTTCGGTGGCCTAGACGTCGTGGCCGAGTTCGAACAAGAAAAGGCTGCCATCGCAGAGGAGGACGACGACAAGATCATCGACAACACGCTTCCCGGCTGGGGTAGCTGGGTCGGCGACGGCGTCAGTGCCCGCGACAAGAAGAAGCACCAGGGGCGATACCTCACCAAGGTGGAAGGTATCAAGAAGAAGGACCGCAAGGATGCTAAGCTGCAGAACGTGATTGTGAATGAGAAGCGCACCAAGAAGGTATGTATATATATACATTCCAGTCATTGTTTGCTGTGCACACAAATACCTACATACCTACCTGCATACCCACCTACCTACCTACCCACCTACCAATCCATATAAACATACCTATTAGTATCATAGCTAACAAAAAAAAACAGAACGACAAGTACATGGCCTCCCAGCTCCCCCACCCCTACGAGTCCCGCCTCCAGTACGAGCGCGCCCTCCGCCTGCCCGTCGGCCCCGAGTGGATGACCAAGGAGACGTTCCAGGAGGCAACGAAGCCCAGGATCTTGATGAAGCAGGGTATTATTGCGCCTATCGCTAAGCCTTCGCATTGAGTTTGGTTTTGCTGGGGTGTTCATTTTATCATGGTCGTGATAATGTTTGTACCAACCTACCACCTGCCTATTCATATATGGGTTGGCTTTGGGGGCAAAATGTAAATAGGCAGATAGATGGTTGGATACCTAGATGAAAAGGGGCTATTGTCGAGTCGAGCGAGTAAATAATAGTACCTACATACCTAGGTAGTTATGCACCTACGTTACCTAATACCCAGATACCTAGATAAATAGATCGATAGATCGATAGATAGATTAAATCCTGAGAACCTGCCCTCTGATACTTGAGATAGATAGATAGATAGGTACTATCTACCTACCCGGGATGTTAAATTCAAAGTCTCAATTATAGGTACCTAGGCAAGTAGGTAAGTAGGGTAGGTATTTGTGTACCTACCTACCTACACTATGTATGTGAATATTCTCTTCAAACAGCCGAGCTACTGCTTCTGCTTCTGCTTCTGCTACTGCTACTGTGCAGGTAACTAACTTATCGCACACTTCCGATCACCCCCTACACACCTGGGGCAACCCACAATTCAACAATTCAACAAGGCCAGGAGGGGGTATAATAATCTATGTAGGTTGAAGCCAGCACATCCTTTCGACCTCTCCTCTAATCCTCCTCGTCACTACTATCCCCAAAGATAGCCCTCAGCACATCATCCTGAGCACGCTTCCCCTCCAACGCCTCGTTCACCTCCGCATCAACCACCGCCACCTGCTGCTGCTGCTGCTGCGGTGGCTGTGGAGGAGGAGGAGGAGGAGGAGGAGGCTCCAGCATCTTGCTTGTTTCCCCCTGCGCCTCGCGCAACAGCTCATCAAGCGTGATCGCCGTCCCAGTTCCAGTAGAAAACGTCGGCATCGGCATCGTCGTCATCGCTGCTCCCTTGCCGAACGTAGACGCAGACGTAGACGTTTCCTGCCCATCCTGCCCCTCGGGCTGCACATGCGCAGGCGGCCTAACATTGAAGCGCTTGCACAGCAATCTAGTCGGGTAGAAGTCGGTTACCGACCGCGTCATGGAGCCGTACATGCCCAGCCTCGCGGCTTCCTCGGCGGGGTCTAGGGGTTTCTGCGGCGGGAGCGGTTTGGTGAGGAGATTGTTGTTGTTATCGGAGCCTCCGGTTGTGGTGAATTGCGAGGATGAGGAGGTGGAAGGGGTGAAGCGGGAGGCCATGGCGCCGGTCATGGGCTTGAAGATGCGCGCGCAGTTGCGGAACTCGTGGAGTTCGCGGAGCCAGTCGTCTTCGTTGACGCCGGGGGCTCTTGTCGTCGGGGGCGTCGTGGACAGGCTGCCAGCCCACTCGAGGTACGCGCGGTACCGTCGACGTTTGCCTTCGTCGTCGGCATACGGCATCATGCCGGCGCCGCTCGCACCGCGTGCTATGACTGCCAGGGCCGTCGCTTTGTCGAGCTCGGGGACCCGGCGCACGAGCTCCTGCTGCCGCTCTGCTTCCGTCATGGCGTAGCCTTCGGGGATCTCGCCTAGGCCGCGGGGCAGGTTCGTCTTGCCCGTCGCGGTGGCGAGTCGGTCGCGCGCTGACGACGAGAGGAAGTCGAATACGGACTTTCCCGGGAGCTGAGCTTCGCCGAGGAGCTGGGCGCGGGATTTGGGGTCCAGCTTGGATGCTTTCGCGGCATCGGATGTTGACATGTAGTCTTTTGTAGTAGGTTCGGGGTCTTGCTGCTTGTTTTTGGGCTTCCAGCCCGGGGGTATTTTAGGGGGTGGGTATTTGTTGACTTCGGCGTTGATAGTCGATGATAAGTTGTCCGTCTCCACGCCGAAGACGAAGCCGTCGAGCGGTAACCGGCCGTCGTGGCATTTCCTTAGATTCTTCCCGGCCTGAGCAAGAACGCTCTTGCGGGGTATAAAGACAGGCGCTGAACGTAGAGCTGGATTAACTGATGTGGTTACGTTCGCTGCTTTCTTTTTCTTCTTATCGCCCCCTATTACACGATTATATGATATTCGGGGCCCGATCTCATACGGGTCCTCGTCATCAGATCCCGTGTCGTTCAAGACACCCATTCCGATACCCCCTTTTGCGAATTTGTTGGGTTTCTTCTTATTCTTTGCCCCATTCGGTCGTATTAAAGGCCCTTTCAGTGAATCCTCGTCGTCGGAACTCTCACCAGCTTCCGTTCGTGCACCAATTTTCATGGGCGTTAACCGTGATTCACCCTCGTAGCCCAATCCCTTTCGGTCCATTTTGCGAGTCAAGGATATCATGGAGACGTTATCTGGTGCGAAGAGATATGTCTCATCCTTTCCTTGAGTGTTACCACTACTGTTCGGTTTGACACCACCAACATCCAATCGCGCTTTTCGACGAATCTTGGGGCCGATTCCCTGGCCATCCTTCCAGCCCATTCTCCTCAGTAGCTTCACGCCCATGGTTTCGCCCTGGACACGGAAAATATCCGCAAGTCCACCACCGCGTCGGACCAATCCATCATCGTCCATCGACCCTAGACCGGCGAAGCTCTGTGCAGTCTGCAACTGTTGCGCCTCGGCAGCATCGGCAAGGTCCTCCTCGTCCATGAAGTCCTCGGGCCGGTTCTGTTTCTGGGCGGAAGTGTCATCCTTGCGGCGGTTGGAGCGCGACGACACGAAGGTCGAGGGCGTCCATCCTTCCTTAGAGCCTACGGTATTGAAGTAGCCGGCGCTGAAGCCTCCGGTGAAGGCGCCATGCAGGCGCTTCCTACCGCGTTCGTCGCGCACCTCCTGCTTCCAAATGGGCACGTAAGAGCCGTCATCGCGGACTTCGGGGTCGAGGGGTGGTAGGGGGGTGCCGAAGAGGACGTAAGGGGACTGTTGAGCTTGGAGGTCGGCTTCGAAGGCGGCGCGGGATCGTTTGGATGATGCCATGGGGCAGTTCCTGTTCCTACTGGCGGAATTTACCTAAGGGATTATCTCTACCTCTAGCATGATTTCCTTGGTTTTATGAAACTGGAGGTGTGAATAGTGTAGTGTATTGTATTGTGTTATTGCATTGTATTAGTGTATTGTACGTATTCAAAGAAATGCCATGTGAAACTAGGGATGATAAAGATGATAAAGATGATCAAGATTATCGTGAAGCTTAAGGTTTGGGAATAGTTATCCCTTATCGATAAGAACATCATTTCACAGTATATTTGCACAGTATAATATGCTATACGGTGACACTGTGGCACTTACGGTTACTATGTACAGATAAATGTAATACCTAATATATGAGTTATATAAGTTATATAACTCGTATAACTCGGAAATATGTAATGCAAATCTTTAATTCAGCCACTCATACTACATACATTACCTATTTAGTACTACTAGTAGTAGGTATCCAGCTTTCACCAGACAAACTCATTAATACAGTACGCCGTACATCTTCAATCTGTCTTTAGTCCTCGCTTGACAGAACACAATTAGGTCAGTACCCATGGCTTTTCGTGAAGGACTCCTTGAATAGGGTCCAATAACACACTACCTAGTAGTATTTCTCGCGGCATTGTGAAACCGTTCCATAGGTGTTATATAAAGACCGATATCATATAGTCACATCCGCCATAGCATAGGGTACCTCCTATGCACCTAATCCTTCTTGGGGACCATGATACTGCAGTCGATCGATAAAGCCTAGACTATCCGCTCTCAGGGTAACTCTAGATGCTACCTACCTACCTACCTGCTTGCTTGGATCTTGTCGCCCAAAACCAAAAAAAGGGGGAGGGGAGCCAGTGGTGTCGTGATGCGAACCCGAAGCCACCTGTACATGTGACTGCAGCTTCGTAGCTTCGATCTTTTCTCACATCATCAAATCAAAGATCTCCCCCACTTCCACGATCCAATCTACATGATGTTCCTTCCGGCTGCTGTCATGCAACCACTTATCTACCTAGGTGGGCAGGTTAGGAAGATAGAAGGTGTCGACCAAGTCGTCGATTTTCGTTATCTCGATCTCGAGGTGGTGGGATACAAGCTTTGAGCTCCGAGCTCCGTGGTAGGAAATGGCTATAAATGGAGAGAGTGACTGCAATAATAACTCATCTGAGTGTAGTGTAGAAAATCAAGCTCTGTCCTCTAGTCGATAATCGTATACCTAACAATGGATATTCTTAAGTGTTTCAGTCTCGCAGCTGTTGAGACTTTCGTGGTTGCCCGCTACCTTGGCTGGCTGATAAATACCCAAGTCGGATGTATTCTCTTCTTCGCCCAGTACCTTGCGCTGAAGTATTACCGGATATTCCTGTATCACAAGTACTTTTCACCTCTACGACATCTACCCGGCCCAGCCGTGAGTTACTACTTTCTATCGAGTAGCACAGTAGAGGGCCCCCTTGACTGCCAGCTCAACTAACCTAGATACCATGTTATCCAATATCCATAATCTAATGATGCTTCTCTTTACAGAATAATCACTTCTTCTTCGGTCAATTTATCAACCTCTTTCGGGCCAACTCTCCTACAGGCCCGTATATCGAATGGATGCGAGAGCACCCCGACGCCCCCCTAATCCGATTCCTCTCCTTTGCGAACGAGGAGATAATAATGCCCAACAGCGTCGCCGCTTATAAGGATGTGCTACAGACGCAATGCTACTCCTTCCGAAAGGCTACCTTCTGGATCCGATTAACGAAAAGTTTTGCCGGCGATGGCTTGATCGTCATGGAGTTCGACCAACATCGGGCTCATAGGAAGGTGCTCAATTCCTTCTCCATATCCAAATTCCGGACTTTGGAGCCCGTGCTCAAGTTGAAGGCAGCGGAAGTCATGGAGTTGTTCGACCAAGCCATTGCAGAAAATGAAGATGGCAAGACTGGAGCCGTCGATATTATTGATAGCATTTCCAAGACCACGCTCGACATAATGGGCATTGCTGTTCTCGGTGTCGACCTGCACAGCTTGAAAAATAAGATCGATGCGGATACTGAGTTCACCTTCCACGAGGCCTACAAAATTATTTTTGCGCAAGAAAGGTTAGGAAAGGCTCTTACATTCATCAACGGCTACATCCCGACACGGTGGGTTCCCCTTAAAGCGAACCGTAGATTTCTCTTCGCTACGTCGTGGCTGGATAACTGCCTGACCGACCTTCTACGAAAACGATGCTTCGAAATCAAAGTGGCCAAAGAGTCCGGTACATTCAAAAGCAGTGGCTCTCGCGATCTGCTGACCTTTCTTGCCGAAGAGAGCATGCCGGGTGGGATAGCCGATGGATTCAAAGAGTCGCAGTTAGTGGGCCATGTGAGTGGGCTTTTTTTATGTGAAAAAAAAAGAAAGAAAAAAGAAAGAAAAGACATAGTGTTTCCTACCACCAACTATATAAGAGAAGTATACTAACCATATATCTCTGTTTGCTCTTATAGCTTCTTCAGTTTATGCTAGGAGGCCATGAGACTTCTGCAAATGCGATATCGTGGAGCCTCTTCATCATGGCCAAGCACCCCGAAATTCAGTCCAGGCTTCGGGAAGAACTCTTAAATCTAGGTGATAATCCGCAATATGGTGATATCGAGAGATTGCCGTATTTGGACAACTTTATCAAGGAGTCGCTCCGGTTATACCCCACAGGTCAGTACTATCCATCTCCCCATTGCCGACATTCTTGAGGCAGAGCAGTGATTGATAGCAAGTCGAAGCCAACGGTATAAATCGTGAGGCAGCAATTGAAGTCACCATCGAAGGAGTAAAGATCCCCAAGGGCACACACTTCGACATGATAATATCAGCGCTTATGCGCAACCCCTTAATATGGGGAGACGACGCCGACGAAGTAGACCCGACGCGGTTTGATCGTTTATCTGGCGAACAATTATCTCCTTACGCCTACGAGTCTTTCTCCCAGGGGCCTCGTATATGCATCGGAAAGACGCTGGCCATGATGGAAATGAAGGTTATTTTGACTGAGCTTGTTCGGAACTTCCAGATCTTGGATAGTAAGAAAGAGTTTACGTTGGAGAATCCTAGTCTTTCTCTTCGACCGAATGGCCTTGAAATTCGATTCCAAAGGATTGCTACATGAAGGCTGTTCGACTCTCTACGTCTTCAAGATTGTCTTTCATAATGAAGCCGCACAAAAGGAGCCCCCTCCTCTTCGCGAGAGGAAAAAAAACCCAAACGAAAAAAAAAGAAGTAAAAAAGGCAGGCAACTTATAGGAATATACTTCTGTGCTGCCGGCATTAGTTGGAAGTGCTATAAAACCTAAAGAGTGCTGATAGGGAGGGAGTCTTGGAGATGGATGTTCCCGACTGTTGAGAGCAGTCAGTATCTGTTATGATATCTTTCGTAGGTATAGTCATAGTAATATATCGTGATGTTGTTCAACGGAACCTAGGTGGTTAGTGTCGTTTTCCGAGATTGCTTCTTTAGGATCTGTTTCGGTTCACCGTCCAATCAAGCCGCCGAGCCGCATCCCCATACAATAGGTCGACAGAAACGGGATGGCCGCGGGACCTTAGCCTCTAGCTGCCCGAAGACTCAAAAGACGAGAGTTCTTGGTTTGTTAAGCTTTGATTTCTGTAATGCAACCTTGTTAGCCAGTAGGCGGGAGTAAACTAACATTATTCGTCATACCTCCAACCGTTCAATTAATAATAATAATGGCTATACCTACCTTAGTGCCTAGGCATCTAACTTCATATGGCTTTTTTTTCCCTCGACGAGAATGGGGGCGGAGGATCTAGGATCTATCTAGGACTTCTTCGTTGTTGCGTGATGTCCCTTATGTCATGAGTGCTGCTATTTTGGCCGTTGAACAGGACTATGTACTTCGTACAGATTAGTTGTCATGGCACGGACACGCACACACATCACGCAACGAGCTTACCATACACATCCTGCTTGCAAGGAATAGAGAGGTGCGTTAGTCCCAGGGGCTGCCCTCCATTTCGTCATCTTTGTTCGAGCCCAAAGCCACATCACCGACTAAATATACCAAGATTTGTATACGCTAAAGGGTCAGCTAAGGCAGCTCAAGTCACCACTAACCTAGGTACATGATGATTCCTGAACGAGGCAATGCCGCAATGCAAGGTCTTGTTTGCTTACTTACCTAGGTTAGGTACTTTGATTAGTGACGAGGGCCACGAGGTGACGAGGCAACAAAAGAATGATATTTACACTCACTTTCTTTAGTTACCCCCTTTTCGAATACGGAGTATACTACCTTAGGTCCCTAGGAATATATCAAATAATATGTGTAAACCAAGGTTACAAATGCGTATTATAGTAGCATTCAATGTTCTTTTTGGGGGGGGTGTTAAGACAGGGGCGAAGTTGCGGGGTGAAATTCAATTGGGATCTCCTTCACTTTTTCTGGCCGCTATATTGACCAGATGTCGCCATAAATTTACATACCTAGTATGTATGTAGGTATACTTCGTATGTAACTTTGAATGCTCGTGTTCTCAGTACAAGCAATACAAACAATACGTACATCATGTGCTGAAGGCAGGAGGAGGTGCTAACGGTGCTAAATCATCACCGGTACCGAAGGGTACGGTGGAGTAAGTGTCCCCTCTCCCCTTATTAGACCTATTAGATCTTATTAGACCATCTCTATTATTCCACGTAGACTGTAGATAGTGGACAGTGGCAGAGATGGTAGGTAGAGTGCCCAATCTCCATCCAAGATTATGACGCTAGTAGGGTATGTAGGTGCCGAGTAATAAATTGAAAGATGGCTCGCAGCGATGGTTGGTAAAGTGGTAGTTAAAGTGGTATAATAATAGAGTGAGTGGTAAAGTGTGGTAGAGTGACAAGTTGCTCAGTGATGCGGATTAAAACGGATTAAAAGTGGTGATGGTGTTTAAAAAAACAACATTTGCACATTTGAACTTGGAAGAGGGAACTTGGTCAACAAGATTGTGGTACATTTACGGCAAATAACATTTGAAGTAATTACTTGACTACATATGTATAGTGATCAATGATAGTAGGTAGTATGTACCTTACCCTAGGCACGTACATATGTAGTAGTAGGTTTAGGTACATAATTCAAATTCAATTGATGTGGAATTCATGTGGTTGCACCCGTCACTTCCTTGAACATTCAAGTTGCAAAATTGCCCTTGCCAGCAAGACACTTAGCGCACCCCTCATCCCAATCCCATCCAATTACCTTTTAAAGGGGGGGAAGGGGGTTGAATAGGATAGATAAGCACTAGATAGGTACTTATCTTGCAGCGATAGGCTTGTAAAAGGTGTTGTGCAACCAATTGTGACAAACACATGTAGATAAATGTACCTACTATGCTACTACATATGTACATAGTAACTAGTATCATAGTAGTATGTAACACACATGCATGTATGTACCACCAATATCCATGAATGCTTGACCAATACAAGGCCAATACCACCAAAAAGAACATGGAAGGAACATTACTTGAAGCCACTGAGCACTAAAAGCACCGAGCACTGAGCAACGTCTGCCCAGGCTTGTTCGTTTTTTCCTTCACTGCCCAAGTGCTGAATGCCAAATGTTTGGAAAGTGCCCAGCGCAGCAAGTGCCAATTTCTTAATTTCAACTTTTTATGGATCAAGATCAACTGAACAAGGCGGTTGTCACCCTTGAGCTCCTTGTTATTGAATAATTTATTGAATAATACAGCACATACAGCACTTGAGATTACTATAGCAGTTGTAGTATTATTCCGTAAAGGGATTGCTGTTGCTATCGCTATAGCAATACCGAGCAATGTCAACTTCGGCAACCGAGCAACAACATCATCAGCATCATCATCACCACTCCCACCACTCTCATCATCCTTCTTACTCTTCCTCTCCGAGATCTCAGCAAAGTTACCAAAACCACCAAAACCATCAGTCTCAAATCCCTGTGCGAAGTCACTCAACACGCTCACGCCCGACTAGTTCTTCTGCCGCTTCGCCCTCCCATCTTAATTCGGGTCAACCTGTACATCGGTCCGTTTCTACTTCTGGGCATCAACACAATCAACACAATCAAACAAGCCAACAAAACCAACAGCAGCAGCAGCATCATCATCACCATAATCATTCTCGCCATCACAGCCGACAGACATCGTCTTCTGGCCGTCCTATTCAAGACATTTTACCCCAGCAGGACTATGAAACGTCCAACGTAGTCGCTGCTCATCACCAGCCTAAGCGAAGTTCCAGCAAAGACCGCCCTCCTCCGGTCTCGCGTGGTACCGATTCTAAAGGCGTCCATCGCCGAAGCAGCAGCCGCTCAAACTACAATCAAAGCGATATGCCTGCCCCTACTGCTGTTGCGAATAACGCGGGTCCTGCTGCTATCCCGCCTGTCATGCAAGCAGCAGTAGATGCTCGCGCCACCGGTGCTAAGCAGCGGACATCGAGAACTTCAATCCCCACACAATCAGGAAAATGGATTCTAGGTAAGACAATTGGAGCTGGTAGTATGGGAAAGGTGAAGCTCGCCCGCAAGGAGGATGGCACAGAACAGGTTCGTTATTTATGATATTTTTTTATCTCCTTTCTTCACCAAGTCGGTCACCCCTAGAAAAACTTTTCTTGCTAATCATGATTACCTAGGTTGCATGCAAAATCATACCGCGGGGTTCCACCGAAGATGGCCACCACAGTCGAGCCGATAAAGAGAGAGCTGATCAGTCGAAAGAAATACGAACCGCGCGCGAGGCTGCTATCGTGACCCTCTTGCAGCACCCACACATCTGCGGCATGCGTGATGTAGTTCGTACGAATTATCATTGGTACATGCTATTCGAGTATGTTAACGGTGGACAAATGCTGGATTATATCATCTCCCACGGCAAGTTAAAGGAGAAGCAAGCGAGGAAGTTTAGCAGACAGATCGCAAGCGCCCTCGACTATTGCCACCGAAACAGTATAGTCCACCGTGACTTAAAGATCGAGAATATCCTCATCAGTAAGACTGGCGATATCAAGATCATCGATTTTGGCCTTAGCAACCTTTTCGCCCCTCGTAGTCACCTCAAGACATTCTGTGGTAGTCTATATTTTGCCGCCCCTGAGCTCCTCCAGGCGCGAGCTTATACAGGCCCCGAAGTCGATGTTTGGAGTTTTGGCATTGTTCTATACGTGTTAGTCTGTGGTAAGGTTCCATTCGATGACCAGAGCATGCCAGCCCTGCATGCGAAAATCAAGAAGGGAATTGTTGACTATCCTAGCTGGCTATCTAACGGTAAGTACCCTAACCTCAACAGGATTGGCTATCCTAGCTAACACGAACTTAGAATGCCGACATCTCCTATCCCGCATGCTAGTCACCGACCCGAGAAACCGAGCGACCATGTACGAGGTCATGAACCATCCGTGGATGATAAAGGGTTATGGTGGCCCACCTGAGAATTACCTACCTGCTCGCGAGCCTCTGACGCTCCCATTGGAACCAGAAGTTATCAGCGCCATGACTGGCTTCAACTTCGGATCTCCAGATAAAATTGAGGGTCAGCTTACCAAGGTAATCGAATCTGAAGAATACAAACGTGCTGTGGCACTTTTACAAAAGGAAAAGGAGATGCCACCCGCTCCTAAAGACGTAGAGAAGAAGCGGGGATTTGGGTTTGACTTTTACAAACGACACAACCCCGGGAGCAGTCGCGAGAACTTGACGGCTCCAAGCTCAGACGCTCTCCAACTTGGTGTTGATCCGCTTAATGCATTCAGCCCTCTAGTTTCCATCTACTACTTAGTAAAAGAGAAACAAGAGCGGGATAAAGTGGAAGCGGTACCCAAGTCTCACACACCGAAGAATACTGCGGATTCACCGATGCCGGAAATTGCTCCCCCCCCTGAGGCGCACACCAATACTGCAGCCTACGAAATGGCTGGAGAGAGAGCTACCGGTGGAAGATCAAGACCTCGTGCCCGTACACACGGAGAGGACGACGCACCTGAGGAACTCAAAAAGGCTCAGCCGTCGCCGAACACCCTTGTGCCCCCAGAGATCCCCATGGACCTACCACCCAAAAAGGAAAGCACTGCTGCTGGAATTCTTAGAAGGTTCAGCACTAGGCGCCGCAAAGAGCCAGAGAGACTTGATAAGGACCGTTCGCATCCGCCTGCCGTTCATGTTCACTCACCTGCTGAGCCGACAACACCGCGGAAGAGCTTTAGTATACGTCGCGCAAAACGTGAACGAGACGAGAACCAACCAACTAGGCTGCGGTCGGGAAGCAGCCAGCCGCAGCATCGAGATCTGCTCAGCCCTCCGCTTTCTGCCGGCGGTAACCTGTCTGGAAGCAACAAGGGCCTAGGCCGGTCGACCAGTGTGAGCTCAGCTGAATTCAGGCGACGGCCTTTTGGTTCTAGTAACAGAGTTGCCAAAGATCCACCACCAACCAGCGGCTCTGACCAATCGGCAGCTACCGATAAGGTTCCCCCAGAGCCGAAGAGTGCTCTTAATTCTCGCGCTACGTCTATGAGGGCAAGACCATTGGGCCACGCTCGCCGGGAGAGTATTCAAGCAAGGAGGATGCGTAGAGAGGTCGCTCATGCTGCTGAAGTACCCGAGGAGACGGACCAGGATATTGGCGATGGAAGCGGAAACTCGGCGGAGCGCCTAGACGACTCGGAACTTGCTAAGCCTGTCTTTTTGAAGGGCCTCTTCAGCGTGTCCACGACGTCCACGAAATCAGTGCCTGCTATTCGTGCAGATATTCGAAAGGTGTTGAAGCAACTCGCAGTGGACTTTACCGAGATCCGCGGTGGCTTCTCTTGCCGCCATGCCCCTAGCATCGATCTTAAAAAGGGAGCAGATCCCGGTAGCCCCGATCCAGCCCCCAACCATCGCCGTAGGTTCAGCTTTGGTATCAGGACGGATCGGGAACGTGAGGAGTTCCGAGATTCGGAGCGAGTACCACCCACCCCGCGGGCAGCAGGGAGAGGACTTGATAGAAGTGACTCGGCATCAGAAGTCTCTGATCCTGAAAGCCTTCCTCGAGAGACAGCCGGATCATCGAGAAGAGTGCCAGGTGAAACGACGACACATGTGCAGAGCGATTTCGGCAACAACATAGGCTTGGCATTCGAGATATTCATCGTCAAGATTCCTTTACTCTCGCTGCATGGAATCCAGTTTAAGCGTATGGAAGGAAACACATGGCAATTCAAGAATATGGCGGATCAGATTCTTAAGGAACTACACCTCTGATCACTGTCCTTTAGAGACAGATGATTTGCTTTCTTCGGGTGTGGGGAAGGTTAAGGAGCTGTGGTCACAGGGGGGGGTATAGGCAAGCAGATCTGACCGACTATGTGTCTAGGCAACACAGCTTTGTCGTAATAAGAAGTTGGCTGCTATATTTCGGCGGTGTTGATGGGGATAGACATGAGCTGTCTTATTAGGTATTGTTGAATACGTCTTTGATTCTCAGGTTCCCTTTCTTACCGCTATAGAATACTAGTCCTTCTGTTAATATCGATCGCGCTTTTTCAAGGCTAGGCCGAGCCTAGGATCTTGTCGTTGTTGTAAAGATATCAAGCAATGGGCGGGTCTGGCGAGATGGGCTTTGATGACCATGATGTTCTGTTTTTTATTTTCCTTTAAAAGCGAATACAAAGTACTAATGTAGAAAGCAACATCTACGGCATGGAGGGGGGAGAAAAAAAAATCTATATTTATTATAACGTTTACTTATTTAAGCTGATTACCTTGTAGGAGGTGTCTTAGGTGTATATAAGTGTGTGGCTTGAGGCCGTTTTGTCATGATGACTTTTATTTAAGAGCAGTCTGACATTGGTATTACTTGATATTTGGTTCTCAGGACGTGATTCTTACTACTAGCAGTGCCCAGGGTTTTGAGTTGAGGTAGTGGTTGATCTGTAGTATGTACTCAGTGTATGTAGAAAAAGCGATCTTTAAAGGGGGCTACCTAGGATGTTGAAGGTAAAGACTCTAACCTAACATTGAAGGTTATTACTACTAGTACCTAGAATACTACTGTAGGTATTGAAGGAACATTGAAGTGAGTGCATCAAAAAGAAAAAGACAGAAAAGTGGCTCGTGCTTCACCCCGCTGTGGTATAACGTTAAAGTTTGGGAAGCTAGGGCTGATAAGAGTGATAAAGATAGGTACTAGGCACCCTAGTAGGATTCAAGGATGCAAGTCGATTGAATGGTCAGTGCTCCCCTTTGACCCCAATTTTATTCTACACTTTCCATTCCAGTCGGCAAATTAAGATGCGATGCTTCATCACTGGCAAACGGCGCATCCACTTTCTTCCTTCAACTCTTCAACTCTTTCGCCCGATACCCAAATCTTCCAACGTCCACCCCTCACTCCCACAGACTTGTTAAGCGCTCTTTCGCACTTTACACGTCCCACACCGCGCGCCTTTAAACTCCGCTCCATTCATTTTAATTTTTATCGCGTCTGATCCTCTCGTCGAAGATCATTGATTATAACCAAACATACTACATACTTCATACAGTACCTATTCTTCCCTTTGCCTACCTACCTAATCTAGGTACCTAGGTATTACATACAATACAAAAGCCTTTACATATAGGTACTCTACTATCTTCTACTTACGCGACACTCTGGAAGGAAACAACAACTACGGCCGAACTGTCAGATACAATAGCGTGTCCACATCGTCCCCCCCAAAAAAAATAAAATAACAAGCGCATCAACACCCCGCGAAATCAAGCTTGTTATTGCCCGACCCTTTTCAAGCCGATCCCGACGACGCAGAATATCCTCATTGAGATTACTTGTTGAGGTAGACTAACTATTCTCAAGTGTGTTCTAAAGCTTGTCGACTGCCTCAAGCGCGAGGACTTTAGTAAGGGAATCTTCATTTTCGGTATCTTCCGAAACCAAACAAGCCAGCAGAAACGACACTACAAGCTTGCCTAATCGAATACTCTCAAGAACTCGATTGACTACACTCGCCGTCTACTACTACACCATGTTGCCGAACCAAAACCTTTATGGGCACCACCCATATAATCCTCATGCTGAACAGGCATGGATGCAGCCAACTCATCAGGCTCAGCACCAGGCTCAGCACCAGGCTCAACAAGCCGCTGCTGTTGCCGCCGCTCAGCAGCAACACTATAATCACATTACGAGATCCCACAATAATGTCTCGTCATCTATCAACAACTCTGTGCCTAGTCACGTCCAGGACAATGGGCTAGAGAATGTCTCCGAGGATAATCGCCGAACATTAACTTTCGTTGCCGATCTTCTCAACGAGAGCACGCGCGAGGCCGCCCTCCTGGAATTGAGTAAGAAGCGCGAACAGGTGCCGGAGTTAGCGCTCATTCTGTGGCATTCATTCGGTTAGTTCTTCCTTTCCAGAGTTGTGGTGCAAATAGGTCGAGGCTAATGCTACAGGGAATTACTAGGCGTTATGACTTCTCTAATGCAAGAGATCATCTCGGTCTATAATCTTCTTAACCCTTCCCAACTCACTGCCGCTGCCTCGAACCGAGTTTGCAATGCGCTTGCACTTCTCCAGTGCGTAGCATCGCATAATGACACAAGAACGCTTTTCTTGAATGGTATGTTGGCCCTCGACATGCTAATTAGCCATGGCATACTAACTAGATTAAAACAGCTCACATCCCCCTATTCCTATATCCCTTCTTGAACACCACCTCCAAATCGCGACCCTTCGAGTACCTGCGTCTTACATCTCTTGGTGTTATTGGTGCATTGGTGAAGAATGACTCGAGTGAGGTGATTAACTTTCTCCTCACTACCGAAATCATCCCTCTTTGCCTACGGATCATGGAGACTGGATCGGAATTGAGCAAGACGGTCGCTATATTCATTGTTCAGAAGATACTGCTAGACGACAATGGCCTTAATTACATATGCGCCACATACGAACGATTCTACGCTGTTGGAACAGTTTTGAGCAACATGGTCGCCCAACTGGTCGAGCAGCAGACCGCCCGTCTCTTGAAGCATGTCGTCCGCTGTTTCTTACGCCTAAGTGATAACGCCCGCGCTAGAGAAGCTCTGCGTCAATGCCTGCCAGAGCCTCTTCGCGATGCTACCTTTAGCTCGGTACTTCGCGACGACGCAGCGACTAAACGTTGCCTTGCTCAGCTGCTTATTAATCTGTCTGATAATGTCGTGGAGACCAACAGCGGCCACGGCCTATGACAATCCTAAACCCTACGGTATAACATGATGACTTGCAGCCAATCAGGATTAACACAAATTGCCACGGTTATTTTTGCACGGCACCGGCCATCAAATCACCAATACCTTCTCACTTATCCTTAATGGTTAGAGCTTGCATCAGTGTCTCATAACAGGAAGTACCAAGGGAACCTCCGTAGCTCTGTCAGAGGACATAATGAAACAGATCAGATCATGCGTCAACCATGGTTGGTATACCTATTCAGAGTTTCACACAGCTAGTCCTGCTGAATCAAGTACGGGGGCAGTCCACTAGGAAATCGTGAGACCTATCTAACTTACCAAGGTTGATACTCATATCTCATCCGACACACCCTTACCCTTACTCTCTATCTTGTACACCTCTGTTTATAAGTACCAGCACACACAATTCTACGCATTTATTCTATGCCCTTCGATTTCATTTACTGGCTCCCCAAACCATATCAAATCCCATGGCTGAGGTATATCGCGGTACAGAGAGCATTATCTCTAAGCGTGGCAAAAGTAACGAGAACCTTGTATCTCGGCAGACTCGGTTGCGTAATACGCCCCTTTTTTTATTAGTTGCAAGGGGGACTCTCATTTTCGTCAGCCCCTAAAAAGACTCAGGTCAGGGGGAAAGCCTCAGTACGAAAACTATGAATGGCCACCTATTTACGATTTATTGAGTGTGAAGAGAGGGCCATATTCCAAATGAGATTCATACTCTCGGTCTCTGGAATCACCGTGTTTCATTCGTTACTCGTGGAGGATGGTATGAGGCATAGAAGCATATACGAGGTTTGGAAAATGGAAGGAAGCTATCGATGTTTACATATGCGGAAATGGAGCTAGGACGATACTAACGATGACAACGACGACGACAACCGACACTTGTATCCGAACGACCAAGGTCTCGCGTACCTTCTCGGCTATCGATCTATCTAATTACGACCGTACATAATTTCTTTCCCTTACCTGTCTTTTTCCCCCAAATTTCCTGTGGTCACATGATTATCACCAAACAAAACTCGTATACACGAACGACATTACACATAGGGCGGCGTTCAAGGTTACTGGTTCATGCGCGAAGGAAAAGCCCCCTGTTCTAGAGAAAATCGGTTCTGCGTCTTTCATTTTGTATCTTACCTGACATCCACTTTCGTCTAGAAAGACGATTTCTGCCCAAAACTCATGTTTAGGAGTTCGGCCGTGGATGGTAACGCGGCATTAGGGTTCTTGTAATCGGCCTAGGAAGGAGTTGAGTCCTTTTCTCTTTTTTTTCTCTCATTGCGGGAAGGTTGCTTAGATTTTAGATCTGTCCGACCGACAGGCGTTGTTGGGTGACGGAACCGGAGGCTAAGACGTTGGGACCAGACTACCTGACCTTTTTTTAAGTCTGACTGGCCTACCCACCTAGTACCTCCCAAGCCAAGGTATACATACCCAAAGCATATGTTTGCTTTAAGGGAAAGCCTGTGGTTGCGGTCGTGGTCACGTTGCGTCTCGGTCAGCCGTGTGCCCTGTGTACCTTGTAGATTAGCTACCCTACATAGTTGATTTGTACGTTAAGGGGGAAGGGAGAGGGGGAAAATAAAAGTGATATCCTTTTCTGGCATTTGCTAGATTCGTTCGTTCCTGGTGGATGCGGTCGTGGCTCTTTTTTCTTGGTCTAAAAGTGAGATGGAGTCTACCTAAGGTATAGAAGGCAATGCTATGCTTACAATGCTATGTAGGCAGACAGGTAGGAGGTAGGAGGTTAAATAGGGAGGGGCCTGGATTTTCGACTCGTCTCGTCTCGCTTTCTTTGCCGTATGGGGCTTATCAGCTGGCTGCTTCAATGACGGTGTTGTATGACTAGGGAAGGGGGTTGGACGGGCTTCGTAAGAGAGCAGTAGAAGGAGGAAGAGGAGGTATTCAGTAGTTGCTATGCACGTATGCACTACTGACCTTGGTTAACTGATCGCCTCGATACCTGCCTGGGTCTTGCCTGGATAAGGTATGTATATGGTCATGCATGGCGTCTCTGGGAGATAAAGGGGTGCTTGCGGCTGGCGTTGTTTTTCCAGACTCGTACATCTTGAGGCGTCTATACCCTTTGGGGATACATTTGATAGAGGCCTCTGATAACTGGGTAAGTAGGTACTATCTAGGAGATGATAACCTGGATTAGGTACTCATAGTGTTCTCTACCTATGGTGATGGTTATTTGCAGGTGGTTGAGACGGTGCTTGTTGACCAACCTGTCAGACCATCGTACCGCTACCATAGGCCGAAAGGTGAATTAGTTAGTTGATCTCTCATTAATTGTCTCTGGCCCATTGCCAATATATTTGACACGGCCTGTTTCTCCCATCTCATTCATTGTAACTTCCCTTGGTAGGTATTGACGACCTATGTACATGCAGAGTAAGCAAGGCAAACATGGCTTCTATCCTGGGCTATAGGAGTGGTTCGGGATAACATCCCTCCCCCATTATCCTGTCTATGTATAGAGAGTACGTAAGTAGGTAGGTAGGTAGGTAGGTAAATATAGACACCCAGGCAAACAGGCACCTTACCCCAGGTTTTAGAATCCGATAATGATGCTTCACCTCCTGACTTGGCGATATCTTGGTGGTGGCATGAAGCTGTTTACGTAGGTAGTAGCTATTACGTTTGCATTGCTACGTTACGTTACGTTACTGCTTGGATGGGTAGAGGGATAGGGATAACTATATACTAGGTTCTCGACGACGACGACGACGAGGTTGAAACAACAACCTACATAGTTACTATGGAGAGGTAATAATAGATCACAGCATTGATAGTTACATACATACCTATCAGGCAACTTCAAACGTGACCTCTTGCCTACTTCGTCTTTACCTACATACATACCTAACCTACGCACCTACCTACCTACCTACCCTACTGGGGCCTACTCACCTAACAGGTACTAGGTTAGTTAGTTAGGTGTCAAGTTTCAACGTCAACGTCAGTGTCAAGTTTTAGTGTAGTTAGGTAGCCTACATATATACCCTGTATAACCCCAGCCCCAGGGGCCCCCGTTTCACGTTTCAAACACGCCCCGTCTTACGAGTTTAAACTTCTTGGCTCACTCTCTTTTTTTTTTTTTTTTTTTTTTTTTTTTTTTTTTTTTTTTTTTTTTGTTGTTTTAACTATTAACTAGTTAGTACCACGGTTAGGTAGGTCCAATACCAAGGCACCTAACCCACGTACAGTAGTTTAATAGTATTCGTGCCTAGTAGTAATTAATTAGTTGGTGGGTAGGTGGGTGGGTGGGTAAATAGGTAACTAAATAGCGGCTAGATTCGCGGCAGATGTGTCAGTTTGCGGGAGGGCGGCAGAACTCTATTCTCACGAAACCTTTTTTTTTTTTTTTTTTTTGGCGGGATTGCGTGTGTTATCTAAGTAGGTATCTTACCCCCTTTTACGGGGTTTCTTTTGAAGTCTTTGATTTCATTTCTTCTTTTTTTTTTTTTTTTTTTTTGCACATCGTATCTTCAAAATTTATAATGGTAGTTTTGTTCTTTATTTCGTACTTAGTAACTAATTGTATCGTAACTCTTGCCCAAGATAATAATCTAGCAGTAATTAACTAAATCATGAAGCCATACACAGAGAGAACTTCCATCAAATCCATAGATATTCACCCCAAGGTCGGCAGGCAAACGAGTAGGTAGGTAGGTAGGTTTGATAGTAGTTTCTCAAGATTCGCTCTAGGTAATAGTTGTACATGTAGTAAGGTATGTATGATGATTGATATTTCGCTCTAATGAAAAGGCGCACTCATTTCATTCGGATTTCCCCTCCGACTTCTTTTTCCTCCTCTCCTCTCCTCTCTTCCGCTTTCTCTCAACCCCGGTCTTCACCGTGGCTAATATTAATCCTTCAACCCTTGCCACTCCTGCTCTCGTAACGCAACCAACGGCTTGCTCCTATCGCGCGGGGGAGGGAAGAGGTAGGTTCATCCTTTCGCTCGTCGATTGTTCGTTCGGTTTCCCGGTCTTTTCGGCCAGCATTCCCTCCCCCCCATTCTTCGTTTCGATCTGTCCATTGAACAGACTACGGAAGGGGGAGGATATGGAGAGAAGATTTCGCACTGCTTCTTTTTTGGGCCCGGTTGGCTTGTGTGTTTTTTTTTCTTCGCTCAGAAATAGATGGGAGAAAAAAAAGATGAGGGCATCATATAGGCATCAAAAGAGAATAATGATGCCACCAATGAATGGTGCCAACTGCGATGCGTGAGTGTGCGGTAAGGACTGTGTTTTGTTGGAAAAAACTAGGTACTCCCTCCTCTCTCTCTCTCTCCATAGGGACTTTTTTGTATGGAAAAAAAAAACAACTTCGCGGCACATTTTCCTTGGTATCAAAAAAATAAAACCTGCCGTCTCCTTTTTTTTTCCATAAAAAATTCCGCTTCGCTACCTTTCCCTTTTTTTTCCTCAAAAGAAAAAAAATTTACGCGCTCAGTATAGTAATATTATCGCTCTTGTGACCAATCATTATGTTTTTTTCGACTAAAGCGCTTTCCTTTAAATTTGGTAAAGCACATGGCGATATGGGGCTACTACTTTGGTGTTGTGTGTGTCGGTTTGATGAATACACGGCCTGAACTCTTGTTGTCTTTCAGGGGAGGATAGAATTCAGTTCGCACTTTTCATAAGATTCGTTTTGCTCGTAGTTTTTTTGTTCTTTTTCTCGCTTGGCCTTGTTTAAGCGAAGGCACCGACGATGGACATGCCAGCAGCTGTTGTGTCCCTGTTAGCCAAAAACTAGCACGGTTAGGGGCAAGGGAGGGGGAAGTAATATAATACATACCTCCTAGGAGAACCCAGGCGAAAGCGACCTTCTTGTCCTTCATCGTCAGGGTGCGGCTGGATTCTTCAGAGAGGAAGTCCTCGGCGAGTAGGTCAACCAGAGCTGCGTAGATAAGCAGACCGGAGGAGCTTTAGACATAAGATGTTAGTATAGTCTATCTAAATGGGGAAGATATGTAACTTACATCGAGTTGAAGATACCAACGATGATGAGACCGAAGGCGCTGTTGGGGTCGTAGCTGTTGCGGGCAATCAAACCGATGGCCTGGCCAATGGGAGCAGTAGTACCGAACGCGAAGACGAGGAGCCAGGGGCGGATGCTGCCCTTGGGGTACGGGACAGCGGCGATACGCGAGCCGAGACCGAGACCCTCGAACATCTGGTGGAAGAGGATGGCGACCAGGAGGACGACGAAGCCCTCGATGGTGATGGAGACGGTCATGCCGACGAAGACGGAGTGGAAGAGGATACCGCCCTCGAGCAGGGTGATGTTCATCGACATGCGCTTGTAGACCATGGGGTCCACGGGCTGGCCCTCCTCGTCGAACATGCTCTTCTCCGCGACCTCGACCTCCTGCTTGCCCTGGGATTGCATGGGCCCGCCGTTGGCGCGGATCATGTTGACGAGCTCGAGGCGCTGGCGGACGTACTGCTCGTAGAAGACGATGAACCACGGGGGCATCTCAGACTGCGGGAGGTCGAGATCGGTGGCAGCGGCCGCGGGGTTCGGGTACGGGTACGGGGCCTGCTGAGGGTACTGGGGCTGGTCGAACGCTCGCTGGGCCATGCCCTTCTCGTCGGAAAGGTCAACGGCTTCGAAGCTGTTTCGGTCCTGGCCGCGGAAGGGTCGAGGGGGAGCGGGCGCGTGGTGCTCGAAGCCGGTGGCGCCGCCGTGGGAGTGGCCGCCCATCTTGTTGTTCATCCACATCTCAATGACGAAGAGGCAGAACAGGGAGGCCATCATGATGACACCGGGTAGGGGAGGGTACTGTTCGGTGAAGAGATCCGGAAGGCATGGGTCCGAAAGACTGAACCAAGCTGTGGGGAGAAGCTGATATCTTCTGTTAGAGACAAAGGTTTGCATCGATTCAGGATATGACATACATGGACGAAGGCAGTTGCTATTAGGACACCCGTTCCAAAATGCTTGCAGGCAAAGAATACCTTCTCAGGTACCTTAAGCCAGCTGATCTTCTTCGCGGCCACCGGGAAACCAGCGCCAAAGATGGATGCTGCTAGGACCAGGACTATCGTCGCTGTTAGCAACCCAGAATTCAAGTAACTATCTCCACTTCCCCTTGGATATTACTTACAAAGACCAACTGTGTGTAGAGGAAGATCGTACTCTCCTGCCTCCTTACCACCGCCACAGATAGGCTTCGCGCTTGAAATTTCTTCCGACATTGTGTAATAGTTTTTTTCCGTTTATAAATAGGTAAAATAAAGAAGAATATAAAGACCGACAGTCGATAGTCCGGCGACTGGGAACCTTGAATTCAGAAAATACAACGAAGAATGGGACACAAAAATAATGAAAGCCGTCCCGCGACTAAGTTGATAGTATAAGGTGGAATAAGAGAACGTAAGGCGTCAATCCTTAAACGTCAAATAATAGAAAAGAAGTAAAAAATCCAAAAAGGAAAAAAAGAAGAAAAAGAGAAAAAATCAAACCCCTAAACACTCTCAGGCACGGGATGGGAACATCTGAAAAGGATATCAACCAGAAAAAGTCTTGGAAGATCGGGCATGGCCTTCGCTTTTAATATGCATTGCTATGGACAGGAGCTGGGACCGACGATCCCCGATAAGGCCCTTGAGACGACAGACCCACGATCCTCGATATTCGAAGCTTCAGAGGTATCCACGTACTGCAACTCTGTTAGCCACCTGGGCACTCTTCCTCCCCAAAAATAGATTCTTTTCTTCGCCTATACTTTACGTTTAAAGATCTTGACGGACGTATAACATAATGGACTGGCCTCTTTCAGTCGTAAACCCTTGTCTTATTGGCATCGAATAATCTGCATTGAACCACAGATCGCCCAAGTCGATACCGTCAAACTGTTTCACTGCGGACTTTGTCTGCATCATACAGTAGTAATCCCAAGCCCAGTGTATGTATGTACGAATGTAACGACATTACATACACTAGAGCAATCTGTACCGGGCTCGGCATCAAGATGTTGACGATGATCATGCTTGTGTGGTCTCTGTGTACGGAGCCTTGGCGGGAGCCTCACCTGTGCGGATCAACCAGGGGCCGGACGAGACCACCTCTTTGACATGACAAATAAGACTAGGCGCACTACGCACATAATAGTACATGAACGGAGTCAGTCGAGTAGCATTCTGCTCCGTAGCTCGTTCTAAAAACCTAGAAACAAATCACATTAGCGCGAGAGACTTAGGCGGCTTCTGGAAACAATCGTACAATTTGCAAATACAGAGGATACCAATGTTGAAACGATATCCACTTTCCCCATTATATCCCTAACCAAATTTATTCCTAGCACGACTCTAAAATCAGTAGACTGTACTGTTAGTAGTCTGTTACTACTATGTACTGTAGACTCAGTAAGCACATCTGCAGGAAGGAAAGGAGTATGTCTGGCATTGTCTGCCAGGTGTATTACGTACATACACTAGTAGGTGCCTTGTTCTAGGTTTCCAGCAAGTCGGGGGATTTGTATGTACGACGTATGTTCGATACGATACCTAACCATGTCGTTTCTGTGGTTGTAGAGTTTAGCCTTCAAGAGCCTGACAGCGAGCAAGACTGGTTGAACCAGCACGGGGGAAACAAAATTTTGTTCTTGGCAGTATCAAGAATTGCGGGTAGTATAATGCGGCTCTGACATTTTAGTGTGCGGATGGAGGTTGTCCAAAACAAGCAATGAGCTTGGCGGATAAGTCCGGGGTAATATAGGTAAGCAATAGGCATGCATAGGCCGTCTCTAGCCCTTCTGTTTGGACGACGACGTTGACGGGAGCCAGTTTTATTGTAACGCTTCCGACGTGATAGACACGGCACTTTTGCGCTCCGCTTTGAATCGAAACAATCATTTACAATCACTACTATCAGTAGACCAATGAGAAATACCCTTTTTTCGATAATGATCACCTCCCCTGTCGGTGTTAGCAATCCTTTGCTGATGCCAAGATGGCTAGTGATTGAGAGGAGCATGAAGCGGTCCAAGCAGAGTTGTCAAAACCAAGGAGCCCGGCATTTGCAATCTCAGTGGCAAGGTTTTTTCTGGTACTAGCAAGACTGGTATGACTGGCAAGACTGGGGAGGGGGGGGAGTGTTATACTACTATGTAGTACTATGTAGTATAACCAACATAAGCAACACCTCCTTTAAGACTTCTATGATGATAGCAATGGTAGAGCACGTGCAGAAGGTATAAGCGATCGAGGTCATGCCTTGATTTCCATCATCATTATGATGTGGAGTTGCGCTGGGTTACATTGCAACGTCAGACCACGGTTGGCTGCCTCAAATTTCTCTTCCGAGCCACATTTGGATATAATATGAATCTGCTGTGCAGCGATCGGCCTTCTTCTCTTGGACCCGGAAACATTTTCTGTATTGTATCCCTTTCAGAGCACCAAGCACCAAGCACCAAGCCAAAAATGGCGAATCAGAATACGCAAAGTAACGCTCAGCCCCAAGGTCGGTCACTTTTTTTCTCTTGTCTCGTCTGATCATGTCTTGAGGCTCCATGTAAACATCCACGTTTGGACTCGGCAAAGTGTTTTGCATCCTTTTCCAAGACCCTATCACAGTTGAGGTTATAGCCTTTCTAAGAAACATGAATAAACTAACCTCAGGTGAAGACAACTCTGTAGTAGGAGTAGCCGACCCTGTTGTTTCTACATCTACATCTACATCCGAGGAGTCAAGCTCAACAAAGAAGGTAGACGAGAAGCCGGCTTCAGATACAACAGTTCCGGACTCTATTGTTGAGTCTGTCGTCGAGGGACCTCCAGGAAGGACCTCAGCGACCGATCTCAGCTCACCTGATCCATTAAACTTCGGTCGGCATCGCCGCGAAAATGTCTCGCAGCGACAGATGAAAATCGACCATCCTAACGGAAACAAGAAGAAGCTGAAGAAGTTTTATACTAGACAGAATGATCTCATCGACCAATTTCTAGGTGCCGATGATGAGGAACGGCTGCAGGTAGAGGAAGACGTTCGCGTGGCACCTAAGATTAAGTTCGCGGTCAACGCCTCCTTTACTGTCAACTTCTGTCTCTTCGTAATTCAGCTTTATGCTGCCGTTTCGACTGGGTCGCTATCGGTAAATGACCCCGGGTGCGAAATCTTCTCATCCTGTGAACTTAGTTGACACTCTTGATAGCTCTTTGCCACTGCTGCAGATGCATTTGTTCGTGAACTCTTGATCTTATAATTAAAGTGCTCCTCATTGACCAAGGAGACAGATGGACCTCGTGTCGTCTTTTGTAATGCTTATAACTTCCCGCCTTGCAGCTAGGGCCAGCATTTATAAGTACCCAGTGGTAAGTAAACCTGGATGGCCATGAATGTGGCTATGTACTTATAGCCAAGTAGGGTCGCACCCGGATCGAAACCATAGGTATCATCCTTTTCTGTGCGTTGATGACTACGGTTGCCATCCAATTACTCGTAAGTCTGCTCCCCACGAGGTTTCAGCCGGATAGGCCCGAGGAATCTAATCCTGGATCGTACAGGTCGAATCTGCACGTGCCCTTGGCGGGGGACCTTCCGAATCTTCTGAACTCCATATTATTCCCATTGTTTTCGTGAGCATCGCTAGTAAGCAATCTACCTCCTATGCTTTTTCTCGGCAGGAGGACACGAGCTAACAGGGATGTCCAGTCTTCGCGAAGGGTAGCTTGATGCTTTACTGTCTTGCATATCGCAAGTATCCATCCGTCCATGTCTTCTTTGTAAGTGGCTTCCGAAGATCCCGTAGGTGCCGCTTCTAACCTGGAGCAGATCGATCACCGCAACGACATCGTCGTCAATATTTTTGGTCTAGTTATGTCAGTCGTTGGAGACCGATTCGTTTGGTATCTTGACCCTATTGGTGCCATGTGCATTGCGCTCCTGATTCTCTTCTCTTGGGTTGCCAATGCATTCGAGCAAGTGTGGCTCCTCGTAGGAAAGTCGGCTCCAAATGAGTTCGTATCGAAGCTCATCTACATGAGCATGACCCACGACCCGCAGATCCGAAAGGTGGATACGGTAAGTGAAGGTGGACTGAAGCCAAGAATGCCCAGGTGCCTAGGAATGCTAATGCGGACAGTGCCGAGCATATCATGCCGGACAGAAATACTACGTCGAGGTCGACATTGTTATGGACCAGGATGTCCCGCTTAAGATTTCACACGACGTGAGCCAATCTCTGCAGAGGAAGCTGGAAGGTGAGTGCCTATATATATAACTTGAAACCTCGAAACTTATTGGTCCAATACTGATCACCTTACAGGCCTGGGCGACGTTGAACGGGCATTCGTCCATGTTGATTACGATGCCGAACATGATCCGCATGAGGAGCATAAACCCCTATATGAAAAGAGGCAGAGCCGAACTCTGAAGGACATTCTTCTTTTTAGGAAGAAGCAAGGTGAGGACGAATTACGACGAGTGGAGAACACGGAGACGTGAAGTGAACCCTGTCACTCGCTACGATGCCCATGATAGGCAAGAGGTTTGGAGAGAGGCCGGAGTGGAGGCCAGACCTGAGACATACATATGTACGTCTGAGACTTGAGGAATGATTTTGACGGATGACACCCAAAAAAAGAAATGTGGTGGTGAAAAGTACACGGGGAAACGTGGGATGTGCTACATGCGATTTGACTTATAGAGCAATGTGCGAACGATTTACATTAAAAGTATATATAGATTTAGCGAGCGAAATCCTTTCTTTTCTTTTAAATAAATCTAAAAAAAAATGAAGAAAATTGAAGTTGAACAGAATGTTTCGAAAATCCAAAGTCTTATTCATTGAAGTCAAGAAACACTTGATAGGGGATTACGTAATGTGGGGTAGCACATAGAACTTACCTAAGCACATCTATCTACGCTCAACATTAAGTGCTTACTCACACTTAACTAACTAACGGTTAGTTACATCCAATAGTTAGTAGTAGGTACTTACATAGTACTACGTATCGTATGATTGGAAATAAAAAATTCCCCATTTGCCTTCTCTACATACTTTCTACTTCAATGTAGAGGAATACTTATTCCTCGCCAACACCAGAAGGATGTCACTTCTAATTCCGGGGGTACGCAGGGCGGCATCCAAGCTGACCCCCAGTCAATTTGTCTGCCGTCAATGCCTCCGCCAACAACGCCGGATAGCTCCGTCGCATAGTAGTAGTATCCTCCAGTCGTTGGGCAAACGGCACGCCAGCACCGAGTCGCAAGCCCGCTTCGCCCGCTATTTTACCTCGACAAGCATTCCGACAACGGTGGCGAATACCCCGGCCTCGGAGGCAAAAGGGAAGAAGGCTTTCCCGGAGACGAGCTCCAAGTCGGTTGGTTACTGGCTTATTGGTAGTGCCGTCAGCGTTTTCGGCATCGTGGTATTCGGAGGTCTTACACGGTTGACTGAGTCTGGGTAATATCGCTCCCTACCTTTAAATCTTCCTACCCAACCTACATGCCTACCTATCTATCTGTATGCCTTGCTGTTTGATTCTCACCCTCGGCTAACGCTGATCATGCGGGGCGTTTAAATAAAACAGCCTCAGCATAACAGAATGGAAGCCCGTGACCGGCTCCCGCCCGCCCATCACCCAGGCTGACTGGGAGTCCGAGTTCGAAAAGTACCGAGCCTCGCCCGAGTTCAAGCTGCTGAACTCGCACATGGACGTCGAGGAGTTCAAGAAGATCTACTACATGGAGTGGACGCACCGGCTGTGGGGGCGCGTCATCGGGCTGACCTTCGTGCTGCCCACCGCCTACTTCATCGCGCGCCGCCGCGTCTCCGCCCGCGTGGCCGCCCACCTCCTCGGCATCTCGGCCCTCATCGGCTTCCAGGGCTTCATCGGCTGGTGGATGGTGAAATCCGGGCTCAAGGACGACCTGTTCGCCCCGGGATCCCACCCCCGCGTTTCCCAGTACCGCCTCGCCGCCCACCTTGCCACCGCCTTCGTCTGCTACTCGTGGATGCTGCTCGCGGGCCTCAGCATCCTGCGCACGCGGCGCCTCCTCGCCGACCCCACCTCCGCCAGCAAGCTCCTCTCCGCCCTCAGCAACCCGGCCATCGCCCCCTTCCGGCGCTCCGTAACCGCCCTCACCGCCCTCGTCTTCACCACCGTGCTCTCAGGCGCCCTAGTCGCCGGCCTCGACGCCGGACTAATCTACAACGAGTTCCCGAAGATGGGCGTCGGCCTCTCCCCTCCCCGCGCCGAGCTCTGGGACGCCTTCTACTCCCGCGAGGCCGACCGCTCCGACCTCTGGTGGCGCAACATGCTCGAGAACCCGAGCCTCGTGCAGCTCGACCACCGCATCCTCGCCACCACCACCTTCTGCGCCGTGCTCGCCTTGTTCGCGTACGCGCGGACGGGCCGCGTCGCCGCCGCCCTGCCCAAGGACGCGAAGAAGGGCGTCCTCGGCGTCGTGCACCTCGTCTCGCTGCAGGTCGCTCTCGGCATCAGTACGCTGATCTACATGGTCCCCATCTCGCTCGCCGCCGCCCACCAGGCCGGCAGCTTGGCGCTGCTTACGGGGGTCCTGGTCCTCGGGCATCGGCTACGCGTGCCCAAGTCTACAGTTGCCATGGTTCACAAGAGACTGGCGGCGGCGGCGAAACCGCGATAGTGTCCCAATTGATCACTCACTCAATCATCTAACCGATTAACTTAAAAAGTAGTAGTATACCTAGGTAGGGCAGGCATGATTTTTACTTGGGGGTAGATACCATGTACTACTATATTAGAAACTCAATTCTTCTCATTCCTACGCTATACGTAGTAGCTACTGAGCATGGCCCCCCCTTTTTTTTCCTTTTAGATTTTCCTAGCTGAGAGAGAATCTAGGTACTGTATAAACAATTCGTAGCCAGCACGTTGTAACCCCCCTAACCTAGTCCCATCCCCAAGATGAAGAGCAAATCTTGTTCTAATCCATTCCATACCTGGTTACTTAGGGATAACTTATTTGTGGGCTAGAGTGAAGGTAGGTGTTAGCATACGTATTTGACAGACATCGCTCGAAGTTAGATTATAAGAACTTACGAATTCCCTCGACATGTACGTGTGATTCCTCGGCGGCGCCTTCAGTCGAAACCTTCTCTTTCTTCTGTTCAGGGTTCATGAACGGGAATAGCAACACCTCCTTGATGGTGTAGTTGTTGGTCAAGAACATGACGAGTCGGTCTATGCCCAAGCCCCAGCCGGCGGTGGGGGGTAGGCCGTACTCGAGAGCGTTGAGGAAGGTCTCATCGATCATCTGCGCCTCGTCGTCTCCTTGCGCCTTCTGGTTAGCCTGCTCCTCGAAGCGCAGTCTCTGTTCGAACGGTTGGTTCAACTCGGTGTAGGCATTGGCAATCTCCTTCTTGCAAACGAACGCCTCGAATCGCTCCGTTAGACCGGCCTTCTCACGGTGGTCCTTGGCCAACGGCGACATGATCTTGGGATGCTCGGTAATAAAAGTGGGATTCACGGCAGTTTCCTCGATGAACTCGCCGGTCAACTTATCGAGCATCCTAGCGGTGGTCTGCGGTTCGGGGCAGACAACCTTGACCTTCTTCATGACACCTTTGAGCCACTCCCTCGTCTCCTCAGTATGAAGCTGGTCGGCGGGCGGGAATTTTTCCCCAGTTGCTTCCTCTAGCGCAGGAATCATCTCAACTCGTCGCCACGGCGCCTCCCAGTTCACAGTGTATGTCTCGCCGTGCTGGGTGGTGAAGGAAGTCACATAACTACCAGTGAGCTGTTTCACCATACCCGAAACCAGCTCTTCGGTCCTCTTCATGAGGTCGTTGAAGTCGGCATAGGCTTCGTAGAATTCACAGGTGGTGAATTCAGGGTTGTGGGTCAAATCGGCACCTTCATTTCTGAATAGGCGACCAATCTCGTAAACCTTGTCGTACTCTCCGACGATCAACATCTTGAGGGGTAATTCGGGAGCTATTCTTAAAAAGATGTCCATGTTGTAGTCGTTGAGGTGGGATTGGAAAGGCTTGGCGGTAGCACCACCAGCGATCTGGTTAAGAATGGGAGTTTCCACCTCTTCGAAGCCGGCATTATCAAGGTAGCTGCGAATATACTTGATAATCTTGGTGCGAGTGCGGTAGGTCTGGGCGGTCTTGGGGTTCATGATAAGATCGAGGTAGCGCTTGCGGTAACGCTGCTCTTGATCCTTGAATCCGTAGTATTCGTCGGGCAACTGGTGTAGACACGGCGATAGCAAGATGACCTCTGTGGCAAAGATGGAGAGTTCACCCTCTTCGCCCTTCTCGATCTTGGTCTTGGGAGCAGTTCGTCCGGCATAACCAATAATTCCGATGATATCACCACGTCTTATATGATCATGCTGCTTCTCAAAAGCAGGAGCACCCTCATGAACCTCCTGGGCCTGGCACATGATTTGGGCCTTAACACCATTGTTTCCTCGGATATCGTAGAAGAGTAGCTTGCTCCCGGAGGCGCGCTTATTGTATATTCTGCCGGCCACACGCAAAGTCTTGGATTTGTCGTGTTCTCCGGACTTGAGGTGACCATATTCGCTCACGAGGTTGTTGAGGTCATAATCGCGGTTGAATTTGTGGGGGTAAGGATATGGGTCCTTAGACTCAATGAGCTTGGTGATAGCTCGAGATCGAATCTCAAAGTATTGCTAAGATGTGTTAGCTGTATTGGATTTTGAATCTGAGCATGAGCATAAAGAAACGTACGTTAGGAGTCAACTCCTTCTCGTCTGCCTCAGCATTCGTCTTCTTCGCAGCTTTAGGTGGTGCGGTAGCAGCCTTTTCCTGCTTCTTGGCGTCTCGCTCGCGCTGCTTCTGTCTCTTCTTCAACTCCGACTTAGACACCTTCTCGCCGGTAACTTCATCCAGGTGCAAGTTTGCAACCTGGTCTGTAGGTGCCTGGTCTGCCATGGTGAATAACTATATTGCTATAGATATCTGTGACAAAGTTTGGTAGTTGAAAAGAATCAATTGGTGTTATCGCAATGATCCCCCACCAATAAATCTTTTGAGTATTTGAAGTTAAGGTTAGCTTTGGTGACTCAATCCAATCCGAGATCGCGGGGTAATCTTTTTTTTTTTCCTTAACTATTTCATTTAACTATTGCGTTGAATTGAATCACCCCACCTCGTTTGTAGCTGTACATACCTTTCGTATTCAACGCGGGGCACTCTAAGTATGTGCATAGTTGCATGTATCACGTGCAGAGATGCACATCTATCTTAGTATGTATTTATACCATTTATATCCTTAAACGGCATGTAATAACTACTTGGAGTTAAATTGAATTAACTTCAGCTCGTCTATTTTAGCTATTTTAGCTTTATGTGCCAACCCTTTTTGTTTTCTTTATCAACAACCTGGAATCTGCAGGATGAGGTACTCTCATACATACCCTCTCATCCCTCAAGGCATTTACATACGTAGTATTCCATCACCATCATCATGCACTGCCCCCTCCCAGCTGAACAACCCCCAGCCGCCGATCTCATGGCTACGATACATACCGGTACTGAGTAAAGTCCGTCACCCATCTGGCAACATACACTACTTGCTCTTACTTACTATGTACGCGACTACTCATCAGCCAACAAGGCCGATTGTCTCGAAAATACCAAATGGTGATCAGCAAAACCTCGAGTAGGTAGACTAAGTTTCCCAAATCTGTGGGACTCTGTCCTCGCAGGACGAGATATGCCTTGTCGCCAAATCAGTTCTGTATTCTATTATCTGCATCGTCCAGGCTAGTCAACAAGCGTTAGCTTTCTTTTCTGCAGGAATCATTGCCTGTATATATTCCTTGTAGCTGAACGCCACGGCGGTAACTAAGCCATCACATGCGCTACGGAATGTGATAACTTTCAAATGCCTTGCCCACACTCCTTGGCCCCTCTCGTCGCGGTCTGCCCAGTGGCTGAGGACTGATGGCTCAGGGTTGAAAGCTGAAATTGGGCTGGTTCGCGAGATAGGAGATTTTTGCAATGTCTAGAAAATCACCGTCGCCTGCCCAACAGTTTAACCCAATAGTCCAATAACCCAATACTTAGCAAGAAATTGACAACATTTACTACCCTTGAATAACGTCTAGAGAATGTGCATTAGCGTATCAACTACACCCCGACCTCTCCCAACCGCAATACAGCTTTTAGGTTGTCGAAATCAGAATGAGCTTCGGTGTGGGCTTTGGCGATCTGGTGCTTGCTTCTAAGCTGGCCTGGAAGGTGTACAAGGCCTGCAAAGACTCGGGCGATAACTTCAAGCGCCTATCAAGTGAAGTTGCTTCTTTACATGTTGTACTAAAAGAAACTGAGGACTTTATCGCTGAGTACTCTGAACTCGACACTTCTCGAAGAAATCGCTTGAATATCCTGACGGATGGATGTAATGCAACGCTTCGCGATTTGGATAAACTGCTCGACTCGTATGAGCGCCTCGGTACACAAGCCCAGAGGGCTTGGGACCGGATGCGGTTTGGATTTGAAGACTTTGCTGATATACGATCACGGTTGGTGAGCAATGTGACGCTGCTAGCTGCTTTCAACAGCTCTTTAGCTAAGTGCGCAACCCTCACAAGGGCGCCTTATCTCTGTGATACTGACGTTGCACGGTACCTAGTTCATCGACGGCAAGAATCGAGAAGAGGTTGAATAAGTTCATCTGCGAAGTGCGTGCTGGATACCGGGAAGGCTCCGTCGTTACAGTGCCAGATGTCGTCGAAACAATCGAATCACCGGATGTGTGGGCGCAGCTACGACGAGAGCTCGAGGACGTTGGCATATCCCCTGCAATCATGGAAGAGAATCACGAATATATCTCGAGCTGGATGAAGTCGGTTCTATCCCAAGGACTAGCGAATGAAGATGCCCCAATCGAGTTGAACGATACGATCTCCGCCGACTCCGGGTACGGCGGTAGCATTGTGTCATCGAGTGTTGAGATGAATATAGCAAACGAGGAATTCGAGCTAAACATGCGCAAGAAGCAAGCTGAAAGACCTCTAGAAGAGATCTTCAAGCCGCTAACTGTGGAATCCACTACGCCGTCTGTTAGAAAAAAGTCTCTCACAGACCCTGCTAGGCTTATCCGCAAGCTCTTCGTCAAGGAAGATGCAATTGTCCAGGCAGCAAGCGATGGTAACCTTGAAAAGGTTGCTAAGCTGCTTAGCATCGGGTGCGACGTAAATGCACGCGATCGATGGGGGTGAGTGAATCTCAAGAGTGTGCAATACTCAATAGTGCTTTCAAGACATGCTAACATCAGTATCATATATATAGTTGGTCAGCTCTCAGTATGTGTGCGTATGGTGGACATGTTACTATCGCTCGACTCCTGCTTGAGCACGGAGCCGATATATACAATGTGGATGTGGATGGCGACACTCCAATGCAAATAGCTGCGACTCGTGGTCATTCCGAAGTGGCTATTCTATTCGATGAATCGCAAGCCGAGAGAGATCGCTTAGCTCGAGAACTAGATACTGAACCGTAGTGGAGAGGAGTAAGGCAACAATTAAAGAGGTGGCTTCAAATATGACGATCTTCTCTTTTTTGTCCCACAAATTGTTAGCTTGTTAGCTGTTGGGAGGCTTTGTGGAAGAATAAGTCTGGGTGATCTACATGACTGCCTTACATACTACGCCGCATGGTTCTGCTGACGCGGGCCGGGTTGATCTCCACGGTTGCTTACCTGCGTGTTTTATTTTTGTAAGTAACTATGGATAACAAGTATAACTTGTATACCGCTTGACTGATCCCTACTGTTGTGTCAGGTAAGTCAGTATATCTGATTTGACACCAGTTCGAGGCATTCGTCATAACCTTCTCATTATTTTGGTCAAGTTGATAGGTGCCTACTAAGGTAGGTAGGTACCTAGGCAAGTAATAATATTAGCATATCCCCCCTTTATCACGATTCACAATGCTACAGCAGCCTATTCTGCACCCTATCTTGTCTGATGAAATGAAGCCTTTGTAGGCACCTGGTATCCGTTATAGGACCCACGAGCTTAGCAATGCCAAGTCATTACGGACGGGAGTCTCACCTTAGTCCTACATATATCAGCCCTAAACGGTAGCCTATTTAGTGGCTGGAGCTTTGTGGTAGCTAGCTGGACAGGCTTCGGAAGACAACCGGTCATGTAATAGCATACGGCGTAAATCCTTCGACATCATCTTGTTGCGCAGCCACGATCAGTCATTTCCTATTCGAGATGAACATCCGTAGGTAAAGACGCCGCAGCACGGGCCATACGTAGTTGTCTCTGATGTAGTCTTACGATGGTATATTCATCCACAGGTCTCTTGACGTTTTCTACGATGTTCGCCAATATGTCTCACCTTTTTACCGAGAAGGAGTTGTTGTCTTGAGTCTTGAGTATCTAAGTTGCGTGCGTGAAGTGACTCGCAACATCATCACAATGCCGAACCAGGAACTTCTTCAGAGTGCCCTTACGATCCAAGACCCTTTCCTACCACAAGATCCAGCTGAAGGGCCGCTATTCCTTGACACACAAGCGTGCCTATGTGCTCTGCGAGGAAAAGAAAACGTAGCTGACACCGACGCGGCCTGGCAATGTATTGGAAATCAGACACAAGGCGTCTACAATGTAAAGAGTGGGAAGTGGTTCAACAACCTGGGCACTGCCAGTTTGCAGGATAATTTACCGATATGGGACGCGTCAAGCGGCCCTGACACCAGCAAAGCCCTCATGCTGAATCCCGACGATAACTCTCTAGTGAACCTCGATCCCTCCACCCTAAGCGTGTGGGATCAAGCATGCACCGGTGAAAACCACACCACCTTCTCGACGTCCTACTACGGGTCAGTGACAGCTCTTCAGGTCAACGACACTCCTATCGACGCTGCCCCTTGCTGGCGGCCTGGAGCTATCCCGATACAAATCCAGAATGTGACTAACTGGAACGACAATGGATGTAACCCGGGTTTCTTGTGTAAGTTTTGTTGGGGATTACAAAGAATATCGAGATATGTGACGAGGAAAAGGTGTGCTGACATTCTAGCGACTAGGCACTAACAATACCGTAAACTCCTTACCACAATACTGTCCTCCTATCACGGAATGCCAAATAGCGCGATTGGGGGGCTACACCTGCAGTTTCAACGGCATAAATATCGGGATGGGACCATTCGAACCGGTTGTCTGCCAGCAAGGATACTACTGCCCACCCGAAAAAGGGGGCACCGAAATGCTCCCCTGCCCAGCCGGCTCTTACTGTCAACCGGGTGCGCCTCAACCTACCGCATGTACCGTTGGAAGTTACTGCCCGGCAAAATCGACGTACGAGATGTTTTTGATACCGATCCTGGTATTGGTTATCGTCGACGTTATCCTTGCCATTGCGTTTATCTGGTACCGTATTCGCAAGCGGTTTTGGAGGACACGCGAGCGACACATGGACGGTAAATTCGTGGAGAAGAAGAGCACCTTCGTGGGGGTCACGACAGGCTACGAAGAGGTTCCTAGAGAGGCAGACCACGAGGCACAGGAGACGCGCTCTAACCACGTCCCACAAGAGGGTTGGACTGGTTTCGAGGCTGCGTTGGAATTCCCAACGCCGCGGAGCTCTACGCTGGACATGCCCGAAAGTGGCTTCTCTCCCCAGCTCAAGGCATTCGTCGAGTCTATGAGAAGAGCAACCGACGGCGCTCGCTTTGGACTGTCGTTTACGTACTCGGACCTCTCCTTCCAACCCAAAGGAACTGCAAAACCGATCCTCCAAAATGTTACCGGCTCCATCGAACGCGGATCTCTCACGGCCGTCATGGGCGGCTCTGGCGCTGGCAAGAGTACGTTTGTGAATGTGCTCATGGGGAAGACTCAAAATACAGGCGGCTCGGTTACCATCAACAACGTGCCTGGGAAGATCAAGAAATACAAGAAGCTCATTGGCTACGTGCCTCAAGACGACATCGTGCTGCCCGAGCTAACGGTGTACGAGAACATCCTCCACTCGGCGAGGATACGTTTACCTAGAGCCTGGAAAGACGTGGATATACAAGCACATGTTAACTCGGTGATTGACTGTTTGGAACTATCTCACGTGCGCAACTCTCTGGTCGGCAGCGTAGGAAAGCCCGTTATCAGCGGTGGCCAGCGGAAGCGAGTAAGCATCGGGATGGAACTGGCCGCAGCTCCTATGGCCATCTTCCTCGACGAACCTACCAGCGGTTTAGACGCTAATGCCGCCTCGTCCATCATGCGGACGCTCAAGGCGATTGCACGGCTGGGCATCTCCGTCATCGTCATCATCCACCAGCCACGCATGGAGATATTCGAGATGCTCGACGACCTGATCCTACTCGCCAACGGGCAGATCATCTACGAGGGGCCCGAGTCCGGCGTGCAGTACTTCTTCGAGGACGTCGGGTACAGCTTCCCGGCGCACTCTAACTTCGGCGACGTCGTGACGGACATCGTGACGGGCAACGGCCGGATCTACAAGCCCGCGGGCGACATCTCCAAGGACTCGCTCATCGCGAACTGGGCGCAGTCGCGGCAGCACGCGTCGATCCGGGAGAAGCACGCCTCGGTCAGCACGTCGAAGTCGCTCATCGCCGAGAACAACTCGCGGCACCGCCAGCTGCTGCGCAAGCGCGGCGCCCCGCACTGGCGGCAGTGCCACCTGTGCCTCAAGCGCGCGATGCTGCAGCAGTGGCGCACCCGGTCCGCCTTCTTCTTCGAGATGGCGCTGGCCTCGATCGCGGGACTGCTGCTTGGCTTGGCGCAGAACTCGAAAAAAGGTGTCCTGTACACGGGCACGTACAACGCGCCGTACGAGGTGCTGTCGCTCGCGACGGACATCAAGTCGGTGCCCGAGCTCGCGCTGCTGATGGCCATCGCCATCGGCCTCATCTCGGGCGCGCCCGGCGTCCGCGTCTTCTCCGAGGAGATGCTGCTGTACAAGCGGGAGTCGGAGGCGGGCCACTCGCGCATCGCGTACTTCGTTGCCAAGAACTTCTCCGTGCTGGCGCGCATGGTGTTCGCCTGCATGCACTTCACCACGCTCATCCTCCTCATCTCGGTCCCCATCATACCGTGGGGCGTCGCGTTCGTCACGAACCTCGTGTACTTCTACTCGATCTACGGGCTCGCAAGCTGCGTGTCGATGGTGGTGCGCCGCGAGGACGCGCCGCTCATCGCCACCATGATCACCCTCATCGTCGGCATCCTCTGCGGCGCGGCGCCGCCGCTGTCGAACGTGAAAGACTGGCAGATGGAGTGGCTGTGGCGCGCGTCTCCCGCCACCTGGCTCGCCGAGCTGTACTTCGGCCAGCTGATCGAGCCGTATAGGTACCTCTACGACGTCGAGCTCACCTCGCAGCTGGTGGGCTACCATCTCGATCGCTGCTGGTTCAACGTCTTGATTCTGTTCTGCATAGGCACGGCGTACAGGGTGCTCGCATACATTGGTCTGCTGGTAGGGGGCCGGCTACGCGTATAGAAGGAAGGGAAGAAAGGGAAGGAACTGGCGATTGGGTACATATAACTACGGCATGGTATGTACATATGTAGATTAAACTTCTCCAGAGCTTGCATTAAATGTAGGTAAATAAGATACCTAGAGAAGGGTTGTAAGTTTCACTGCAGGAAAAGGCTAAGGAAAGGGTCATGGGGGTAAAAGGAGTAAAGTGTATATTGCATAGGACGGATTGATATCCGGAAGAGAATTTATTCGTCTTCCAAACTTGGAAACTATATCATGATTTTTGTTCCTCCCTCATTTGCGGATTGCCAGATCTAGTAGAATCAGATCAGATGGTGGCGTTCTGGTGTATGCAGAGTCTCTGCCTACATACTACGAAGTACATGCATTCATGACCTAGTACGGCGTATAGTAGATGGTGATCAAACAGCTCCCCAAAGCTGAAATGTCATGAACAAAGCCAAAGCAAGCCAAGTAGCACCGGCAGTCTACGGCTTAACCTCTCTGAGATTTTTTTTAAAAATAAGCGCCAGTACCTTTGACCTTAGTTCCCGTACCAAGGTAACAAAAAAACATGAAATAAATCAGGTTGGGTGGGCTACTTACACCGTCTGTGAAACTGTGACCAGCAAGCATACTATGTAGGTAGCATACACCTACATACATTCTGCCTTGCAAGTTGCCTTTCTTCACGATCACCCCATTTCCGCATACTGGCGGTTACGTTTGGGCATTGAGCGATATAATTTCTTGGGACATATAATGAATGAGCTGTTTTTTGTTTGGAGATCTAGGACTTTTGGTTTTTTTTGCGTTGTTCGTTGAGTATTAATACACTACACGCTTTACCGATGTTAATAGAAGCACGAACGGTTGAGATTCACACCAACACCTACTTACTTACTTTACTGTCTTACTGTCTTACTTTCTTAATTCTTACCTACCTCCCTGCTTAGGCACCTTAGGCTCACTAAGGGAGAGCAAGACCACCTAGGTATATATATTCTATTAAGAGCAATTGCCAGAATGGACCGCAGCGGCAAAATGCCTCACGTAGGTATCGTCGGTGCGGGCGCCTCCGGGCTTCGATGCGCGGATGTCCTTCTATCCCGCGGCTTCAAAGTAACGATACTCGAGGCTAGGAATAGAATCGGCGGGCGAGTGAGTACCTACCAGAACCCATAGCCAAAACTAGATGAGATCACCAACTAACTGAGTAGTCTAGATTTGCCAGTCGAATGAGTTGGGATACACGGTTGACATGTAATTTCCCAATCACGCCGCATTCCTATATCTATCTACCTAGACACTTTGCCTAGCAGGTAGTTTCATGCAACAGGAATATTCGCTAAAAAGTTCCTGTTACCAAAGCACAGCGGCCCGAACTGGATCCACACCTGGGACAGCGGCGACGTGCACCCGATCCTGAAGCTCGCCATCGAGACCAACACGCCGCTGCACCACTGGAACGGGAAGCAGCTGATCTACGACTCCTCGGGCCACCCCGTGCCCACCGACAAGACCGACCGCCTCTCGACCCTCCTGTGGGAGATCATCGAGAAGGCCTTCGAGTCCAGCTCCGCCGCCCGCGACGCCGACGGCGGCAAGAGCATCCCTGCCCAGGAGTCCCTGTGGGATTTCGTCAGCAAGGAGGCCGCGAAGCAGCTCCCCGCCGACGAGGAGAGCCAGCGCATCCTCGTCCAGATGTGCGAGATGTGGGGCGCCTATGTCGGCGAGCCCGTCTGGAAGCAGAGTCTGAGGTTCGCGTGGATGGAGGAGTGCTGCGGAGGCGGTAAGGGATCGCTCGCTCAACAATCGCAAGGAAATCGCTAACCTGATTTCTTTTTCACTTATGATTAGAGGAAGTCTTCATCGCATCAAGCTACGCCGCGATCCTGAAACGGATCTCGAAGCCGGCCCGCGAGAAGGCGGAAATCGTGCTCAACGCCAAGGTCGTCACGGTGATCGCCCCCGAGCGCAGTGCGAGGAATAGCGAGGAGGTGGTGGTGCTCAAGACCGAGGACGGGCGGGACTACGCCTTCGACGAGGTGGTGATGGCGACGCCGCTCGGCTGGCTGCAGAAGAACATGCACACGACGTTTCAGCCGGCGCTGCCCCCACGCCTCAGCGCCGCCATCAACAACCTGAAGCTGTCGCAGCTCGAGAAGGTGTTTGTTACCTTCCCCTCTGCCTTCTGGCTCGACGACCCCGACCCTGACCCAGCCTCAACCTCAACCTCAACCTCGGACTCGGGCCCAAACTCGGACACTTTCCCAGCCTACACGAACTGGCTCACCCCCGCCTACGCACCCGACACCAACCCCTGCGGTTGGCCCCAAGAACTCTGGAACCTCGCCGCCCTCTCCCCACCTAACTCCCATCCAACCCTCCTCTTCTACCTCTACGGCGACTGCTCGCGCCACGTCGTCGACAGCGTCTACGGCACCACCACATCTTCCCCCTCCACTTCCCCCACCTCCTCCCCCACCGCAACCGCCTTCCTCCGCGCCTTCTTCTCCCCCTACTACAGCCGCCTCCCACACTACGACGCCTCCCTCCCGGAGTGCCAGCCCACCGCCTTCCTCGCCAGCGCGTGGCTGAAGGACGACCTCGCCGGCAACGCGAGCTACTGCAACTTCCAGGTGGGCGTGGAGGCGGCGGACCAGGACATCCTGGCGCTGCGGGCGGGGTGCGGGGGGAGGGGGCTGTGGTTCTGCGGCGAGCATGCGGCGCCGTTCGAGGAGTGCGGGACGGTGGCGGGCGCGTATCTGTCGGGGCAGGGGGTTGCGGAGAGGATTGCGGCGGCTTATGGGCGGTAGATGGGCTGCTGTCTTCTCAACTTTACACCTGCGTGGCGCGGATGGGGAGTCTTCCCTTATTCGCCTGTCGAGTGGCTTGCTGCTGCTGCTGCTGCTGCTGCGATGGGGGATGGAAGTTCTACAAGCGCGCTGGCATCCGGTACTCTCGACGTGATGCCCCTCGCTGAGTTATATTTACCGGTAGGCAAGGCAGGGAAAAGAAAGGGGAACGGCTTCATCGGCACTGGTTTTTATCTTTCATGCAAACACATGGATTTATGCCTCCTCTCCCCTTTTTTAAGCTCCAGGCATGTAGGTACATACATATCTAGATCTAGATCTAGGTTAGATACGTACTTACTTTACTTGCGCAGGTATGTAGGTGCTCTAACAGGGATATACATGATCGATCTACCCATGCGCGATTTGTGAAGTGTAAATAACCACAATAGCTGCTAGATACACACATGCATGTTAATCTTGCATCAGCAAGAGGAAAAGTTTCCTCTACAATTGGGGCACTCGATCCGGTGCACTGACTCGCCGCCGCTCTTTGTAGTCTCGGTCTTCAACTTCATCACGAACGTATGTAGGTAGAGCTTTCTTATTATATCACTGAAACTTTCGAGGACATACCAGCCTCCTACCGATAGCCGTTGGCGCTCTTCGCTGTGGTGTCAATAGGTTCGGGCGACTACATCTACGCCTCGCGAGTTACATAAAACAAGCAAGCCATTATGTAGTTCGATGTTCTTGCTAATGTGATAGATATCCCTAACTCCTTAACGGAAGCCGGGTTGGGCCGCTGATAACCTCCCCTACCTACTACCTAATATCATAATGATTTACGATGTCAGAATTGACGAGTTATGCCCGAAGCCACCAAGTTCAAGGACTGTGTATGCAGGTCGTGACCGATCAGTTCATGTTTATCGAGAGTCGGTATTACTTTTATGACTGATAGGTTTAGGTAACCCCCCTTTTCATTTACCTATGTTTGCCTCGATGCTGTCCTACCCATCAGAGAACATGCACAAGGCAATTATCTACTAACTACCTGAGTAGATAGCCACCTACTTATATGCGTGATCCATTAGGTATAAGTCACGAGAGCTAGTGATTGGATTCAATCGCGATCTGACTTGAGAGAGAATAATGCATACCTACTTGAGCTGACTTGCGAAAGTCTCGCGAATTGAAGACGGCTCTTCAAATTCCATCATTTGGCACTCTCCGCCAAATTGATATGTTTACTCCCGAATGTACCTAACCTAGGCAACTATAGAGGATCATCAGAATCAGATAACATTCGGTATAGATCACATTAACCTTAAACCGCCACGGAGGTAAGCTACTGTTTCCGGCCATTAATCTGCCTGTCATGCCTGGGTATACTTGAATATATTATTCATAGCCGTTTGATAGCCTTTTTGCCCTCTTGGAAGGAAAAAAAAAAAAAAAACATCAAAGCCACTTCTGTAACGTAGCAAGACCTCCAAGGGGTTACCAGATATTACTTGGCTGACCACCCAGCTCAGCTGACTGGTCCAAATGTCGAGGCAGGTGTCGGTGCCCTCACCTCCAATTGGAAGATACGACTTTTTGTTTTTTTAGTGGCGTGCCGCGATGAAACAATCACTGTTATGCATTTAGAGCCAAGACCTTCGGTCAGTTGCCAAAACACACATACCTGCACATACAACATAACTATTACTACAATGCCAGCATCCGAGTTTATCAAAAGCCAGGACGGGAATTTCTGTCACTCGGAGGCCGGCATGATCCCATTTGTTTTGGAAAGCAATGCCTAGCCTTGGGAACTGCCAGAATAGCGATTCAGATGTAATGTTCTAGCTTGGATCGAATGACTTGGCGGAAGCCGCATGCTATTTACCAGTGACTAGACTAGCTAGCCTACACTGTTTAGTTTGACCCTGCGCCTCGACAGAGTGGGATTGTCTCAGCCCCTCTACACTGGTAAAAGGTTAGTTAGAAAAAGAAAAACAAAACAGACGTCAACGGAACATCCCTACCGCTGCTACTCATGATACTAGCTTCTAGAATGATGTGTTCCGTGATAGCGTGATCGTTGATTAGATAGGTATAAGGGGGTATCTGTATACGTACATTACTTTTGCTAAGGCTGAAAAAGGGCCCATGGGGAAAAGTGAAATGCGGGATAGGGAATAGTTTACTAGGGCTGAAGAAGGTAGGAATTCTGTTTCCGTTCTATTGAAATCGCAACGGCTTCTGTGTGGTCCTAGCCACCCGACCATGGCGTCGTACATTTAATAGCAGAGCGCCCGATGCAGCCTTACAGACCTCTCACGGCCAATAAGTCGGGTTATACCACGTGGTATATATTATTATCCTAGCAACATGGCTTAAGTGGCTGCTTAGTCCAATGGAAATTTATGACACTGGTCTCCGTTGGGTCGCGGGGTGTTGTCGAGAGTAGCGAGTGAGATGGTTGATTCCAACGGAATGAATCTAATAATAGACATTAACTAAGCTCGAACGTTATAGTGAACGGGCTAGTCATCTCCACTGAGTATACTCGACTTGACCTTACAGCATTCCATCTTCCATATGTCTTCCTACATACATTTACATGCATACAACATATTCAAATCAGTTGTTACCTAGATTAGGCAGCCGAGCTGTACTTACATAGTATGAGAGGCATGTGATACGTCGTTCGTTCGGATCTAACCTAGGGAATTTGCGAACAACGTGGCACGGCCTGAACAAAGCTCGAGCAAGGAATGGGATAAGCTTTGTTATAAGGTTAAGCGGGGAGCTGATCAAGACTGGGAATAGGATCATGAAATGCCTATTATCCGGTATTTGTGTATTATGTAATATACAAGTAAGTGGTCAAGGACTTGTATATTGGTCTTCAATGTTGTTGAATTAGGTATTAGCGACGACTGAGTGATAAATACTATATAGTATAGTACTGTGGTTTTCTTCTCCTTGGTTGAACTATGACCGTAGGGATCGGAATGAGCCGATAAACAATCAGATTTGGGAGATTTGGGGAGTCCACACAAGGCTCTTCCCGCTTTCACGGCGGTGACAACGGCGGTGACAACGGCTGCACACCGGCTTAAGCGATTCAATAAGCACTAAGCTAAGTTGAAGCTGTCCAAAATTCGTGTCGGACCCTCCGTAGCCTTGCAAGCTCCAGATCTGGTCATGCGGATGTCGAATACGAGCATTTCCCCTTGGTATCGTCAAATGGCCGCTCGGCATCTCGAGACAATGGATCTATTCAATGACATACCGCTCACTCAATCAACCCATCACTTGGCGACAAAGCGAACTCAAGCATTGCAATACTGCAATACATAGTGTATATGCACATACAGTACATGTAGGTAATGGAGAGTCCTTGACGCCTGAAAGTTGTTTCGGACCAGACCGCCAACAACAATTCCTCTTGAAGGGAATCAATGGAGTGGTACCTAACTAACTATTACAGCCAATTTGTTGTTTCAACAGCAGTGTTGGTTGCCGGGCCGCATGCATCATCTTGGACGCACAACTGATAATTTAAGTCGTGGCACTTGAAGGAAGTCCTATACTCAACTCAGTACGTACAATCAATTGACTATTGGACAGTGTTGTCCCCAGTCGCTGACAGCATTGAATCGAGTATGTCGAGTATGTCGAGTATGTCGAGTATACTACCTAGTCAAGCAGTCTAGAAGCTTAGCATGTAGGTATTAGGCATGGGCCCAAATCGTAAAGATTATTTGGTGTATTAGTGATTGAGGGTCCGAAGGTTTACAATAGGCTACTATTTTATAGTAGGATATGTATTGTATTATTGTATTATTATATTATTAGCATTATTAGTGTTATGAGTACTACTATACGGGCGTATGTATTGGAGGACTCGGACGTATGTGCGTATTGAATAGCCCTTAGCGCCTTTACCGTTGCTGTCGCCCAGGACATTAATTTTTTAACTCTGCATTGGCTCATTTCGCCTTACCACACATCCTTGCTCCTCATTGCATTTCCCCCGTACCTGACAGAAATTACCGACTATGTAGGCTGGCAGACAGGGTAGGCATCAGGTAGCTGCATCCAATATGTTGGGTACCTAGGTACCTTACGTAGGTAGCAACTCTACCTACACTAGTAGGCTAGTACTAGGTATGCAGGCAGGTACATACTAATCATACATAGTATGTAGGTGCGAAATAAAGACCCCTATGCACGTTAAGGCTACTACGTAGGTAATGAGCCAATAGGCTACTTGATGGGTTTGCCGTGTATCCGTAGAATTAACTTTACATGTAGCATTAAGATGAGACGTTCTAGTAAAAGTGAAGCAAAACGTTAATAGGATTTTTAAGATAGAGAAAGAAAGAAAGAGAGAGAGAGAGAGGGGCCTGAAAAAATAAAATAAAAAATGAACTATTAACTTAAACTGCCAAAGCGACTTTCGGTGGGAAAACATGGGTTGAAATACGGATGGATTTTCTTATTGCTTCCTCGCTTGCTCGCTTGCTAGGCATCCATCCACCACTCCAGTCTATTCGGTATATGCTAATATGATCCAGTCAATTTACCCTAGATGACCCCATTAAAAAGAACCAAGAATCAATCAATTCCTGTGAACCAAACATCGAAGGAGCAAGCTGCGGCGCGGCTAATGCCTTAACTGTTATACAATGTTATACAACATTGAACATTCGAATTTCGAACTCCTATGTACAATACACTATGCCCATTGCCCATTGCCAACAGCCCTAGCCCAACTGTAGCTTGCCCCAGTTCCCCTTATTTCATTTACGTAGCGCGTCTTTTTTTTTTTTACCAGCACTTGCATCTCATAGTGTACAGTATTAGTCCCGGAAAAGCGAGCACACCGGGGCCGTGTAACACAGCAGATATGTCGTCAGTCACATACAGATGTCGCTCTTTGATCCCTAAATAGATCCGTATTCTCCTCCGTAGTGTTCTCTCTTATCACTATCATACCCACTTGATCTTTAACACAGCCACTCACACAGCTAAACTTTGAACGAAGAGGAAAAAAGGTCACGATCAATGATCATCGATGATCGTGGAAGATACTGGACGTGCACGCGCAACGTCACTTCCAGACTTCTTGGAGAGATGGGGTGGTACGATCTCTTCCATTTTTCGTGTGGCCCTGATGGCCCCTGGGATGCGAACGGGGGATTATCACGATGCGAGATGATGGGGCGCAGTGCAAGGAGACCCTAGTTATCCCTGCGACCCCTGCTACTACATTGGGCGACTTGAGTGTACTAATCCACACTGATTGGCCCAGTTGCCTCAGCAGAGCCACAAATTTGGAGCATTCCTGCTCGGCCGTCTCGGGTCTAACGGCGTATAGTTTAGCTGGCAGGTCGAGTCTGGACTGGCTTCCCAGACAAGCGATAAACAGGGGCCCTAGGGGAGACACCTACCCAAACGAGTAGGCTCGGCGCTGTAGTACGAGTTTGGACTGGCAGGACTGGGTAAGCTGAGCAAGAACGAGTAAGGATATTCGATGGAAAGCACTGGTTACTTGGTCGTTGGCTTGTAAATAAAACCACAGCGGCTCCCTCTTCCCTGCAAACAAACCCCTTCTTTCACCTTTATTCCCACACCTTCGTTTACCACATACACGCATTCCTCTGCTGAAAACTGTTTCTCTTACGTATACAAGCGTAGGCTGACCTCCTTCGTTTTTACTCGCAACAGTTTCTGTCTCTCGTTAACGCAGAACTCTTAATTGAATCTTCTTTAATAACCCCCACCCGCACCCTCCTGCTCAAATATACAAACTTGAGCTTTCCTTTTAGCCATCTGTTTTTGTCGCTACGTAACACCAAACAAAAATGTTCTCCAGACTTCTATCTACCACCGCGGTGGTCCTGGCTGCCAGCCGGATGGTCTCTGCTCAGACCCACACTGACTGCAATCCTATGGAGAAGAGTGAGTTTATCATGCTATCTGCTACCTGCTATGGGAACATTTAGCACTTTTATTTTTTTCAAGACCCAATTACTAACATTAGATATCAGGCTGCCCTGCCGACCCTGCTTTTGGCAAGACTGTCACCATCGATTTCACCAAGGGCGAGAGCGATCATTTCAAGATCGCCGACGGCACCACCCTCACCTACGACGGCGAAGGTGCCGTTTTCACTATCAACAAGGAGACAGATGCCCCTACCATCACTAGCAAGGAGTACATCTTCTTCGGAAAGGTTGACGTAGAGCTTCAGGCTGCGCCCGGTGTTGGTGTGGTTACCAGCTTCGTGCTACAATCTGATGACTTGGATGAGATTGATTGGGAGTGGCTTGGTGGTGACAAGGCTCAGGTGCAGACCAACTACTTCGGCAAGGGAGACACGACTACCTACGACCGAGGTGCCTATCACCAGGTTGCCAACCCTCAGGACCAGGTGTACAAGTACACCATTGAGTGGACTAAGGACTACGTCCACTGGTCGATCAACGATAAGCTCGTCCGTGAGCTGAAGTATGCCGACGCTCAGGGCGGTACCCGATTCCCCCAGACCCCCATGCAAGTCAAGCTCGGTACTTGGGTTGCCGGTGGCTCCAAATCTGCCGAAGGAACCCGAGAATGGGCTGGAGGTTACACCGACTTCAGCCAGGCTCCCTTCATCGCTCACTACAAGTCTCTCACCATCGCCGACTACAGCAACGGTGTCAAGAACGCCGAGGAGTACGTCTGGGCTGAAGGATCTGACGGTTCCTATGGTAGCATCAAGGTCGTCACTGACGATGACTCCGACGACGATGAGACCACTAGCAGCTCCGCTTCCAGCACTGCTAAGTCTACCAAGACTGCTTCTTCGGATGCTACCTCTGCGACTAAGAGCTCGGACAGCTCCAAGACTACCCTATCTACTGCTACGTCCACCAACTCTGCTTCCGGCTCTGCCTCTGCCAGCTCTGGCGCCTCTGCGACCGCTGCCCCCACTGGAAACGAGGACACCGCAGCCTCAGCTAGCACCAGTGCCGGTGCTTCTGAGACCAGCGCCCCCGTCCAGACCGGTGGTGCTTTCAAGGTCGGCTTCAGCGGTGCTGCCATTCTCTTGGCCGCTCTCATGCTATAAAGCTATGAAATCAGTTGCATGTGTTATATGAGTTAGTGTCATTTTTTCAGCATTGGCGAATCGGTAATCTGTGGTTTCCACTTCGATGAACCTACTATTCACTTCTTCTTGATCATCCTTTGCACATAAATCAAACCAGACACTTATCGTCCGTCCGTACAGAGGACGCTAAGTATGTCGAATTTACCCCTTTATATCTATAATACTGCTTTTAATTACGGTTCACGTGGATTCCCCGGTTACGCTTGAGGCTTGATGTCCAACTGCCTACCAACCTTGATGATAGTCCGGCGAGCGGGATGGGTCAGTTACCGGAACGATTAATTGCATGTACAGGGAGTGGGAGGAGAAGTTAAGGAGAACGTTGGAGCATGAGTGACATATATACATAAGGATCGTGAGGGAGATCTTGTAAGCTTTTGTGGCTTCGCCATCCAATGCATGATACCAAAAGGTAGAGAAAATTTACAGTTTTGCGGTTTTTTTTTACAATTGATATCTCGAATATTGCTTGACGATTTGGTGATTTTTTCTTCTAAACCGTGAACATGACTCGTCATTTGTTGACACGAACCCATACAGTAAGTGGCCCAGTTTAGTTATTACCTAACCGTTAGCTCAGTTTGGATTCAGCTCAGCGAGTCTAGCTGAATGGAAAGAGAACAGAAAAGGGGGCTTGCCACCCAATCGCAAGGGTTCATTTAGCCCTAACGTGGGCTTCCGACTCGCCTCGTTTCGGTCAGGTCACGTCCCGAATCCCGAATAGAATAGACTACACACTACACTAGTTAGACGCATTGGCGCGATGATAGGTGATAGGGCGAGCTTGGCTAATGAGATGAAGCGAATTTCGTTCATGGGGGGGGTTTTTTTTTTTGGTCTACTACGCTAATTGTACCAATAACTACATACCTACAATTGGAGGTGGATGATGGGTGATGGGTGCCGGTTAGCTGGAATAGGCTATTGACTGGGCTAACTGGATGGATATACTGGAGCAGGGGGGGGTCGGAGGTCCAAGTTCAAGTCTGGGGGAGTTTGTTTTTCTTTTTTTTGAGGATCGTCGAATTTTTGGATCCCTGTTGTTAGTTATGTAATCTACCCTAGGTCAGGTAGTTGTATTTTATTGCTTGGCAGCTGGTTGCTTGTGGTCGGTCTACATAACTATGTATCTGGAGTTCTGGACCCGAGATTCTGGTTGCTTGGATGGGATAATTGGGGAACATGTGGGTAGGGAGGTAGGGAGGTGGATAGGTAAGGTAAGGTATGCAAGGTGAAGTGAAGTGGGACTCTGGGGTTTGTGGTTTGTGGTTTGTGGTTTACGAACTGGAAGGAATAACTAGTTAACTAGGGAAGGTTTGTGTTCTGGTAGTTAGGTAACTGGCTGTTATGAGGCTTGTGCTTTTTGGCTTTTTTTTGGGGGGGGGGGAGGGTTTCGTTGGTGATGGATGGTGTTCAGAACTTCAGGTTGGTTGGATTTACAGTGTGTAGGCCCCGTTGGATCTACGTAGATACTGTATCTAGGTACATAGGGCATGTACACTACACTATGCCGTGTAGTTACTGTACATCAAAAAGAATATTCCGGAAAAATACGATAATTGATGATCCCTATTTTGATCCGGCGCTCGGGGGATGGGTGATGGGTGATGGAATGTGGTTAATATTTTTGGGGCTCTCGAGGCTACGTCATTGGGGATGAGATGGGATGGGATTTCTTGATTCTTCTCATTCTACCCTACGTTGTTCGAATTGATTTTTAACTACCTCCTTAGGTAGATTAATAAGAGAGATAACTAGATGATCGAGAGATCTCTGTCTGGGTTTTGGGCTGTGGATACGAACGATATACACATAACCTTACCTTACCTACCTAGGTAGGTAACTATTGGTAGCTGTTTGGGTGGTAATCAGGTAGATGCCTAGGTACTAGATCGAAGGTTGATCCCTCTGAGTCTCATGGAACCGAACTGATTGCATATGGCATGGTAGCCTGATGATCTATGCGAGAAATGACGATGATCTAGAATTTTATTAGTGAAATATTGTATGTAAGCAATTGCGTTCTTTTTTTTCTTGTTCTCTCCTTTTTTCAGATTTCCAAGGTTAGTAAGCATTTTCTTGGTGTTTGCGTGTACCTATTAAAGGTGGAAAGGTATGGCGTATGTAGGAGAACGTCTTATATTAAGCCTAGAGCGTAGTTGACTTGATATGTAGTTTCTGTGCCTTGGTTCGATATATGCTCCAGGCCTGGAAACCATTGTAGGACTTACCGGTTAGATAGACTACCGAAGACGTGGCCCATGGGGGACTTGACGTGACTTGTTCAAATTCAGGGTCATAAGAATCAGAAGGAGTAGATGACGAGTACCTGGTCTTACAGATTCTTAATAGTCTGTCTAAGTTCCTATCTTATACTATCACCATCAGCAATAGCAATAGCGGGTGTATAGCTTGACTTGAGATGTGATCCATCACTAACACGATGACTAGTGGCAGGCATTGAATAGACTAACAGTAAAAGGCCCTCATACGTCACGTATGATTTGGAGGGGGGGATGATCTGGGGGGGAGTCCCAAGTTATTTTGGAATAGGAGACTGTATAATAGCTGTGTAGGTAGATATATATACACTCTTGGAACTAAGTCATATTTACGATCCTCTACCACCTCACTATAATGGCTATAAGTATCGATCAACTAGTCTACCTATACACACTCCTTGTCAATACACTGACCTCGATCTCTTGATGTCGTAGTGGTCTGCCCATCTCATCATTTCAATCCCCTTTAACATGTCTCTGATACCCTTAGACCCGATGCTCAAAGCCCTTACCCCTAACACCCCAACACCCAGGAGTCTCTCCATGACATCCACCCAGCCATCACTACAAGCACCAACAAGCCCCATAACCATGGAAACTAAATGCCGGCTCGGCTGGCAAAGACACATATATAGACCAGAATGACTTTAGAAACAACAGTCAGATTGGCATGGCCTAGCGGTAAATCGAAGAGTTCGAAGGAACATAAAGCCTCAAGCATCACTATAACAACTGCTAAGCCTTGGGGTTCGATTTTCTAGGTGGCTAACAACACCCATGACGTGTCGCGCGTGGAAAGATGCGTATAGAAATTGTAACTTCTGCGAGTGCAAAATACTAGGATATAATTTCGTCCAGGAAGCTTGATATGGCTAAGGTATGACATTGCTCAGTCCTGATATGCGGCATAGTGACGTCTAGATGTATTTCCTACACGCGCACTTGGAAGTGTGAGATGAGTTTAATATCTGAATTGTTATCTGTACTGCTGCAAGTTTAGGCCGATGATCGCTGTGTCTCCTTTCGAACTGATGATATGATTGAAAGCGATTGATACCAGCATAGGTACCTGCTCATAACTCCCGATCCTAAGGCATGCTCTCTTTCATGCTAGCGGCCCAGACCGCACCGAAAGACGCTGTCAAGAACATGGAACATGCTCCAAAGACTTTCGCGAACTGTTTGCTATCCCCCGCAAGGAAGAGGAATGACACGACAAATATATTCAACGGAATTCGAAGAATGCTGTAAACTTTGGCGCGGACATCGTCCTCCACAAGGCGGCCCTTCAGATAGCCGGTACAGGGCCAATAAATACCAACACATGCTTCGAAAAGGCAAAAGAGCCAGAAAGTGGCATCCTCAGTCTTAGGGCCAGCCAGCTTGACAAAGCAAAAGTTTGCAGTCAATAAGATGCCGATGAGAAGTCGGGAATATTTGACTGGCCGCCTCTGCATGGCAATGTTGAAGATCAACGCAGCTGCCATTGAGGATGCCATGAAGCTGGCGAATATAAACCCGTATGGAAGCTCCCCGGCAGACTTCTGAACAGATTTCATGGTGGGTGTCCAGAAGAAGACGAATAGGTACATAGACCCCTCAAACATAGTAGATGCAAAACCGAGAGCTAAAATCGACGGCCTCTTCAACGTTGCCCAAAGGTTAGAAGGTTTTTTGGAAGCGCCTTCTGACGTCGATGCCTTTTCACCATAGTTTTCAACCTGCTCACTTATTAGCTTTGAAACTTTTGGTTGTTATCACACAGCGGGAGCTTCGTACCCAATGAGCCCAGATGAGCTGGAGAGCACACCATAGTAAAGCAGCACTAAGCAGAAAGGGGGCCTTTTTGGTACCAGTAACGTTAACTAACCACTCGCTTGTGACACCACTCACAATGGCTGTGAGGCTATTAACAATGCTGGTTGTGGCATATGTCCTAGATAGGTCGCACCCATGTTCAACGAGTTTATTCTTTCGGAAGTTAGTTACCATCCAGCTGTCGAAGACGCTGAACAGGATGCTTGTGCTGATACCACCGAGGATCCTGCCTAGGAAAAGCAAAGGGACAACCGGAACGACGGTGAACACGCAAGACATAGCATAAAGCAGGCAAAAGGTCATGCAGACAGCTTTCCGGCCCTGTTTATCAGCCAGAGCGCCAACAAAGTAGGCACTAATAGCGCCGGACAGGAAACCTGTGGCGAAGAGAGTCGACACTAAACGCTCTGAAAGTCCATGCTCATCGCGATATAATGAATATAAGTACGGTCCCTGAGAAGGTCCTAGTTAGTCAACCTGGTACGTCATCGTGTCACGTTTTCCCTTACTTGAAGCCAGTCAGCGCCCATGACGAGGGCGTAGACCTTGTACCAGTAACCCTCAGGGTGTCTGTCATCTCGTGTTGCCGGCTTGTACGAGTCGTCAGTCTGTTTTTTCAACTGGCCTCGCCGAGTAGGCTGAGAAACAAGCAGGCATGTACATAAGGCAAGTAAGCCGTAGAAGCTACTTTCGTAATAGCCCATTTTGATGGTAGCTTGGATATATAAATCGTCAAGATTGCCTTATCAACAAGCTGTATATATTTTGACATATATTTAGATATTAGATGCCTAATGTAATGTCATTCACAAAAAAAGAAATTGACAAATAGGTTAATTCTCTAAGCACATTCTTACAGCAAAGCAATGGTGCTGATGAATACGTCTTTGTAGTGATTAAACAGTGACGAAATTGACACTTGTCGTTTGTTTGATATTACCCGGACTTGAGGGTCGAGCGCGACGGGCTGCGACGAAACACGTTCGAGAGCTGCAAAATGTTGCCCCATATTGAAGGGAGATGCTGGTTCATGGTTACAGGCAATATACTATATCCGTGATCTGATTTAGATGAATCGGTAGGGAGCCTTATAGAAAAAAGGTAGATCGCATAACAGATGAGGCTCTACGTATTCAGCCGACTATTGTTAGGAACAGATAACCTTGTATTGAAAGCTTACCTGTCCTAGGTACATATGAATATGAAGGTGAAGGTTTGAAGATGTGAAGAGAGAAACGAAACACAAAATTGGTATTTTGCCGAAAGAGGAAAATACGGGGGAAGTGCTCTGGCCTCTGGGCTGCAAACCCCACCCCACCCCTTCAAGTTCTTAGAACTGTTTCAATTGACGTTGGAAACATTCAATGTTGAACCTTATGTCATGTCAACGGTCGGTAGGTACTGAATACATGCTAGGTACCTACCTAGTAACATCTATACATGATGTAGGCCAAATTCCCCACGCGTTATCCACATGCACTTGGGGCGATTGCAGCTTGCAAACCCCGTCTAGTCTATTCCACCTATCAATGACTTTCAATAGTGAAATCAACATCTCCAATCGGTACCAGAAAACGGCAGACTCACCGCTACTTGTGAAATTTATTATTTTCATTCAATGTTGATGACTTTGAGGTATTTTCAGTGGTGGCACAATCGTTCCTCTGTTAGTGTATGTGTACATTCTACAAACATTGGACCTTTACGTAGTCTGCGTTCATGTTGCTTCATCCATACATATCACCTTATATCTATAGTAGTTATTAGTACCAGACATCAATGTGCATCAATGATGCATCATTGTGTAAGTACATAGTTAGGTATGTAGTGTGTACATATTCCGGAACCGATAACCGGACTAGGCTGGATACATACATGTCAACGGTATTGTAATTTGTTCGTAGGTTACCGTAGGTAGTGTGTACCTAGGCGGTACCTCCAAACTAGGTGCAGTACCTAGTACCTCCATGTATTAAGATCCATATGGACCTTACATGAAGGGCTTTAATACGGCAAACCTTAAAATTTAATCGTCGACGCGAACAGTGCGTGCGTACTTTCCCGTCTTGTAGACATCAACCTTATGTAATTGGTCTATCTTTTTAGTTAATTCCTTTTTCCACCATCACCAATCTTCTCGTCCATCAACTTTGATACATCAACTCCTTCGTGTGGAAATTCCCATTTCTTCCTTGAGAAAAGAAATAGTTTGAAAAAGATCAAGAAAATTCACTGTGACAGACGACATACGATACAATCTCTTTAGGTACGTTAACCACCCTAATACTAAATAGAGCTGCATTGCATATACTGCACGTTACCTTGATCTTCCTTCCCACATATACATATTAATTCTCCCATTTCGTAATGCCCAGCTAAGTACTCATAACCCTCATCTAGGTAGACAGGCTAGGATCAATACAAAGCTTCCAGTTAGAAGAGATTTGAGACAACTGTCAAGCCACTCGACCATTCCCCCGCCGACACATCGCTCCGTCATACAGTTTAAACCCGGCTCACAGTACGGGCTGAGTACGGGGTACTAAGTAGCACCCAGGTTTCCAAGTTTAGGAGATTGTACAATACGTCGTTGGTGTTGTATTGTATGTACAACCATCCAAGGATATTTGCGCGATACTACTTACCACGCCACAATATCCAAGTCCACATCCATCCTCTCCTCATACCCAACCTACCGTTCTAACACACCCCCCCCCCCCAATTACCCCCAACATCCCCCAAATCCTGACCTCCGAGATCTTATCCCCGGAGACCCCTCCCCCATAAACCCCCAGCCCGCCTAGCTGTACACCGAACGTAGACGCCTACGCCCACACCCACGCCCATTCGGGCAGCTGAAACACTTCTGGCTGACAGAATAAGCAATTATTATATGGTATTATGGCTAAGGAGACGGACAATTCTACCGCAAATACCGCCCAATCAAAACGACCAGCCGTCAACCGCCATGACAGCGATTCCCACCGATCCAAGGCCCAGAAACACGTCGTAGGCGGAGGAGCTGGCCCACGTTTCCATGCTCGCGCACCGTCCTCCAAGGCCTTACAGAAGCATCATTCAACCACCAACACAACTAAGCTGACACGACGACTCCCTTCCCCCTCCCCCGAACGTACACCTATGGTGGTCGCCGAATCACACCGCCGTACCGCTTCAGACGTAAAGCTGCAGCGGGATTCGTCCCCGCCTAACCTTAAGGATAACTCTTCCCAGTCGAGTCTAAAGCGCAATCGTTCCCATGCCGAAATAGCGAAGCGGCCCAAATCAAACACGAATATCAAGCGATCTTCGTCTCACAAAGAGGTCAACAAGCTAAAAGGCGCAAAAGGTCAGGTTCATTTCGATCTCGGTAGCGACCAAGAAGACGAGTGGGTTGACGCAAGCGCATCTGCCTCTCCTTACCTATCCAGACGCGGCTCCGCTGTTAGTAGTGAACCTGCTTCAGCGAAGGCGGCGCAGAGTCGGGAGAACTCGCGACCCCAAACCCCCTACGAAGAACCGTCGGCCCCCAAACAAGAATCTTCACCTAATCGCGAAACCGCGCAGCACAACCAATATTTAACATCCCGTCTATTGCAACGTACGCCTTCTAGCGGCGCACCACCCCAGATGACTACTGAGACAGTATCTGTACGTCACAATTCGGGCTCTCCCGAATCCCAAGCGAGCCGTGGCCCGTCAAGTCTATTCGGAACCCCCGGGAATGGTGCTCTGGTAGGCAGTGGACAAGAAGACCTCACTTCTCGTTTTGTCAATGGCCCTAGCTCCGGGGGCATACCCGACAGCGTTTCGTATTACAACCCCGCGCGCGCGCAAACCCAACGCGGCGAGGTTGTACGGCGGCCTCAATCGCTTAGTAACTTGAACCAAAATTATCGTAGTTCAATAAGCGATGACGAAAGTGACAGCGCCTTAGCGCCTCGAACAAGAAGATCAGTGTACAGAGCCGCGCCCGCGGAAAAGTCGCGAACACAGCAAAAATTGAACCTCCAACGTGCGAGCTCGTCCATCGAACCGGCCCAACCAGTCGGTGGGGTCGGAGTCGTGGGTGTGAGCCCCTTGGTTGGTGGCAGTGGCTATGATAATAGGGATCCGCGTATAGGCAAATTACTTGAGCGTACAGGCATGGAATATCTCGTAGTCCGACGATACCAAAACCCCATAGCTCGTTCGATAGCAAGGCTGTCGCAGCTGTCTGTCGCAAATAAGAACCGACACATACCTGCCCAGAATGGAAATAGCAATATGGCGAATGGGAAAAGGACGTCGGCATTGGGCAATGCAGGCCGCCCCGGCTTAAGCCGAAGCCTTACAGACCGGACAAGGTCTAGACCTACGACGCCACGGAAAGAGATGTCTATACGAGCCAACGGCGCAAATTCCAGCTTCGATGGCGTGGATGGAAGGCACCACGACCGGCTGAATGGGACTAGCTACGTAGATGAGGAGGACAGCAGCATTGCCGCAATCCTCCGCAATCTCTGGGATAAGAATACGGATCTCAGTGCAAGTCAGGACTAAGTTGGGATTTTTGTTGGGAGGCGTTATGATTTGGGCATAATCTCGAGTGGGCTGGGAACTCGAGAGGGCCATTGACACATTAGCGATACAGGTAGATGAAGGTGCTTTGTTTTTGTAATTGTAATGTTTGTATTCACTCATTACTTGTATAATACTGGGTCGACTGGACTATATTCTTTCATGTCCGCGGTGTATCTACCTACGCAGTGCTTTGGGTGTTGGTGGTAGGTTTTCATGTTTACGACCGTGAAATATGTCCATGTCTGGTAATAGAAGGGGAAAGTAAAAGAAGAGCATCTACGGAAATCCGAACAAGTCCTCCGTCACTGTGGCTTACCTCCCTGCATGCCTGCCTGTCGGAACCAAAGCCCCGCCTTTCTCCCCTCTCTCCCCCCTAAAAGTGAGTAGGCATCCTGCACGGCACGGTATGTTTTTCGAGCCTCCCTCCACTCGACCACGAATACGATTCTAGCAATATCTAGGCGGTGAGACCCGGTAGCTATATGAGTATGAAGCTGGTGGGCTCTTATGTGGGTACTTGCCGATATTCGAGAAGGGAGGTGATGGCTTTAGGGGAACTTGGCTGGTGGTTGGCTGGCTGACTGCCCAGGTGATGTAAGGTTATAGGATTTATCTAAGGGACCTTGGTGTCTACGAAGCTAGGTATAGGTGAGCTAGTAGGATCTTGATGAAGCTTATGGGGGAAAAACTATGTGCTTAAGGTACCTTACCTATATGCTTATGTCCGAAGAAGACGTCGGTAATATTTCTGAAGACTCACTTGGGAGATTTCTTTATATACCTAAGCAAAGCTTGGGTATGTTGCCTAGGGGTAGTAGGCAGTGATACATTGTTAGATTCCTATGAATGTCATACTCTCGGTGTGTCGTACCTACCTAGATATGGATATTGAAGATGGATGGATGGTAGTTCGGCGTCGTGAAAGTCTTAAAGTGAAATAGGGGAAAATGAACGTTTGGCTTTCTTGCATTTCTTGTTTATAGATGTCGCCATCTTCCCCTTCACAACCCCCCCTTTTGTTCCACGACCTTTGCTGAACATGATTGGCTATTATTTTGGCCCCTTTATAATATCCTAATATACGACTTCTTGGTGCCTCATTTGTCTTGAAGGCGTTTTCCAGAGATACTCTAGGTACGTTGCTGGCATCAGATTAATAGCAACCAAAGTCATTGTAGAAAGACCTTAAGTATCACACTTCAACCTGTTTCTGTCGCCCCAACGCCTAGTAGTGATTCTAAAGGTCTAAAACAAGGCTGCGACCAACTGCTCTGATATATCTGGAAATCATATTCCGACAATATGAAAGTGCCAAGTTGTTTTTATATGCCCGCCTCTATATGGCTTGTAATTTATTTTATCTACTCACGTTCACTTCTCTTATTCCCTGAACTAGTTTACTCCAAAGTACCTAATATATGAGTGTTTTTTTTATTTTATTTTTTTATAATGGGAGATAATTCGTCATACGGACTTATGAATTTCCAAAGCTCGCTCGGTTAGTCCCGAAGAAGACCAGAAGAAGCCTTCTGGAAAACCTGAAGCATCTAAGAGCAACGAGCCTTTGGTCCGCAACATATTGGGGGTTTTGGTTGATCTCTCTAAGGTTACCTAACTTAGGTCCTATCGACTTGTTACCTATTCTTGCTATTACATTCTGGACCTAGCATGCTACGTTGCCCAACCTAGCACCTGTATTGTCTGTGAGGACACACACAACACGGATTCACACTGTGGTTAAGATCGGGAAGGTCTGTAGAGGTCCAAGAGGGGTCATATACTTATATATAATAGACGATAACCTAGGTAGGTATAGACCGTCGATTCACCTACGTCATTGTCGAGCACCAAAATCTGGCATATTATTAACCTCGGGCCGCTACATGTATGTAAGTCATATCTTGGAAGGGAACGATCACATGTTAGGTTAGGTTAGGTTAGGTTAGATGGATATTGTTATCCTCCTCTGTGTTTAATAGTAGCCGGGCCGCGGACAGCGAAGCTTTAAGTTTCAGATGCAGTCGACTGTCAGGTGATACATACCTAACCTAGATTCCATCACGATACTAGTTCAATGGCCACGAGGTAATTACCTACCTAACCTAGGCACTTTGGAGGCTAGCTATGTAGGAAGACAACCACGATAGCCTCTTTAATATCTAAAAAGGACATGCCCTAGGTAGTCTGGGGTTAGTTAGATGTGGGCTATTCCTTTTAGAATCTTACTGCCGAAGTAAGATGGAGGGAAGCCAAGAAACCCAAGAGATGGCTCAGCCACAACCATGCAGAACGGCCGGCAATAAGGACAGTGTGTCGAACATATTTTTGTGGTGCCATTGATCGCGTCGGATGACTTTGGAGATATAAGCTGCTTTGGTGCCTTATAGGCTGAACCAACATGGACACTGGGCATGTATGTACCTACCTAACCTACCTAGCACCTAACCTGCCTTACCCCACGAATATCGATCATCGCCGTTCAAATTTCGTGGTGTACATTCATACAGTGCTTACCTACCTACCTACCAAGGTACAACGCCCACATACATGTATGTTCCAAGGTGGCATATTGTGATATATGACGGCGAGGAAATCTTACACACATGAAGAGCTGCCGCTGTCAAAGCGGGAACTACCAGACCGGTCAAGATTCCTATAGGTCGCTGGCATGGCACAACATGATGTTCCAAGGTTGTCTCTTTTATTTGACATCAAACTTCGTACTTTGCGGTATTATCGCACGTGTCAGTTGGCTCTGGGCCGGTTCAGGACTTTTGCGACCGTTCCGGCCGGCAAACCGTTAGCGCCAAGAGGCTCAACGGGCATGGGTCGAGGATAAAAGTTCTCGCTAGGCGTGCAATATATTAAACTGCCAGCCTAGAGTCGCGTGTTACATAGGTAGGAACAGCGCATATATATCTCTATTAATGATGCAAGGAGATGGAGACGGGTCCTTTTTTTTTCTGTTATTTTTTATATTATGTAGGTAGGTCGTACATGGTATAATTATGTCGCATGTCCAAAAGGTTGGGAGGAGTCCGGGACAGGGATAAATTTTCGTACCGGCCCCTCGTAAGCTACTAGGTGAGGCGGGATCGCATGGCTCGGGCGACTAGGTTGGCACGCGGGGAGAAAGATCATAGGCGGGAGATAGAGATGGTAGTGAATACGTAGTAGTGGATCGTGGGGGACCCAGAAAATATATATCATGGATGCACTTAGACCCTGCTTAGGGCTAGGGTCGTTCGTTCGTTCGTTCGTTCGTGTGTAGACGGACGGGCGGGCAGGCAACATACTTCCCTCACTCTTTTTCTTTCTCTCCTCCCATCTTCTCTCCCCCCCCCCCCCCCCCCCTTTTTTTTTTTTTACCGTCGATGCGGTGACGTCCCAAGAGATGCCATGACCATGTCTTATTAGCCCCCGAGACGGTGATATAATTCCTTGCTGCTTAGGTATAAGAGGCTAGGTTAGAGCATTAGACTTCCGATGGATGTAACCGAATCCTCCGGAACCGACGTTGCTGGTTGCTGACTTGCAGCCGATGAAAACTCGTGGTGCATACGTTAGGTACCTACATCTGACTTAGGTAGGTTACTAGGTAAGTTGGTAGGAACGGGAAGAGAATAAAATGGATATGATTCGGATAATCGTGAACTTCATCAGGCATTTTATACCTCCAGGGCTAAGAATTGTAGATATAGATATGCTGTATCTCATATCTTATCTTTCTTTATTGCGTGCTTTTCGCTTTCCCCTTTGAATCATGTGGAACCGTTGTGCCGGTATGATGTAAGGTGAGGATTCGTGATATACGACTAAGTTAGGTACCTACCTACCGATACCTACCTAGGTTGGTTAAGAGGGTCAATCATTGATGAACCCTTACCCACCCAATGGAAGATACGTATGCATTTCTTTTCTCCTCTTGCAACCCAACCCTTTTCCCTTTCTTTTTTCCTTTAGATGTTTATACATACTTATGGTAAGCATGTGCAAGGTTGGTATGAACTTGTAGGGTTCTTGTAGGGTTCATGAAAGATAAGAAGCCGCACTTATTCAAACTACTAGGTAATTTTATATATAATATATATAACCCCGACAAAGCGATTTGTAAAGAAAAAAGCAGAAATAGTATGAAGTGTAGGAATAAGATGAAGGGTACAACATCACAAGCCTCCGGTCCGGACGGATACGGGGTGTTTTAAGAGTTTGAGTTGTCAAGATGTCGTAGATAGTCGTAGATGGCGTACTTGTTAGGTACCTAGGGTATTGTTTAGCATTTACTAAACCCGAAATCGATAAAGTTATCCATCTTTTTAATCTGTTTTACCTTTTTTCCCTCCATTCTAAAATCCTATTCCCGCTGTCTCGACAGTCTCGTACCTAATTGTTCCATCTTGTCCCATCTTGTCCCACTTCTCTAACTTTCTCTTCTCCCCCAGGAACCCTGCATAGATTCGGGATAGTCGAACGATTACGTTAAATGTACTAGGTATTCTTCGCTGCTAGCCGTATTCCGCCAAAGATATCTTTTCTATTTGGTAATGGTACGCATCTCAAGCAGGCCAAAGCCTGTCCCTTGGGCTCCCCTAATTTATGTATGTATCGTTGAAATCCAAAAATGCTTGAAGATTAGATCAGTCCGCATATGTACCCGGTACGGCCGAGGTACTGGTGCATAAAGTTGAAGGGTACGGTACTACGGGTAAGGGGGGGGATGAGGGTTCCGATCTGACTTTACTCTTGCCATCTTCGTCATACATGCTTACTTAGTACTAAGTTAGTAGATATCCATATTGATGTATTCTTGAACTCCGCTTGCATTTTATTAGCCAGGCAAAGTCCAAGACCCATTGAAGTTGAGGCTGTTCCTTCTCCAGGCTAACGTACATATAACTATGGTTACTATGCAGTATGTAATGTACCTTTAGTACCAGTCAGTACCAAGTAGGTTACACCCATCCTTGTCGTCGTTTTGTACTGTCGACTTTGGATGAGACTAAAGTTGACTAACACGGGTAAGGTGCATACAATGTACATGATACTCATAGATCCAACTTCATACAAGACATTCCAAAACTTTAATGATTACAATTTGTTTTCTGTCATTTAATTCAAAGATAAGATTATCTTTAGGTTATCAATTGCTCCAATATAATTCGTTGGTTGGGTTTTTGTTCGCAAGCCAAATGACATGTCATTTGTTCCCTGAACTTCCTTCCTCAACTACGCTGCTATGATGGTCCCCGTTGAGTCTTGTGTCTTGTCGCCTTTTAACTTTATTCTTTTCAAAAAATACTTTAGTACATTTAACATAAACATAATGCAATACCTATTAATAATTCTGTACAACTTCAATTGTCATATCCTAAGCAACATGAAGTCTGTTTGACAAGGTGTTGCATGTGGTCGGTAATTCTTCGCTGTCTCAATTCGTTCAGGTTGTTACCAGCTTCCCTTCCCAGTTGAATCGGAGCCTCCTTGCATCTCCTGCATCTACTCCTACTTAAATCTACATATCGTACCTTGGCATCAATATATACATACTTACGTACATATGTACTGACCTACATACATCCATTATACTTACACCCATATTATCAATTCCTACATACCTAGTACCTATCCAGGTACCTATATAGTAGGTATTGCTACACACACACATGGCACACACATACTCCCAAGCTCCATTACCTCACTTCAACTACTCTTATAGAAAATCACATACCTATCTCCTTATCAACTCAAGCTCATTTCCTAGTAGCTTAGTTCTGCGTAAAACGGATTGCTCACTTCAATGACGAAGATAGGCCAAGCTTATCTTATACTCGCTTCTGTCATCACCTAATATCCCAACCCTGCTGAAAGTGTCGCCATCGGATCGGACCCGGAGCAATCAAATCTATAAACAACATCAACCTGACCTATCGTGAGATAGCTTTGGATTCTAGGCCCTGGCACCCATCTGACTGGAACAATCAACAAGCACATGCGCCATTTGTCTATGCATGCGGCCTCTATCTTAACCGTCATTTACCAGAAACCTGCAGGACCCAGCCTTAACTTGCACCATCTCTGATTTCCCCGGTCTTCGTTCCCGATAAAAACTCAGGTATTCCACCAGATTGGTGAAACACACGGTAACTCGCGTGGGCTCACCTGCGTCTCTTTCACGCCTCCCGTGCCCACCAACAGCCTTATCTCCTATCCCAACCCCCCTCTTATCTAGGCCATCCCTCGGGCACTTTCTGGAACCCGTACAGAGTACAGAGATCAGCACCCCTGGCTACGATTCGAGGTTGTATCGTGACAGCGGATCCTCCTTGTATCCTCCTTGTTCAGAAACTATTGCAGATTCTCTATTAGGCCAACCCCATCGTCCCCTCTGGCCGAAAACAGACTATTACATCACCTCGTAGTACGGACCTAGGAGCGAGACATCATCATTTGGCGTCTAGACCGAATCTCAATCCCGGGTAGTGATACGGAACGGGCCACCAAGAGACTTCTGCAAGAACGCGCAAGATACCTAGCGGTGTCGGGTACCTACCACCCGCTCAAGATTACCTAGTTACCTATTCCTTCAGTCATGTCTAACCTTGTTACCGTTCCCAGGACGGTACCTATTGCCATTGCACCCAAACCCTCACTCATATTCCCTGGCCGCTATCACACCAATGACGCAAATTTCTCATTGAATAGTGTGAACAGTAATGACTCAACCGACTCGGATTCTCCCGTAAGTGGAACTGGAACGCCTTGTGAGTCTTGCCTAAGAAGGCGGCTCAAGTGCGTTGTTGGTGAAGACGAGGAGAGTTGCGCATCTTGTCAAGTTCACGGCATTCCATGCTCTTTAAACCAGAGTCCTCAGCCCCTTAAAAGGAAGTTGGTGTGTGACTCGACCGAAGAGAGAAACGGGAAAAGAGGGTGAGTGCTCACCGATACTTTCATTAGTTAGACCCCCATCCTTACGTTATCACCTTGCAGCGTGATAAACCGTTTCTTGGAAGAAAAATTGCTGACATGCCATTGGCCAATATAGCTCGCCTGGTAGGTCTGATAACAGAAGAAGGCGGCAACGTCAAGCAAGCTTGTCAAGTACAACTGCTAGCACTTCTTTGATTGAGGAGATGGCTAATTTCGGTGGTCCAACTTTGCTAAAGCGCACCCTCGGCCTTCAAGAAGATCGGTATAGCCAATATATTGGCCCTACCACTGACTTTGAGCCATCGTTGATCAACTTATCCCCATTCGACCCTCAAGATGAAAGCCTTCTTGCGCGAGGCACTCTTCGAAAGGTTAGCGATCATGATACCTTTTTACTCTTACCTGATAGTACCACGCCCGGTCACGAGCATCAATTCGAAGATGTCGACGAGGTCCAACGGCTCGTGGCACCCTACGGACGCAAATTGATCGATCTCTATTTCGAGGTCGTACACCCCGCCTTTCCCATCGTGCAGAAGAACGTCTTTTACGAGAAATACGATCGAAACTACCGGGAATTTTCACCCCCTCTGCTCGCTGCCGTTTACATACTCGCTATCAATTGGTGGGAGCACTCGGATGAACTCTCTAAATCCCCGCGACCAAACGTGCGAGAAATTGAGAGATTAATACGATCTTCTCTGGCTGATGCCATGTGGCGCCCCAAACTTTCTACCGTGCAGGCTGCACTTCTATTGTCGCAACGTCCCGAAGGGGATCAATGGGCCCCGACTGCACAGATCGTGGCCATTGCTCAAGAGCTCGGCCTCCACCTAGATTGCACGCATTGGAAAATCCCGCCTTGGGAGAAGGGGTTGAGGAAGAGGCTCGCTTGGGCACTGTATATGCAAGATAAATGGGGAGCTTTGGTCCATGGACGACCGTCTCACATCTTTAGCTCTAACTGGATCGTGCAGCCTTTAGCGGCGAATGATTTCCCGGAGACCGAGTTGGACGACCAGAATCCGGAGGAGAAGGTGGAGATCGAAAGGGGTCGGACCCTGTTTGTTCAGATGATCTGTCTCACACAGATTTTGGCCGAGATTCTCGAGACCTTCTACACTCTTGAGGCTATGCAGAACGTTACCAACGCTGGTTCGCAAGGCACTCATCTTGTTCTAGCGATGGCGAAACCTATCCAGCTAAAGCTCAAAGAGTGGTATGCTGCTCTGCCAACCGTAATCCGCATGGACTCTTCGTTCCAGTCTGGCAATGTCGCATTAACTCGTTTGTCGAGCATCGGATACCTGCACTTGGCTTATTTTGCGACAGAGATCACCCTCCATCGCCGAATTATACGCTCTCTTGAGACAGACACACAGGCCGTTGATCCTTATGTTCAACATATCTGCCGGAGCGCTGCGAAGGCCCGCCTGATATCGGCCATGGACTTCGTTAACCGTCTGACGCCTCAACATCTCCGAGCGTTCTGGTACTTCGCATCCAAAACAAATTTTGCCTTAATCGGCACCTTTGGGTCGCTTCTATGGGCTACCTCTCCGGGGCGCGAGGAGGCTGAATGGTATCGCCGTAGACTTGGGGAATATCGTTGGACGCTGAGCGTCAGCAGCAAACCTGGCGAATTCAAAGGCCTTACCGAATTTGCGATGGGTATGCTGGATATATCGACCGGGCTGCTGAAGAAACTCCCGGAGAAGCCAGAGTTGAGTCAGAGCGGAAGTACCATTGAATTCGATGCGGGTAGACGCCAAAGTATTCTCTCCATGGGATTTGGGAGTGCGGGAGGCGAAACATATAGCAGTATCGCCAGTGCCGACATCAGCAACATGCAAAGTCCAGAAAGTCCAATCGATAGTAGTGACGAAGACTACGACACATTCGCTCCGATGGCTGGGATGGCGTCGATGGGCGACTGAGTACCTAGGTATATCCTACTTTAGTCTCTCTGATCTCTTTAACTTTTTTGGAGTCTTGGTAGAATGGGGGCTGGCGAATGAAGTAGGAATCGAAAAGACTGAGATGAGGCAAGGTCACGCCATATGCACGAAATCTCACGAATAACTGCGTCCATGAATCATTTACTCCATCAACATTTATACCTACGTACACATCTTGGGCGTGGATTGTTCAGATATAGGAATAATTCTGACATCCTCCTTTATGGCTTTCTGTTTATATTTCTTTCTTTCTTTCTCTCATCTGGGATACCCTGTCTGGAGATCATCTGCTTTGCAACTATTGGGCTGTGCGATGTCATGCCGGTACTGGATATCTTGCATTGCGGACAGTGTTCATTGACTGGGTTGGAGGTATACCATCAAAAAAGGGAGCATATTTTAGGTTATATGGGCGGATGCATGGCTGGGTGGATAGGTTTATATCCTGGGGAAGACTGTCACCTAGCTACAAATCAATCAAACTTGTTGACCTCATTCGCCGGGGTTATCAATGCCTATGATTTGTATTTTTCTATGGTAGGTACCTAAGTCGATTGATACAGTGCTGTTAATTCTGTTAATTTCCAAGGTTGCCTATTACGTTCCACTGACAGTGATTGAGACACCCCGAACAGTTGGCTAGGTACCGAAGATACTCGGAAAGCTTGAAATCGTCGAGAAGGACATCTACGAGGACCATGATGCTGTACTACCTACTAACGTGACAGCAGTTGACTCTGGCAACCCTCAAGCTTTATTACAGACTGGAAATAAGGGGGAGAGAAGGTCACGCGACCTGGGTATTTGGAGAGAAACCAACCAGGCTCCTCTTGTGTAAGTACCTAAAGACTACTAAAAGGACGCTTCACAACGACAACCATCATATTCAACCCATGGACCCGAGCTGTTCGCTACCTAGTACCTACATACTGAACGGTCATGAACTACGGCGGCACTAACACAGGCTTCAACTTCGTGGAGGATCTGCAAAGCGAACGGGGTTGCGCCGGGATCTTCAACAGCTTTGAAATCCGACTGCTATCCGAAGTCACGGCGCCGTCTTATCCCCGCCAGACACGAGGAATCATTACAAGTGAGTATCGGAGTAATGATTATGCAGCTATACATGCGAACTATGTCTGCTTTGATCGTGTGTGTGTGTGTGTGTGGTTAGCAAAGGAGCTAAGTACGCCTTAACCGATGCGGCTCCACACGACAAATTCACTTATCATATTCTATGAAAGTGGTTACGTACATCATGGGCGGCAGAGCTTACGACGCTGGATGTTAAGAATGCGTCGAGCTAAGTAGGTACGTTGACAATAACAATGATAGCCCATTTATCGTCTCGGTAGTCGACGTTTCCTTACACTACAGAGAAAACATAGCATTATTTTCCTTCTCTCCGACGATATAATAGTATATAGTAGTGACCTATACTAGGTATCACCATCATAACCCCCTTCCAAATCTAACAATTCGGCAAGTACCTGTCTATTTACCTAATAGATATTAGGTACCAACTTAGCTTCGATATAGAGAAAATCCCTAGCTCCAAATTTCTCACTGTCATGAAATTTTAGTAATACTTATTACATCTCTCAACTATGTTCCTCAGGTGTTGCTCTCTGAGTTAGTCGTTATAAATTTTTCCTGAAAGTACTACTTAGGGGGTAACAGCATTGCGTGTTTCTCGCCGTCTAATCACCTAGGTAGTCAACATCGTGACAATTACGGCGTTGCGGGGAGCCTAGGCTTTCGCACAGAACCTACACCTAGATCATCAAGATAACAAAACGTGCTCTATCGAGTCCCTACTTTTCACTTCAAGCAATAACCTAGGCCCATAGAGCAAAGAGCCCTACGAGGTCTAGACGTTGGTCTATGGGATTGCACAATGGCATCATCAGCACATGGAGAAACATAAGCAAAAACCATCCTAGGTACCTAACCCAGAGAAAGGGGATCCTGCCAAGTGATTAGCCTTAGTAGTGCTAGCCCTGGACCCTCCTTCCCTCATCATCGTTGTCGTCGTTTCTCCCCTCAAAAGCGGAAATTTCCCCTGGGTCGCGAGTCATGATAACTGGCTCAAGCTACCTAAGTAGGTAAGGAAAATTACCTATGTAAGTCAGAGAACTTTTGACTTGGGAGATGGTCCGGTGCCGGATCTAACTGCAACAGGAGCAGTTAGCAGTGGCTAAAAAGACGTTCCTCTACAGGAGTCAGGGATAATCCACACAGGTTATGAGCGGCCCCGACATACAAAGCCGTCTTCCCCTTTTCTTTTCTTTTCTTTTCTTTTCTTATTCAAGGCTTGGGAAGCTCGTAATTAGGGCTAGGGGGGTGTGGGCGAGACCGCAGAAAGAAAAAGAAAAAAAAAGAAAAGATCTTGGCACACACGCCAACGGACGGACACGCTTTATGCAGGCCTGGCAGTTTGGAAGCCGGAAGCTGGAACCCTGTTGCTTCTGTAGAAGAGCATGGAGATGATGGAAGTGACTTTGTGGCAGCAGTCTAGATCTCCAGGGCTACATAACATGTAGGTAAAGATGGGGGAATAAATGAGCATGGTTGGCGATGACACTCGAGCTAAACAGGGAAAAACTGCCTCGACCCCAATAGGGCGGGAGCTTTGTTCCTTGCTAATGGCAACTTCCCCGAATGCATCCCCGAGTTATGTCCCCGATGAACTTTGGCTAGGATATACGGACATATATGGGCCTGTGTCTGGGTAACAGTCAGTAACAGACATGCGGACTTGGAACGTTAGAGGCTAAAAAGTTAAACATCGAGGTCTCATGTACAATGACAGTCCTCGATAACGTTGTTCAGGGGTAAGTACGAGGAATTAAATTATCGAGGTCCGAGAAACTCATATTACAGAATAATGTGAAGAGTAAACAAGAGTTTCGCGTCGCAGGTGAATCTTCGTGTTAAAACAGCACACACTTCGTATAGGATGCTTACTCCCTAGTACAGCTTTTTCATAATCTAGTTAAACCTATTGCTATTTCGTAAAAATTACCTAGTAGGTATCTTTTTGGGCGAGTACAATACTCGTCAAGCCACATCACTCATGTCGCGTAGTTAACAAGGCTATTATAAGACGGGCTGATGGAATTTATAGGGTGATGAAGGGTTTAAGCTTCAGCCCTCATTCCAGACGTTCTTTGTACGCTACGATAGATCTGCATGCTGGCCGGACTAAAATGTGAATTGGCTCTCACGGTATCCCACATGTTGGCTGGCCAGGGATGTACACAAGAGTTCTGATCAGGAGCTCGAGACATATATATTCGTTACGTTAAGAAATGTAGCCGATCAAGGTTATTCCTTGCTCTTCGCGTAAACGTAGATCGCGAAGAATGTAAGCGGCACTGGAGAGTCCTTATACTTATACCACCTTACCATTAGATGAATCATTAAAAATTGAGTTTTGGAGCATTTTCGTCAGCACCTACTTAGGTAGGATATATATACTCGGGACTTAAAAAGCCCGACACTTGAAGTCATCGTGAACTCTGTGTGTGTGTCCCAGCGAGGTGGCAAAGACGGGTTCAAGATCTGCACTAACAGCGAGACTATTTTAAAGCCCGCAGACTAAAATAACTACCACGATCGCCTCCTTTTCCCCACATGGCCCGACTTATGTACATAAGGCCATTATCCACCCAGGCAAACTGTTGACGTATGAGAACGGTGCTAAAGGTGAACTGGCAAGAGGCACGCGACGACCAGGCACGAGCTACCGCACGAGCTTTGCGTAATGCCAATGTTCATATGAGCTTGACTCAACTTCTTATTCGGGCAAAGACGGCAATTTGTCTTGCTATGGCGTGGCTAGTATAGGGGCCATAAACTCAACTCCTTGGCAGCTGCTTAGCCTGGCGTAACGGCCTTGAGCCTTACGTACCTAGACGGATACAACGGGAAATATCACACGTGCATTTTTGAAGGTAGGTAGGCAGTAGGTTTGGAGGACAGGGGCAAGGGAAAGGCATATCTACTCACCTACTACATACATACTGCATAGGTACTGTACGGATGAATTGGGAACAGACATGAAGAGACCAGTAAGGACTCAATGATACTTGCAGTAAGTTACTTCTGGCAGCTTGGAAACATTCAACGTTGGGTGTGGCATGGCATGGCGATGCATGGCATATAGGTGATGTATTTTCATCGTCTTTTTAAACTTTCACTCTCGCTCTCCCACTCTCCCATAGCAAGGAAAAACGGCAAGTAACCAGCAAAAAGAAGCACTGTAAAGACAGGGTGAGCTGGTGACCACTGCATAGTGCGGTTGCTCCGCTTTACAGACCCGAGTCTACGGCAGCTTTACGAGCTATCCCCCTAGTGCGCCGATGGTAGCTATGATCTTTTTTTATTCCCCACGGCTAACCGCTACAAACTGACTCGTACCATACATGGTCTGTTAAATAAAAAAAATAAGAGGGGACGAAAGAAAAGAAATCATAAACGTTCGTGAAGTACCTAACCTAGTAGAAACAGATGCTAGGTACCTACACTCTACAGAACTAGGCACCTAGCCAATAACCCGTCTGTTACCGTACACAAAACTTGCTAGGGGTTCGTTGGTCTCGACATGGACTCTGCGAGTAGCTGCTCTATGGAGAGGGCGGAAGAGGGGGATGGCTCAGGTCGAGCGGACTCCACTGTCGTGAGTTCTAAGAGAAGTACGAGGATACTAGGAGTTGCCTACCTGCCTACCTGCCTACCTACGTAGTAGTATACTTCTAGGTGTACTGCTAGGTATGTAGTATAAGAGCGATAGAGTTGCCATTCCCAAATATGTCGACAACCTTGAAACACTCGTTTACTCCTACATTCCTTACGTATTGAACTGCATACTTGCCTTTCTATTAGTAGGTATCTATCGTCTTATCATATCTCCTATCCCTGGATCATAATATTCATCCCTAAAGCGAGAGAGTAAAAGAAGACGAAGAGGAGGGAGGAAGAAGAAGAAGAAAAAGGAAGGGAAAAAGGAAGAGAAAAAATCGGAAAAGAGAAAACACAGGTTCTCCGATCTCACTTTCACCCCCTTAACCATGGTGGCCACCCACTTCCAAGTCTGGTCACTGATGCTGGCGTCGGTGTCGTTCCTAGCCCCCAAGAGCGCGTCGGCGCAGAACTGCCACTGCTACCTGACGAACGGCACAGCACCACAATACCTGACCAACACGCGCTTCTTCGACTTCCGCAACATCGCGAACCCGCGCGTGCCCGCGGCCATCAACAACCGCACGCTCGCGCAGAACGCCGGCGTCACGCACGCCTACTTCAACAGCACCAACTTCACCGACACCTGGGGCATCTCCGCGCGCCCCGACGACAACGGCCTCGTCTACAACGTCTGGTCCAAGAACGACGTCTACATCGCCTCCAACACCGACTCCAACGCGGGGTCCAAGACCTACCTCGACCTCCGCACCTACCGCCACCCCGCCGCCAACGGCAACTTCCAGTCCTCCGCCGAGCTCGAGTCCGCCTCCGCCGCCTACCAGTACGTGTCGATGCGCATGTACGCGCGGACGCGGGGGTCCTCGGGCGGCGTGACGGCCATGTTCACGTACCGGGGCGGCTCGACGGCCGACCTCGTGCAGGAGGCGGACCTGGAGGTGCTGACGCGCGACGCGACCAACATCATACACTACACGAACCAGCCGACGATCAAGGGCGGCGTGGTGCAGACGAACGGGACAAAGAAGGTGACGACGACGCCGGCGGTGTGGTCGGCGTGGCAGAACCACCGCTACGACTGGTCCGCCGGCTCCAGCAACTGGTACCTCAACGGGAAAAACGTCGCGACGATCCAGTACCAGACCCCCGTTGACCCTGTCTCCTTGCTGTTCAACTCCTGGTCCGACGGCGGCAGCTGGAGCGGCATCATGGCGTCCGGGCAGAGCGCGGAGATGCAGATACAGTGGATACAGCTCATCTACAACAACACCGAGGAGCCGTCTCGCTATAATCATTGCGCGAATGTGTGTAGCTTCGACAAGGGGACGCTGCCGGGTGTGGCGAAGGTCATTACGTCTGGGCCTTAGGAGCGGACTGGAATGATTTACCTGCCCTCCTCTCCCATTCCTTTCCCTACCTACCTTAAGGAGTTAAGAGCTTTCATGCGTTGATGATGATGATGGTGTAATAAACTCCCTCGCGTTCATCTCTTTTTCCAGGAGCATAGTTGGAAAAATACTTCTGTTCAGTTGTCTGGTTATTTGCTTTCTCGTATATAGATTTCCCAACAGGCACACACCTACCTAGGTACCTACTTAATATTTTAACAAACAAAAATCTCTTCGGATATAGATTCAAGTAACTCAGCTAGCTACTTACCAACCTATATATACAATATACCCATCCATTTCTCACAAGCTGCGCACGGGGAGGACATCTATTGTTTCGTGATTTGAGTTAGTAGATAATGTGCGTAAAGTGAATCATCCTGGATATGCAGTATGTTGCCCAGTAGTGTACCTCGGTGTTTGTCTCAGACATATTCTTTACCCCTTTAAACCCCGTACCCACCGCCACAGCGATAATTATGGGCGCGATGAAACAAAACAGTATAGCGAAGTCAATGCTTAACAACCTTTTAGCGTCCATTCCATTGCCCTCCAGACGAAAGCCAGATCCCGTAGATCCCGAGCGTTTGCGCATGCAAAGCATACCTATATGCACATACGTAGGGTAGCTAGGCTTTACAAACAGCACTGAAAAAGATCTTCTCCGGTCGGGTCTAGAGTAAACACCCCCTCTGGCTGAAACTCTAGATGCTCAATATCAATGCCGGTTTCCCTGCGAAGCCGGACGTAAGGGGTATATATAGCGGCCTATATCTGACGAAAAAGATAATTAATCGCCAAGGATTCGCATCTAACTGTTCACCGAAGGCCGATCGATCCACTCCAAGCCAATATACATACATACTATTCGTTTTTTGCCGAGATCCCGAAGATTCCGAGTGTTTGGAGCCCATGGAGAATTAAGGGGGGCGTGTAGAGTTCACGATACAGCGGAAGTAGTAGGAAGACAGCTGGGACTAGGGATAAATAATCATTTCTATTGTTGGTATTTTGTTCATTGTCTTCGTATGCCAATTTCGAGCGATTGGATGCGATTTAAAGCGTGAGGAGGGCATCGATCTGATCCGATATCTCGCATGTCTAGATTTTTAGAAGTCGTCTCCACGGCTAATAACTTCTTTGACGGTTGGTCGAAGGAGGATTGTCTGCAATAGGTAGGGCCAGATTAGTTACCTGGAGTCTGTTGGGGAATATAATGCATAGTAGGTAGGTGTATATAACTCACGTGCTCAAACTGGGCCGTATAAGCCCCTGGCTTCTCGATCAACGGCGGGTAGTCTGCCACGATGCCGGTTTTCACTAATTTGTTCAGCTATTGCCTCTGTCAGTAAGATCCAAGCTGGTAGCTCCAAATATGCCTAGTACGCCGGAATGTACGCCGTGATGTAGATAGATGATAATGAAAATCTCGTACGCTAAAGAGATACTTCTCCTGCCCAATCCTGTCCAAATACCTCCTGCAAAACGGAATCGTGCTAAAGTTCTTCTTGATCGTGCTCAGCAGCGACTTCGTCGAGGACAACGAAAAATCCGTCCTCCTCGGGTTCCGACGCAGCGCATAGTGGGAGACCTCGCCGCACTCGACGTAGCGGCCGATGCCGGTGCTGCCGAAGGTCTCGATCGCAAAAACATCCCCCTCCTCCATCTTGGTCATGTCGTTCGTGCGTATGAACGGCACGCTCTTGGTGCCGTGGATGGAGTACGGCAGGATGGTGTGCCCGCACAGGTTGCGGATCGCGCGCACGGGGTGCACCGTGCCGGCGATCTCGCACTCGTAGCTCTCCATCGCCTCCTGGATGTAGCCGCCGAGCTCGCCGACCCGCACGTCGATCCCGGCTTCTCGCACGCCCGTGTTCGTCGCGTCCTTGACGGCCGCCAGCAGGTTGTCGTAGACGGGGTCGAACGCCATCGTGAAGGCGCTGTCCACGATCCGCCCGCCCACGTGCACGCCGATGTCGACTTTGAGCACGTTGCTCGCGGCAAGCACAGACTTGCACCCGGCGTTCGGGCTGTAGTGCGCTACGACGTTGTCGATGTTCAGGCCGGTGGGGAACCCCATGCCGGCTATCAAGGAGTCGCCTTCCGTCAAGCCGTCGTGGCCGACGAGCCGCCTCGCACTATCCTCGATCCCGTTGGCTATCTCCAGGAGGGTTTGGCCCGGCTTGATGTTTCTCTGGGCCCACTGACGGACCTGTCGATGTGTCTCAGCCGCTTGGCGGTAGTCCGAGAGAAAGTCGGCGTTGAGGTTGTCAAGGTATCGTTTTTCTTCGTCGGTGGTTCGGTAGCGGTTCTCATTCTGGTATTCCACCTCCTCCCCTTTCGGATAGGCGCCATTAGGGAAAAGTTGAGATAAGGGGATGGACGGGGGATCAGTTTGAACTTTGGTTTTCGTCTTTTTAGTCTTCCTCTTTCTGTTCTTCCGCTTCTTTGCTGTGGCAACACCATCCTCAATGGCTACCTCTCCTAGAGGGTATTGGTCAGCATCGTCATCGGAGATGTCAGCTCCATTTCGGTCGGCGCCGTCTATTTCAGGTTGTTTCTTCACTGGATCGACAGTCATTTCTTGTGATTTTCTTTTTTTTTTTACCCAGGTTTTATCTTTGGGGGTATGTGCCAGTTGGATGAAGAGGGAAACAGAAAATAAAGAAAATCCATAGATCTCTCTAATCTGTTGCTGACAACTACAAAGAAGTGAGAAATGCTAGGCACCATACAGTATGTAAGTATGTATGCAGGTATCCATGTAAGTAGGGTATGTACTTATGTAGTATGCAACTAACACTGCAGGGGGCGGACAAGGTGTTTTGATTGGCTAGCCCTAGTAACGTCACCTCGGGAGCGGTCCGGAATAGAGCAACGACCGGGGTCGAGGCGATGTGTCCAATCATATGTGGTATAATTAATACGCTAGGTAACTTTAAATTTGATGTATCGAATCAGCGGTTCATCTCATACCAGTTTTGGAATCAAAAGTTATCGATAGCGACGCTCAGGCTATCAATACTATGCCGTACAGGCCCGTACTATGCTATGTACTACTAGTAGTAGGTACCTACTAGGTAGTACTTGAATCTTCATCGTATCATGCCGCCGTACCATGCCGCCGTGCCGTCAGGGTCTTCAGAACTTAGGTAGGCATTACCAACATATTTCCCTTTGTATGAAATAATTTGCCATATACCCATATTTAACACCGTGATCGGCTAGGTTGAACCTCTTAGCGAATCCGACCTGGCCAACAAGCCGCCTGGGAAGAAACAATAAACCCAAGATACTGTGTGCTGCAGCCAACCGCAGTTGGAACCCCTGAGATTCAATGCTGTACAATACCTCGAATAGCTCATATCACCTAAGCAAATAAGAGTTTTTTTATCAGGGATGCGATTGGAACAGTTATACGTAAAAGGGGCTGTCTCGTAGCATACAATGCTGGAATGTCACGCCAATAAATACTAAATACAACTCACGATCAATAAATTTGCTTTATCTCCAAGTCAGGGTTCGAGAAAAGCCTAGCGCACATTTGTTGCTGTTGAAAGTCGATGATGCTGAACAAGAATGTCAAAAATACTATGTACCTAGTACTAATGATGAGTTCTATCATGTTAACGATGAAGTCTTCCTTAGATCTATGGGTGAAGTTTTAGCATGAGCATGAGCATGAGAGTGACGATGCATTTAGGATCTTCGAACACAATGACGGGATCTGCAGAGCGGACGAACCTGGCCAGGTACCTAAGGTAATAATTAGGTTAGACTAATCTACCGGATCACCTCCGCGCGTACTGGTATGTGAAGTACGATTAGATTCATTAACTTAATGGATGCCGCCAGCTATTCTTAAGCATAAAAGCTCTGACCTAGGTTAGACTATTTGGCGGGGAGATCTATGGCTTCGATCCGCAGACAAAGCCCAGCTTTGAAAAGGGGCGCCCACTGAGATCCATTCAGTAAGCTGTCTCGCTCATTTAACGCCAAGAGATGAGAGGGGTGAAGATCTATTGAAAATTGAACCTACAATTTATAGGGTTAACTAGATGCATCAAGCCAATATATATTTAGGAGCCAGCTGAATAAATCCATGGATCTTCCTGGCCCACTGCTATAATTTATTCAGCATTTCCGCTCGCAGCCTCAGGCATGGGGATTGGCCCCCCTGGAGAATTTTCCAATCTAGCTGTCAAAACTTCGACGCCTGTTTCGGTGACGAGCAAGGTATGTTCTACGAAACACCATATTAGCATATATTCGGAACTTGCAATTGGCCTTTGATCAGTTTATCGTTACCTACCAAACTGTGCTGTCCATTTGCCGTCCGCCGTTACGTTGGTCCAGTTATCCGGCCAACTGACTTCTCCATTGTTCCCCAGAGCCAAAATCGGTTCGATCGTGAAAGTCATCCCAGGCTTACAAGTTCCGACGGTCTTGTTTTTTGCATAATGGGGAATCCAGGGGGGAGGATGGAATTCCGAATTGATACCGTGACCACCCCAAGTCTTCATGACGACAAGGTTTCTAGAAGCTGCGTGCTTCTCAATGATCTTGCCGAACTGCCGAATCGGTACACCTGGTTTTATAATCTCGATGGCCATGTCCAAGGCCTCGCGCGTTGTTTCGATTAGTCTGACCAAATCTGCATCCGCTTTGGCCTTATCGCCAACATAATAGGTCTCGTTCAGATCGGCATGATACACGCCATGGTATATGGAAATGTCGAGGTTGAGGATATCGCCATCGAGAAGAACTCGTTGGTCAGGGATGCCGTGGCATACAACCTCGTTAGGGGAGGTGCACAATGACTTGGGAAAGTTGTTATAGTTGAGTGGAGATGGATACGACTACATCAAGTTTAGTAAATACCTAGACTTGAGACTTGATAAGTTCAACGGGAGAGTGGACCTCGACTCACATCTCGCTCAACGCAAGCATTGTGGCATATTTCGTCTAGATAATCCGTGGTCACACCAGGTTTCATGGCAGCAGCCGTGATATCGAGCACTTCTCGGGCTAGCCTGCATACCTTGCGCATACCCTCCTGACCTTTCGCATCCAACAAGTCCCACTTAGACCTGCTCAGGCGCATTTCACGCCTCGGGATGCCAGTCTCGGCCCAATCGGGATGTAGGATGGTTTGAGGTACAGGTCGTCGCGGGGAAAGTGGATATACGGGTCTAACAGAGCCAACATAGGGGAATGTCGGGAAGGGGTTGTAGAGTCCGGTACCTGCATCGCCTGTGTCCTAATACTCAGAATACTAAATCGTCCATTGTTTGGAATGGCTATAAAAGAGGGGCTTACCATTTTGAATCTTATGCTCTGCCTTGTGTGTAGACTAGATTCGTTCTATGTCAGACTGATGGCCCGTGGAGCTGGTTGCATAGATACAAGGTATTTACCCAATTCTTTTTGAAGCAGTCTTGAGAGCAGAAGTAACTATCCTTGATACCTAGCTTGAGACATGTTGGACATTGCAAAGCGCTGGCTTCTTTGTCACAATCCGCCCCAGAACATTTTCTGGACTTCGTCGCGACGGGTTGTGCTTTTGAATTCCAGATAATTGATTCGTCAATGGATTCGTAGTTGGTAGTTGGTAGGTTAGGCAGAGGTAGGTATATTTGAAATGTAAGTAAGCTGTCAGAAGCTACATTGAGAAATTTTCAGAGCTGTTGGCTACTAGGTAGGTGAACAAGGCTCTGGAAAGGAAGAAAAAGGTCGTCACAGTAAGCATATTTCATCTGTTTCCAATCACATCTGGAAACATACCTACCTAGTAGGCTTTTGAATGTCTACTAGGTACATACTAGGCACTCTTAATATAGGTACTCTTATGAAGCTTCAATGTTCAATATTGGAAGTTGGAGAATTAATAGTTGCAGCCTACATGCAGTATGGGTTCAGCCACTACAGCGGGGTATTTATAAGTGGAATTTCTAAGGGGCACATCACGGCAACAGCCGAGGCCGTTCGGTCCGTAGCGCTCTTGATTTCCGTATTCCGAAACTCGATTCGACCCAGACCGCTCCGAGCGGTCTCGACCTGCAGATGGATTGTTCCGGCTTACACTGATAAGGAGATCCATTTGTCTCTTACCATGCAGGACTAGAGTCTAGACTACTAGGTATGGAGGAATATCGAGGGTAGGTAATCAGCAGAGGCTTGTCCTAGCTAAGCCCCACCTCCCCCTTTTCAAGCCTGTCTGCCTGCTTCCTGTTTTATCAATTTTGGTACTACCCTCTACCTCTTACAATAGACAGTTTACTCGGGCGCAATGGGTTTCGCCGAGGGTTTTGCAATGGCGTGATGTCACTGATGCGGTATGTACGGCTTGATGAGGCCGGAAGGCTGGTCTCATTTGGTGACAGCACATGCCACTGCAACCCATCCTGAAATATAAGTAGGTTAGGTAGTTTGATTTATAGCGGTACTTCGTGTAGCTCGGGTATGGTAGTAGGTTAGATACATATCTTAGTACCCAGTGCTCCTTCTTCTACACGTGTGTGGTCTCATCAAGACGCCTCGGATAGGGACCTATGCTAATGAGGTCATAGGGTTATACAGTCATGCTCTCTTTAGTCTAATGTCCAAGAGACTTAGCTTTGAAGAGGTGATTCCACAACTGGAGTGGGTGATAAAGCTGGTGGTGATCATCTACACTGAGACATCTTCCTTACGAGATGATAAAAAGGTTCCTCAATATCTGTACCTTCCTGAGCTGAGCAACTAAAGTAGTCACAGCGAGTTTCGTCTGCAAACTCCCTGGCTGTACCATATGATTTGTGTCTTAGATCGGACATAGTTCCCACAATAGCTATTGCTTTGTTCACCGTCCAGGCTTCCCCCTTAACTCGAAGGATGAAATCATGCAGCGAAGCGAGCTGGGTGTATTGGGAGTCAGAATCTTTGATAAACACCGGGCATGCGATTATGAAGCCATCGGCTTCTTTTATTGCCTTAAAAATGGTGTATTGAGGACCAGTCGGAGCAAGGTCGGACAATGCTAGCATATTAGTCCACGCTGGTGTACCAGTCCACGCTGGCGTATCGATTACGCGGATAAGACAGTGACTCTCATCGACGATGGTGGTCTTCTTGTGAACACCTATCATGTTAACTTGAATCGTCTCATAAAAATGGTCGAAGCAAAACTATAGAATGGTGAGCTTCTGCGTACAAGCAATCTGCGAACACATACCCTAGTTGTTAAGGCAGACTTCCCAGACTTTCTCAGTCCGAGAATCGCTATCTTGAAAATATATCGAGGACCCGTAATGAAGACCTTCTTCGGCTCTGTCTCATACCACGAAATGCTTGCGATGTCTCCTGAACTTATTGGTAGGGCAATGACTGATATGTTGGATATCTGGCTTAGACTTAGGCCTGACAGCATACTCCAGAAGCCACTCATTGGCTGACTGGTCGTGAATGACACATCACATTCATTTCCTCTTATTCGAGCATATACTGGGGAATGTGCCAACTCATTCTCGAAGGGCCGTTCGAATATGGTGTTGTTGACTAGGTTGAATTCTTTAGGCGCACTGAACCGCCTTGGTCTCAGCTTGCGCGTCATCAGTGTATCGGAGATTGAACGTGTCCTAGTGGTTTGACGAGTACTATTGGAAATGCTGAGTGTGTCTGCCAGCTTCGGTGCATATCGGATTGTAGATGCATCGTCTTCTTCGATGTCCTCCAAGCCAACCGGTGTACTCCTGTAACCAGGGTTACGGTGAGGAGGCTCGGATACCGTGAGGCTTCTCACCGATTGAGCCGTACTCCTTACCATACCTCCAAGATCCCTTATCTGGTCTTGAAGATTCTGATTCTCCTGTAGCGCCCTTTCCATCATAACATGAAGTGAATCTCCAGATCTTCGGGCTTCAATGTCAGACTCACTAAATGACGAACCAATTAACTGTTAGTACATGGCTGGCTCCTGGGCGAGGGGTGTGTCTCAGGGTAATGGGAGGTGGTGTGTATATATATACCTACCATTGAAGGATGTTTAGTAGCAAACTTGTAGAAGTTTTATGTTCCTGAATTTTTGTACTCAGCTTCAACATCCTTTCTTTCATGTAAGAGAACCGCCATCTATTCCATAGCCCAGACTGTATCTTCTCGGGCCAAGTGCTGACGAATTGTTTCAATTCGTCAAAGGTGATTACCAGCTGTGTTAAGCACATGACAAGATGGTCTAGCTGAACCATCGCTCTTCTAGTTGGCGATATATTCCGAAAAGAGTCTATTAACTTCGATACAGCTGTGAGGGCTAGTCTCATCTCGGAAACACTAAGAAGTAGCGAGTAAGCGGATTGGGGGGCCTCGTTGAATTCAGCAACGAAGTTCGATATAGTCACGTATATGCTGCCGGATAATGCGATCAATCCCGCGACTGATGCCGCAACACTCAAGGGATCCGACATCACGCGGACTTCTTTCCGCCGATCTGTGATGTGAAGGAGTAGTGTAGCGATTCATCTTACCTTTACCATCAAAAGAGTGGGAGGGAAGGAAATAATAGACATCTGCCAGTCTGCCTTGACGGGAAATCTCTGCATGGGGGCGGTATTTCCAACCTATTGGAACCAAATATGATGACTTGAGCTGAGAGGGATCCTGCAGGTTTAGGCGAACATTGTAAGGTCACAGCCACAGATGACAGCAGTTTTAACCATTGAAGGCAACCACATAATAGACCTATCACCTAAAAGAGAAAAGAATGAGGGGAGACCCCTGATTATGGGCTCTATCTCCTACCGAGTAATGCCAGTGGCTGGTTATGTATATAACTACCACCAGAAACTTAATCGGCGAGATCTAGGAAGGATATCCCATACTATATAATATCGGACACGATATCTAGCTGTTCATATATACCTAAGTGAGTGTAGGATGGGTTGAAGCAGCGGCTAAAAAGCGCGATTGGAGTGTAACTAAGCTACTTAATTCCCAGCACATGACATAAAAGCCTTGTCTATGAAACCCGGACCTTTCCAATGGGAGGGTATTCTGATTTCCATCCAATTTACGATAAGACGGTACTTGTTCGGTTCGAGAATCCTCATTTACTACAGGGAGGCTCGGCTTCATCGTAGTAATCGAAAGACAGATATATTATTCGAGAATTTAATTCATGCAGTATGCCCGACTACGGCGTGTTCGCTAAGTACCAGGCAGGTAGGCAGTAGCAATTTTGAAGATTGGTTCGAGTATACCCAACTGATGGTAACACCGAGAACACCATCGGTGAAAGAGTGTAGGCAGCAATATTCTTATTCTCGGAGCCTCACGTAAGTGCTCGGCGCCGTTTTCGTAACTAGTTCCGAGTACTTCGAGATGATATACAATATTACTAAACCGGGAGTACAGTCGCAGGTGGTAAGAGATAGCGTTCCTACAATACAGCAAGTCTTGTATAATTAATGTAGTTACCTAGATTTTGAAATAATGTGCACGATGTTGATCTACCTATGGGATTCTTCGGAAACACGATGATTTTAAAACACTACTTGCTTACCTACATTAAAGATGAGGCTCAGGCATAGGTGGGTAGTATTCTCAGCCCTAAGGAAGATATAGCGGCATGCAATATCGATCGAGCCGGTTCAAATCGCTTAAAATGGATGAGTCTCATCGATAGCTCGCATCTGAAATCTGAATTGGTTATGATGCATGCGGCTCAGCGCTCGTAGCTCACTCAGATCTAACATATCACAGCGTTGGTAAATCAGAAGTTCTTAAGTTGACGTTACGGTTTAAGCGAGGATGAGGACAATATCTGCCTGCCTACCTTATTCCTCAAGGAGGCGGCCCGCAAACTATGGTTCAGACTAACGCACGATGCCTCGGTTCTCGCGAACGATGAACTAAAGGGGGGTTTTTCAATGGCACAGAACTCAACTTGATTGGCATGGAATCCTATAGTCAACTACAATTTCCAGACCACTGAGCCGTTTGGATCATCCGAAAGGCAGCTATGCCGTCATGAAGAAGTCACAGATAACTTACCAATCGAGAGATGGAAGACCACCACTGCTTCAGATGAGAAGAGGTTCATGCTAAAGATAGGATACGTGAACCACTCTACCTAGGGAGGTATATAAGGATGGAAAGGGGCCGAAGCACTAGTACTGGATGAACATTCACTCCAACAAAGTAATTCGACGACAAGCAGCAAAAATATATTTATACTGAACAGCAAGCATGGCGTCTGGAGACTCTTCTGATAAATCAGGCAGTAAGAACGAACGAGCGGAACTTGGAAGCAAAGACTAACAAGAGAGAAGAGAAGCCAGCCAACTCTAAGAAGTCAAAAGACGATAAAAAACGATCTTCAAAGGTACCTATATATGCCCCCTGAAATCTATATGCCTACCTACCTACCTAGTTTTAAGCTCTGACTCAGTATCATAGTCTTCGAAAGATAAATCCTCTGATAGCAAGAAGGACAACACATCAGGCCAGGGTCAAGACAGTGGCTCCGGAGCCTATGTTTCGCCGCCTGACTTTTTCTCCTTCAACGACCCTGGAGACGACTTCTCTGTGAACTAAGTGTAACACTACCTACACTCAACAGTTGGAGCTTGTATGATTAGGGATGTGACAGATATGGAAAGCGCAATGCTAGGCTATCATAAGTAGCCGCATCGGTTTGGCAACAAGGGGCTTGGTTTAGACTGGCTTGAATTCTTTAGATACTTCTACTTTTCCTTTCTTTATAGGTTAACCCTACTGTATTACATAGACTTTGCTTTATGCCTAGGTACTCAAGAATCTATAAACAAACTTGAGTATCTCAATCATTAGGATACGAGCTCTAGAGAAAGTGCTATGATATATGCATTATACAGGTAGATACTAGCCAGTACCTACGTAGAGGAAATCTGCAATACTTATGTAGGTTAATGCCTATGGCTCCATTAGGCCTGCTATAGATATTGGCACTCCGCCATCGTGGTCTGGAATAAACCAAGCTTTCTTCCGTCCTTCTTCCTTCCGTTTGGTTGCAGTTCACCCTGCAACAGTACCCATTAACAAGAAACTGACAAGTCTAATTCTAATGTTGAGATCTTTTTTGAGACTCAAATATGAACAAATCTACTTGAGTAGTCTTCACAAAAATACCCGAATGACAGCTTCCAAAGCTCATAGCTTGACTTTTCCAGAACGACAAGATTAGCTACATAGTACCTAGTAGCTGCTGAAAATTTACTATATCTCATAATGTATAATAACCTGTATTCGCTGCGGACTGAACTTGAATGCCATAAGAAAGTTCCATCATGTCACGAGGCGGAACCTAGAAGACGTAGAACAACATCGTTGTTGTGCGAAAATCTCTTAACATCACCCGGAGACTATGGAAGCTACATATACACGTAAGTCGTCTTTGTTCCATGTGAACCCCCATGTGCTTCCAGGTAGACCCTTGACACATCTCATGATCTATAGCAAAATCAACACTTAACATTCTCATAGTGCGAGCAAAAAATAGCAACTTCCAATGTTCTGGTCTAGGTACTACATATATACTTACAGACTACCTAAATAAGCAGTTGAGTTTATAGGCTCATATAGATCCCCTACGTGCTTGATTTTGATCCAAACGTACATTTAATAATTCAGGGGTTTAGCCAAATCGATCAATCATTACCCCTGAGTAGGTATCCTATCTCATGGTAAATACCAGATCCTATTAGCTAGCTCCTCTGTCCGCAAGCAGGGAATTTTCATATTGACCAATTTGAAGGCATGATAAGAAAGAGAATATGGAATAAGATAGAAGTTTCATGGACCATCAATCAACCCAAGCAACGTTTTAGGCCGCCATGTACGTTACACTAGAATACAAAAGAATACAATTCTCTGGGGACAACTACATGAAAGCCTAATGTATTGTAACCAATCCAGGATTCATATAATTCGAAAGTGAAATAAAATGTTAAACGAAGTTGACGAGCTGTAAATTGAGTAACCTGAGAACACGTGGTTAGTAATCCTAGGTGCATCAGGTGTTATGAGGTCGACAAGGCAGATAGAACAGATCTCAATGGCCGCGTCACTGTGTGATATGACTCAGGAGACGAAAACGTGGAAGGCCAGGTAACTATTTAAAGATGTGCAACGTGGTTATAAGGAATTCAACTATTTTTTGGACTGAATTAGTTGGTAGGTACCAAGTAAGTAGCAGATATATAAAAAGGGGGTTGTACGATGAGAAAGTCATGATTTTGTATTCCGAGACAACATTGAACACCTGCGCAACTTACAAATCACTACCCTCGGCAACCTGAATCCTTCAACTGTGTTATATTTATGAGTTGGGCCGAACTCCGACAATCAATAGTCACAAATACATGTAAGTCCTTAGTACTTAGTACTTAGTACATAAATTTTAACTTGAAACACCAGACGATTGAAACCAATTCGAACAAAAAGTCAATTGAAAGTTGAACATTGAAGGTGCGAGCTCGACAAGTTTTATAGTTTGAGGTTTCCTTTACCCAGGTACGCACTAGCGCTGCGGTCCCCCGCGAAGGCACTAACAAATAAATTGGGTTAGTGACCCATTTGGTACCCTAGGCAGTTCGAATAGCCTGATAAACCAAAAAAAGAACCTTGGAAAGACCAAGGAAAGCCCCCGCAAAGCCCCGCGCGACTAAATAAGGCACCAGTGCTTATCTTACCTACGCACGCTTCAGGCCGCAAAGTCACAGGTGATTGCTTTCCCTCCAGGGCTACGACTTGTGACGTCTCTTGTCTCTTGGAGTTAGTGGGGTCATCGGTCGTGATCTCTTTCAATCGTCATTCACCATTTTAGCTCCAAAGTAAAAGGGGCGCATCTTTCTTCATCATTGCAGTCATTGCAGTCACTGCAGTTATTCACAATACTTCAACTTATTTTAAAGCCCTAGTGCCTATTGTAATTGTATTGTATCTTACTTCGTTGTATCTTACCTTACCTAAACTAACTTGTTCGACGTAAAACGAACGACGCCGTCTGAGCCGGCATCTCGGCCCCTTTCCTTTTTCTTTCTTTTTCCTTTTCCCGTTTCCCTTTTTTGCTTTTCCTTTTCTTTGTTTAGACTGTCCCCGTTTTCCACGGCATCAGATCTACCCAAACGAGACTAAGACACACCCTACCTCCGTACTACGTAACCATAACTCTACAAACCTGAATACCTTCTCTCGAACTCGAAAAAGTTGACATTGTCCGAAAGCCGAACTAGGTCATTACCAGGAATCGAGGAATCGATTTCTATTTTACATACTACAATCACTTCTGCGCTTCCGAGCTAAAGCCGTCGCCATGTTTGATCTTATTCCGAAGCTTCTCTCGTACGTCAAACAATCCCAATCCCCTTGTCTAAAATGCGAAGGGAAAAATTAACCGCTAATATTTCTTCTCAAACACGATAGCTCCGTAGCATCCTTTCTCTTTCCCCTCTTTGCTTCGTACAAGGCTCTCAAGACCTCCGACCCCGCGCAGCTGACACCATGGCTGATGTACTGGTCCGTCGTTTCCTGCGCCCTCCTCGCCGAGTCCTGGACCGAGTTCATCCTCGTTTGGATACCGTTCTACTCTTATATCCGATTTTTCTTCTTACTCTACCTCGTTTTACCCCAAACCCAGGGCGCACGCGTGCTATACGAGACGTACCTCAACCCGTACCTTGAGGAGAATGAAACCGCGATTGAAGACTTCATCGCTAGCTCCCATGATAGACTCCGGGCTGCCGGCATGGCGTATCTGAAACGCGCCATCGAGCTTCTCCGGACTCAAGTCTTGGGCCTGCCGCCCAGCGAGGAGCGAGAAGAGACTCGAGCCGCCGCCGCACCGCAAGGATACACCCAAGCGTTGCTTGCTAGATTCAACATGCCGGCGGCGCGATGGGGCTCGAACAATGCCGGGAGCTCGGGACAAGATTTCTTTAACATGTTAACTAGTGCCGTGGGCGCTGCCACTGGTAATCTGATGGCTGGCGGAGCATCGACATCGTCGGCGGCGAACATTTCGTCGTCAACGGCGACTTTAATCCCGGGGAATATCGGCGGCGCGGAAGAGAAGATGACCTTCATCACCGCGCAGAAGGAGAAGCTAGCGTTCATGATGGGAGCGCTAGAAAAGGAGGCCCTGGAGCTTCAAAGAGCCGAAGAAGAGCGCAAGATAGCTGAGCAGGCAAGGAAGGACCTACGGCCCAGCAGCATGAGCTTGGACGGACAGGAGAGCCCGGCTTCTCGGCCGCCAAGCGGGCACAGCGTGTGGAGCGGCCTAAGTAAGAGCCGGAGCGAAGTCGATTTCGAAAAGATCGACGCCGAGAGCGGAGCTGAGGACGACGGCAGCTTACGCCAGAGAGCATCCATTATTGCATCGAGTCCGGGCGGTGGCGCCAGAAACAGCAGCTGGAGCTTCCTAGGTTGGGGGGGAGCCTCCTCCGGGCAATCAGAGCCAGATCAGCCAAACACGGGACTCAGCTCCGGCGTTGAGAAATAGTCGAACCAAGGCATTGGGTTCGATGGGGCATGGAGTTAAAGGGTTTGGTGTATGTGTCATTTCTTTCTCTCTTTCCCTCTCTCTCTCTTTCTTCATTCTCTTGCGGTTGATTTGGCATAAAGCGGGGACGGGGAGGTGGAACAGCAAACGGCTTATCAGGTATCTATCTATTTAGAACTAGGAAAGTTGACTTGGGAGTTTTTTTTTACAGGATGGGAGCTTCATTTTTTATGTTGCTGTTCTTCTTCTCCAATAACTAAACAAAACAAACAAACAAACCACAGCTCCTTTTTTTGTCTGGATTGCATAACCTTAGGTATAGGCACCTTACCTAGACTCTAGAAAAGTCGCGAAACCCACTATAAATCGTGGAAACCTTACTTACCTCCTACCTACTCCCCCTTTGTGGGCTGTACGCTATGTATGCGAGCGTGACGGATACATATACCTTTTTTCTTCTAGAAATCTGCGCGTGAAGCTCTTCGTCATCCCGTTCATCTTTCCTTTTTATGATTCACGTTTAACCCTGCCATTCTTGGTGCTCCAGTCTCTCTCATGGTATGGTATAGGTGAGTGACTTAAGTGGAGCAATGTATATGTCTATGTGCTGGCTTATGGCTAGGTAGGTAGGTCTTTCTTGTTTTCCTTTCCAGCTCAGCTGAGCCGCCCCCCCCTTAAGCTTCCCCGTAGTATATAAGTTTGTAGTGTAGTAGGGTATCTCTCCCGCCCGCGTTTCGGTTTATCGTACATCAGACCCCCTCCCTTCCTCCTCCCCCTGCTTGTCTTATACGTAGGTACCTAACGAACTAGCCAGCAACTAGCCATCTATTCAACTTGAACTCGCCAAGCACGAGTTTCAAGGTAGAAGCTGAGATAGTAGAGTAGGTCTTGTCTTGGAGACACCAGCTTTTCCCCACATTCCCTCCCTTTTCCCGTACATCCATCCACCTATCCATCCATTTAAGTATCCATCTGCCTTGCGCCTTTGTCTTCCTGTTTTGTTCGAGAGTTCCTTTTCCCAGGTACTTACTTTTACACCTTTTTGAAGGGGTAGCGGAGCTCGTCGTCCTTGCGCAGCCAGACCTGCTTCCGCTTCTTGGTGGTGACGTGCTCGGCCCACTGCTGGACGGCGTGCTCCTTGGTGAACTTGCGGATGAAGCGGGGGTCCCACAGCTCCGAGGCGACGCCGAGGTCCTTGCAGCACCGCATCAGCGCGTTCGACTTGGCCCCTTCGGCCGCGGTGGATATCCCCTCCTCGTTGAAGTACTGCTGCTCGCCGCGCGCTTGGGCTACGAATCTGGATTTGGGGGAGGAGGGTTAGTGACGAGGCTTTCGTGGGGGGTGTGCTGGAAAAAAGAGAGAGAGGGGGGGGGGGTAGACGTACTTTCCCTGCACGATCAGCGCATACTCGCGCGTGACGAGGCGCTCATGAACGGTGAGCTGGCCGCGGGGGGCGAGGCCCCAGGCGCCGGGGCCGAAGGCGGCGTTGAGGATGCGGCGGTACTTGATCTCGGGCAGGTAGATGACGCCGTCGGGCTTGACCTCGACGTCCTCGGGGTCCAGCGGGGCCTGCAGCGTCGCCGCCGCCTCCGGCGAGAAGGTCGACTCGCCTAGCCCGTGGAACGACTGCGACCAGTCGATCGGCCCGTCGCCTTCCTCGTACGGAGGCGCCTCCGGTAAGGGGTCGCCTGAGGTGGGGGGGATGGGCGTCCGGGTGTCGGTGGATGTGGGTTTGGTACTACTGGATGAGGTTGCTGGTTTCGTGGTGGCGGGTGCTGCTTTGTAGGGCGTCGTTGCCGTGGGGGAGGCGGCTCGGGTGTATGGGGTGGAGGCAAGCTTTGGCTTGAGTGTGGTGCTGATGGTTCGCGCGTGGGGGGTTGTTGCTGCCCAGGTCTGGGAATTCGTGGGCGTGCGCAGCGATCGGGATATCGCCCGTAACGGGGTTAATGTTCTTGAAGCCATGGTGCTCGTGTTGTGTTGTTTAGGTTGAGGTTGAGGATTTGGGGTTTGGGGTTTGAGGTTTGGGAGGGATGTACTATATAATGTGACTATATAATGTGGTGGAGGGGGGATTTCCAAGGTTGTTGTTGTGTTTTGATAGGAAAGGAAGGAAGTTTATCATCGACAGGGGTACAAACGAATATGGGAACGAAGCGTTTGGAAAATTTCGGTGGTTATAGTTAGTACCTTTTTTTCTTTCTTTTTCAACTAAAAAATTAACCACAAGCTCAATCGGCTACCCTAGTAGATACCACTCTACACTGTAGCAGCCTATGAGGGGTTGTTTCGCCTACTGCTAACACGATGTTATCGATAGTGCCTGATAGGACTGTTCTAACCTAAGGTTAACTACTTTGTTCTTGGCACATGGATGTCTATGCACCTGTCACAGTGTTGAATTTCTGTAGCCCCCAACTCAGAACTTTGAAGTTTGGATGATAGATTCTCTTATGCGTAAAGTTACCTCATCTTCAGAGCGTCAATTATTGTGCGTATTAATACCTCAATTACTCAAGGTCTATGTAGTCCATCATGTTCTCATAAAATACGTTCACTTTCTTCATAAGTGGCCGTGAGTCATGCATCCTTGGTCGATGTTCTGTCGTCGTTGTGATGCTTTTTCCAGCAAGCCCTGAAAATCTCCATCTGTTTCATTGGTGAAGTCCGTTAATAAATATTGTTAACCATATTTATGAAAAGAAAAAAACGAAATATAATTGAATCACTTGCCTCCTTCTTGCAAGCACGCCAGTCTTTCTTTTCGAAGTAGCAGTCTGTCAACTTGGAATTCTCATCTAGTACGGGAGAAGTTCACATTAACACAACATTGAACACCATATTGCCGCCGGGACCAATTACCTGCACATCCGGTGCTGAATATTCTTTTGTCCCTACAGGATTACAAGATAAAAAAGTCAGCTCAAAACAATTCCTGACAACTAATACGGATCTTACAGAAATCTTACCAGTCATCCGGCTCATCATCGTCCGGGACATTCTTCTGTTGAGCTGCAGTTTCTTCTTTAGACATTGCACGCAACGTTCGTCTTTCTATTTGCGGGAAAGAGCGTTGTCGTTAAGGAAATCGAAGTCTCTTGTAATTGGTTTGACGTCAAATCTGACGTTGCCTTGAATTTGTGGTTCAGTGGACTAAACCTCGCTAGGGCGGTGTAAAAGTGGAAATTTGGGGTTCTGAAAGTCGCTGAATTGCCTCTATTCATCCCCCCTGCCCCCTGAACTCGAACCACTATCTACCTAAGGTTAGATAGAAAACTACGAATCGCATCAATTTTTGGAAGGGATATCAACCAACTATCTCATCATGACCCCACGTAAACTCAACGTGCTGGTTTACACGGGTGCAGGATCCACAGTTGAATCAGTCAAACACGCAATATACTCACTACGTCGACTTCTCTCTCCAAATTACGCAGTAATTCCCATTGCCGAGAATGCGCTATTAAACGAGCCATGGGCACCTACTTGCGCGCTCCTGGTATTTCCAGGTGGTGCTGATCTCGGGTATTGCCGCGCACTCAACGGCCAAGGAAACTCGATTATAGCTCAGTATGTACGACGAGGTGGCTCATACTTGGGCTTTTGCGCTGGCGGCTACTATGGATCCAAGAGGTGCGAATTCGAGGTCGGCAACAAGGCCATGGAAGTCATCGGGTCTAGAGAACTGGCATTCTTCCCTGGCACATGTAGGGGAGGAGCCTTTAAGGGGTTTCAGTATCAAAGCGAGAAAGGAGCCCGCGCAATTCGTGTAAACGTTGTGAAAGACGCATTCAGGGGCGCAGGGTTAGTCCCCGAAGTCTTCACATCTTATTACAATGGTGGTGGCGTCTTCGTTGACTCCATAGATGGAAATAACGACGTCGAGGTATTGGCAAGCTACGCAACCGATATTGATGTCGACGGGGGCCGTGATAAGGCGGCCTTGGTATACTGCAAGGTTGGCCAAGGTGCTGCCATCCTCACAGGACCTCATCCTGAATTTGCTGCGGCAAATTTGAGTCCGCAACACAGTGTAGAGGGATACGACCAGCTAATCGCTACCCTTCAAGCTGACGACGATGCGCGGACAAGTTTCCTGAAGGCGTGTTTAGCTAAACTTGGGCTAGAGGTCAGCCAGGAGACATCAGGTGTGCCGTCCCTATCCCGAATTCACTTGTCATCCATTTCTGGTAGCGATGTTGATGACTTGCTACACACATGGGAAGATATCATCAGCAAGGAAGATAACGAGGAATACATCAGGGCGGAAAACGACACATTTCATTTACAGAAACCCGAGACTATATGGTCTGTGACCGGCTTGAAAGAGGCACTAACTCCCGATGATAGCCCAGATCAAAAGTCGTCTAGCTTGAGCGGAGACGGAGCGGGAATTATCGACTATAGTACGATCGTTAAACATATTGTGACACATCAAGACTCCTGGCCGGAAGCCAAGGCAACGCCCTATTTCAACCACCACGCTTTTTACTCTAGTCTGCAAGAGTATCGAAGGACAGAGCCCGAGGCAGAGGAATGGGGCGACTTTTTCATGTATGGAGAAGTCGTCACAAGTACCAACACCCTACTCGAGAAAAACTACAAACTCCTTTCCAAGTTGCCTTCCGGGTTTACCCTCGCCGCCACAACACAGGTGGCCGGACGAGGACGCGGAAACAACGTTTGGGTATCCCCGGCTGGATCGTTAATCATGTCCACTGTCATCAACCACCCAGCACACCTCGCGCCAAGCCGGCCAATCGTATTTATCCAGTACCTCGCAGCCATCGCCATCGTCGAGGCCGTCAAGTCCTACGATAAGGGTTACGAAGAGGTGCCCGTGAAACTGAAATGGCCCAATGACATCTACGCGCTCGACCCCAGACAGGGCTCGTCCTCGTCTTCGTCACCATCGTACGTTAAGATCGGCGGCATCCTATCTAACTGCTCCTACTCCTCGGGATCGTACCAAATCGTCCTCGGCATCGGCATCAACGCCACCAACCGGCGCCCCACAACCTCTCTCGACGCCCTGCTCCCTCCCCACCTGGCACCGTTCCGGATCGAGAAGCTCCTGGCGGGGATAATAGTCCGTCTCGAAGCTCTGTACAAGGCCTTCGCCGACCGCGGCTTCACGAGGGACATGGAGGGCGCGTACTATGCGCACTGGCTGCACGGGCGGCAGATCGTGAATCTCGAGGCTCAGGGTGGTGTGAGAGCAAGGATCGTGGGTATCACGAGGGACTGGGGCATGCTGAAGGTGGAGGAGCTGGGGAGTGGCGATAGGCCGACCGGCAAGATGTGGGCGCTGCAGAGCGATGAGAATAGCTTTGATTTCTTTAGGGGTCTGGTGAAGAGGAAGATTTGAGCTCCTTGTCTTCGTGGGATGCTAGAATGAGGAGGTGCAAACCCAACTCTTATGGGAAGGGAGGGGAGATCTATTCCGAGGTTCAGATATACAGGAATTCTTTTTTTTTTTCGGAATTCTTATATTCAAGAGATATTTATTTGTTCCCCTTGCGTAGGTGCCTTCCAGGACTTATGGAACAGACGCTTTCCTGTCTTGGCCGCGCTGTCCCGTCCAGTAGATAAAATATGTCCTTTCCATTGGGTATAGACGTTTATGGGGTAACATAACAAGCCGTTTCTCGTTGCTCTTCCCCCCCTTTTTTTGTACTGGTGTTATCCATGCAATGATTATACTAGTACACGCAGCCTCGCCTCGCCTTGCCTTGCCCCGTGTCTAGTGTTCTCAAAGACCGGGAAACAGCCTAAACCATGAAAATGAGCCTGCAAAAACTCCAAAATAACGCCGGGCCATGCTACATTCGAGTGAAGATGCTTTTTTGTTTCCTCCTATTTTTCACCCCCCCTCCCCCCCAATTTAGGATGTTGTGGGTCGTTGGAAGGTGTGGGTGATGAGCGTCCAGATTTTCCCAACTCTTGAACACTCCCATCCCCATACTTCCGAAATCAGAACTCCTTGATTCCTTTCATATGTCAAATTGGACCGGCTACCGGCTATCGACTACCGGTCCTTATACACCTTCGGCTTCCAGCCCTCTTTCAGCTCGGCCTCCTGCGCGGCCTTCTCCATCGCGGGCCGCACCTCGGCCTCTATGCGCTCGCGCGCGCGCAGCACCTTGCTCTGGAGGTAGAAGCTGCCGCCCTTCTGCGGGTCGTTGGCGTCGAACAGCTTTTTAAAACGGGTCATCACGTCCTCCATGTTCGCCTGTCCTCCCTGGGGGGGTTTGACGTTGAGGATCTGGCACGCCTCGTCCAGCGTCATGTTGCCGGAGCCCGTGACGCTGCGCCCCGAGACGCCGTTGGGGTTCAGCTTGGCCTGCGCGCGCGCGTAGTTGGTCGAGGCTTGCGCTTGCTTGTAGGCTTCGACGAAGGCGCGCCCGAGGACGCGGCTGCCGATCACGACGACTTGCGTGAGGATCCGGTGCGCCTGTGGGTTGTTGGTTAGTTAACTAGTTGTCTGGGATTTGGCGGCGGAAAGTTTTGGGTTGCGCATGGGTGAAAATGATTGGGACGGGAAAAATTGAAGATTGGATTTGCACGTACCATCTTCGCTGTATGCTCTCTTTGGGAATACGCAGAGCAATAGGTAAACCGACCGGTAACTAACTGACTGGCGATCAAAAAACGACGAAGTGAGTTTTGAGTTTTTTTGTTTTTTATTCCTTGATCGGAAGGCGGCTGAGAGAAAGAAAAGAGACGTACTGTAGGTATTGAAAATTGTCGTGATATTAATGGAACGGTTTACACTAACCTTAGAACCTTGAAGATTCAATGGAAAGATCATGCCGGAATTAGAGCCCCCGATTGCTCCGACTTTTTTTTTTTTTGAAGATGGATATGGTGGGGCGAATTGAAAGGCTTGCGGTTAACGGCTGACAACCAGATGGCAGGTGATAGTGCGACAAACGCCATAGTTAACCGTTGACATTGGTGCACCAGCCACAATCTGTTCTTCTTGAGCCACAAATTAAATGCGATGGGTTACATATGTAGTTATGTCCACGGTAGTACTTAACAAGGGTTTAAGTTACTATGTGAGGTTCCAAGGTTCCAGCTAATTTAGTAGCAGTTCATGTATTGTACAATACATACGTACGTTGCCTGTCCTAAACTTCCGAATCCTATTAACTAGTTATTTGAACTTCCAAGCTTCACAATGCCACATCAGTGAAAACACGTTTATTTCTAGCCGCCACCATATGAAACGCCCATAACACCACCGCAACCCTCTTACCTCTCAAACCGCTTTTCTTTGTCGTCATTCATATTTTTCTCTCCTTCCTACCTATCACTCATTAAAAGAATCGAATAACCCCCCAACCATCACGAATCCCGCGATACTTCGATATACTGGCACGCTAAACACGCAAAACATGTCGCAATACTACGGCGCGCCCCCTCCGAATCAGTTCGTAGGAGGTAGTGCATCAGCTGCGCAGAACCTCCAATTCTATCCTTCTACATATTCGCCCGGCGTCCCTAGCCAACCAGCCCCGGCGCAACCATATGGATATGGCGCGCCTACGCCAGGCTCGGCTGGGTTTGGCGGGTTTGGCGGCGCACCGGGCGTGAGCGGGAGGATGGGCGAACAAGGCGGTCTACGGACGGGCTGGCTAGCTGCATTCTCGACAGAAGGTTATGATGGAGAGCCGCCTTTATTAGAAGAGCTAGGGGTCAACTTTGGCCATATCCAAATGAAGGTGAGTTTCCTCAACCCCAGCGACATCCTCTTCCATTATTACTACTGGCAACGGCAACTAATAATGCGATGCTGTAGACCTTGGCAGTACTCAACCCCTTTGTACGTATAGATCAACACATCATGGACGACTCGGATCTTGGAGGCCCGATCCTCTTCTTTCTCCTATTCGGCACCTTCCTACTCTTCAGCGGCAAAGTGCACTTCGGATACATCTACGGACTCGCACTTATAGGGTCCGTTGCCTTACACACGATTCTATCTCTGATGTCCCCCGAGGGCCCTGAATCTCCGACACCCGCCCACGCCTCCCCCGCGTATGCTTCCGGCTCAGGGTACCCTGGCGACCCCAGCGCAGGTGGTACTGACAAGGGGCACCTAAGCAGCACTTTAACACTCGCAAGGAGCGCCAGTGTGCTCGGATACTGCCTCCTCCCGCTGGTGGTGACGAGCTTGGTAGGCATCGTGATGCCGATGGATGGACCTCTGGGCTATCTCTTGACCATCGGGGCGATTGTCTGGTGCACGACGAGTGCAAGTGGCATGTTCTGCGCCGTGGGCCGGATGAGACAGATGAGAGCTCTGGTAGCCTACCCTCTGATGCTATTCTACGTCGGCTTCGGCATCATGAGCATCTTCAGCAGTCGAGGTTCCGGCAGCCTGGGCAAGGCGGCAGGTGTATCATGAAGTGGCAATGGATAAGTCGCGATACTATATCACTTAACTATCCTACCATCGTAGCCAACAAGAATGAGTGGGAAAAAAAGGCAAATGGGGGCCATTCAGGTCAAGGCCATAATCGACTTCAGCAGGACATTTACACGGACCAATATGGCGAGCCAATGAATTCGTAGGGGCCGGGTTTGCCTAGGTATCGAGGTAGAAGATATACTCACTACTCAGGTACCCAGGACAATTTTGAATGGGGGTCGTGCAAGATCGTGGGCAGCCTAGATTTGGTGTTCAAAAGAGGAATGCCCCATCTATCTACTTAGGTATTTATCCAGCCTAATATCCAGCGGTAGATAAATAATAGATTATACTTGATGATATATACACTTGCTAAGGCTTTTTACTTAATGACTTATCGTTGTTTTCGTGAAAAGATTTGAAGATTTAGGTAGGGAGTTTCTGGTTTCCAGGGGTAATGGGTATCTAGGATAGATATGAGTTGAGTAGGTATGTGTGAAAAAAGGAGATATATTTGTGTCGTCCTTAGGTAGATACAAATAGTATCAGGGTTGAAATTCACATATCTAGACCTTTCTTTCTCAACGCCGCCGGGCATGCTACCCAGATCGTCTACTCATGTGACGAGGCTATGCATCATGCCTAAATGGGCACTCTCGGGTGGGTTTGGAAAACGCTGGCAGAACTGACTTAGTGGGTTGCGTAATAGGTAGGAGGCCGAGACCGAAATGTCAGCTCGTGAGTAAAGTTGCCGAAGAGAATAAGCTGGGGTTTGCTATCCAGATGGAATGGCTCGGTATCTACCTCTTACACCTCAACATACTAGCAACCTCTAGCCCGTTATAAGCTGGTGTTACTAGCTTTCCATCGCTTTTTGGAAGACTTTGAATCACGGGACAGGCTGCAAGGAACGCCGTAAGCTGGCTCTTGAACACATTACCTAAACTCTTCGAATACTATATTAAACCGAGCCTTCTAGTGACCATCTAGCGCTTGTACTTTTTACAGCGTGACTATCGGATTATTAATCCGGAACGCCTTCTCTCGTAGGTAATACAAGTAGTTACGCCGAAGTGGCGGGCCAGACTTCATAAGACCAAAGCAAACTTCGGATGCGGGATGCGCTCTTCCACAATTAGGTAACTCTTGACTCCCGTCCCCCGACTGTTGCTTTGTCCTATCTAAATTCCACGGCGGCTCTCTTGCGGCTCGTGTATACGATGATAGGCTTGTTACCTACCGCCGAAATTTAACCTTGAGATATATCATAGTAGATAGCGACTCCGCGCCTCTGTTGAGCATCAATCGATCTTCATACACTGGGACTGGCAGTGTTCAGCCGAGTGCTGGCTTTTCTACTGCTGTGTTACCTACACGATTTAGGTGTTACCTTGAAGAAAGAAATATTCAACGATCGGTACCATACCCTCGGGCCTTGAATGTACTACTCTAAGGTTACTGTGTATGACGCCCTTTTCACAGTACGGCGTAGTATAGGATAAATCGGTGCCAAGTATCTGCCAAGTTGTAGTATTTATATGGGGGATTCGATCGGGACAAATCAGAATAGCATCCTTGAGCCCCAGGCTTGGCATCTGCGGGCCGTTGTGGACTACCTGCTAGGTACTTCTTAGGTAGTATTGTATCGTCCCTACTAAGGCTAGCCTACATGTACCTCTCAACTTCCCGGATACAAAATGCCGAATCTTGGGGCAAGTGCTATGGTATTGTAGGCAGTTGCATGTTACAGGTAAGGGGTGACGCAAGCAAGTGCCATCATGGAATCTGCGTTGTTACTCTATAACGCCGATTACTACAACACACCCTCGTCTGACCGTTTCAATCTTCACAACGCCCTGCATGACATGTATACCGTCACTTCCCCGCTACCTCCGAGCGCCATTCGGTCCAGATGCCCCCCTGCGTCTTCTTTTCCCTTGCGTTAGGTACCTTGCCTAGTATGTATATACTCGCATATCGTCGTAGTCACAAAGAGCCGGTCTAGAGCTTGCTTGATTGGCGTCCTATCATATCGCGTCCACCACTACAGGTAAGGTCGTGTTGAACAAAGAGCCGAAGAAAAGTTCTCCATCAACCAGAAGCCACCCTGCGTCTTCGATGGGGTAGTCACATAAAGGGTGATAAATAGCCCTGTAGCTACCCGTAGGCGAGAACAGCTTCCTTTCCCAGCCCCATTATTTCTTAACTACATCAATGTATGTAGCTCTCGCAAATCTTCAAATCTCTCTCTCCTCATTGACATTCCCCTCAATGGGAAAATAAGCCTGTCGACATGGCCAAACCTGACGAGATCACAAGCTCTGCTGGCCAGAAAACCGATATCGAAGGGTCAACCTCACTACATGAACATGCTGTCGAGAAAGATGTCCATCTCGCTGCTGAAGAGGGGTTTGCCGTAACAGATAGGTGGGTACCTACTATCCAAAAGACCGTAAACTTTTATAGCAATTGCTAAGTGAGCCTCAACTACATAGCCAAGGCGTGCCCATCGTCCAGTTCGACGAGGTGGCCGAGAGAAAGCTCCGGAATAAGATTGATATTATGGTCGTGCCGACAATATCTCTACTGTACCTCTTCTGTTTCATCGACCGCGCAAATGTCGGTATGTCCAACCCCTGAACAGCACTAGTTTAGGTCGTATACCTCCCTACCTTCCTACTTTCGGAAAACTGATCAGGTCCAGGCAATGCAAGATTGGCCGGGCTGGAGAGGGATCTAAACATGCACGGCAACGACTACAACTTGCTGCTCTCCGTTTTCTTCGTCAGCTACATCACCATGGAAATCCCGTCTAACCTTCTCTGCAAGCGGATTGGCCCCGGCTGGTTCATACCCTTCATCTCTTTCAGCTTCGGCGTGTGCTCTCTCGGCACCGCCTTCGTTCATGATCTGCCGGCAGCTTGTGGCGTCCGTTTTCTCCTCGGCATCTTTGAGTCCGGGATGATGCCCGCCATGTCTTACTATCTTTCGCGATGGTACCGCCGCTCCGAGTTGGTTTTTCGTATTTCTCTATTTATCGTCGCGGCACCGTTGGCTGGTGCCTTCGGAGGCCTGCTGGCTTCGGGGTAAGTGTATTTCGGCTTATTACTTATTCTCGCTTAGTCTGTGAGCATTCATCGTGAAGGCTTTGGCTTCATAGTCTATCAGTACCAGAGACTTTAAAACAGCCTTGGAATATATAGGAATTCATTAACCTACTACCACTAACTTACTAATGTAACAGTATCTTAACTCTACCTAACATCGGTAGTATTCACTCCTGGCGCATGATATTCTTGGTCGAGGGAATCATCACGATAGGGCTATCGCTGATCGCCTTCGTGACGCTCACCGACCGTCCGGAAACAGCTCGCTGGCTTACACAAGAGGAGAAAGCCTTGGCTATTGCACGTGTCAAATCAGAACGTTTGGCACAAACTGTTGTTCTCGACAAGACTAACCGTAGGAAACTGTGGCTAGGGTTCTATAACCCCGTCGTTATATCTACTGGTGTGATCTTTCTCTTTAACAAGTACGTACTTTGTTTCCCCCTTTATCGGGCATGTTTGCTGCGGATTGTAAAGATCCTTCGAAGGGGCCTTTTCCCTTATCACAATAACTGACTCCATGTTTTTATAGCATTACCGTACAAGGACTAGCTGTCTTTGCGCCCACCATTGTTGCGAGCATCTACCCCTCGTACTCAATAATCCAGCAGCAGCTATACACAGTCCCGCCGTACGTAGTCGGGGCTCTCTTCGAGCTCATCATTCCGCTGATGAGCTGGCGTCTCGACAAGCGGCAGATCTTCCTCATCTCCACCGCGCCGCTTACCATGATGGGCTACATCATGTTCCTAGCCAGCCACAACCCCACGGTGCGATACGCGGCGACCTTCTTCACGGCCATCAGCTGCTTCGCGGTCGGCGCGCTCACGAACGCCCAAGCCTCAGCGCAGGTCATCAGCGACTCAGCGCGCTCCATGTCCCTCGCCACCAACATGATGTTCGGCAATATCGGCGGCCTCGTCGCCACCTGGTCCTACCTCAGCCGCGACGCTCCCAACTACCCTATCGGCAACGGCCTCAACCTCGCCTCCGCCACCATGGTCTTGCTTGTCTCTACCGCCGCTCTGGTCTGGATGCGCATGGACAATAAGAGGCGTGATCGTCTGGATACGGAGAAGGAGCTTGAAGGGTTGTCGCAGGCGGAGATTGAGAGTCTGGAGTGGAGGCATCCGGGGTGGAGGTGGAAGGCTTGAGGGTAGGGTTGGGGGTGTAAAGGGAATGGGAGGGGAGGGGAGGGAAAGGAGAAAAGTTGGTCTGAATTTGTGAGGTGTCGTAAGCCAGGTACGATGATATTATACCTAGTTGCTAAGTATATATGGAAAATATGTCTAGGAAGGCTAGATATAGGTACGTATCCATTATCTTTGGAATGCTAAGGAAAGGAAGTTACACAAGACATAGGCACAAATATATAAAGGCATCTACATATATATAATAGCAGGCGGACACCGAGATGAAAGCATGTAAAAGGTAATTCATTATATTTACGCATTTTTCATATGTAAGGTAGGTACAAATAGGTACCTATATACTTATAGATAGGTACCCCTAAGCACCTGGCTCCTCGGCCACTAGCTTATCCCACCCACCTACATACATACATACATACATAAAACCACCCAGGCTACCTAACCTTCCGAGGTTACCTACCTACGCAGTCTTCTTAACCCTCTTAAACAGCACCGTCTTGGTGGGATCGGGGAAAGCATCAGTGCCCATGCTAAGGTTAGCGTAGCGCTCGGTGACGCCGTCGGGAGTGCGGATGTCGTAGTCGAGGAGGATGCGGGCGAGGATGAGCTTGATCTCGTTGGCGGCGAAGAAGCGGCCGGGGCAGGCGTGGCGGCCGTAGCCGAAGTGCATGAAGTCCTTGGTCACGGTCACGAACTGGTGCTGCTCGCGGTTCTTATACTTGAGCAGGTCCTCGGAGGTGCCGTTGCGGAGGTCGAGGAAGCGGTGGGCGTCGAATTGCTTGGGGGAGGGGTTAGTGTTTGTTTGGTCCCATGTGATTCGAGGACAGGAAAAAAGAAATTGAATAAATAAATAGATAAATAAATAAAAACGGGACGTGATAAAACTCACTTCAGGGTTTCGGTACACCTCCGGGTCATTCACGGTAAGGGCGTGCGCGGTCTCGATGAGGTAGCCGGAGGGGAGGTGGGTGCCGTCGCTTAGGGTGACGGGCTTGTCGACGTAGCGCTGGAAGCGGATCAGACTGCCCGGGTTCACACGCTGCGACTCCTTCATGACGCTGTCGAGCAGCTTCATCTCGAAGAGGGCGTGCGTCGTCATGACGCCGTCGTTGGCGGCCAGGACACGGGTGATTTCCTCGCGCAGCTCCTCGACTACGTCGGGGCGCACTACGAGGTCGTAGAGGCTGTGAGATTCATGTTAGCGTATCTGTGTCTTGGCAAGAGCAACGACCACTACCACTTAGATGTAAGTAGACGGGGTGAGTGAAACTAACATCATGGTAACGGTAAGCGTGGTGGTGTGGATAGCGGCCATGCTCAGGTTGAGTTGTGACTCGGCGAGCTCATCGTCGGATAGGTTGAACTTGGCTGCCTTTTCTATCATCCATTGGAGCGTGTCGTCGGGCATATCCTCCCCAGCCTTCATGGCCACACGGCGCTTGGCGATGATGGGTTCCAGGAAGTCGTGCGCCTTCTTGCGCTCTGCGAATAGCTTCTTGACCTCAGGGACGAAGTAGCTCCCGAGCCACCTCCACCGCTTACTCCATCGCTTGAGCCCGGACACGGCACCAACGAAGTCGAGCGTGTACCCGATGCTCGACTTGAGGTATTCCTCTGAGCGGCAGAGGTCGCCTCCGATGAAGATGGCGCCCGAGACGATGGCCACAATGCGCAGGAGCGTTGAGTAAGCGACCTTCTCAGACCAGTCTTCGCAGGCCCCTATCTCTTCCTGAATAGTCCGCGATGACTCCTCCGACAGTCGAGGGTTGATGCGCACTTAAAAGTCGATTTTGTTCAGCAGACGGGACTTGGATATATCTAAGTTAGGGGAGATACAAGGTAGATGATGACTTACCCAACGCACGAGTGAGATCGCTTTGTATGACATGGACGAGGAACTTGCCTCGCGTGGGGTGTTCCATGCCGAGGAGGTGCTGCTCGTTCATCTGGTTATATCGCGTTAGTCTTCTGGTAGAACCGATCGCCTAGGGTATCACTCATGATAGGAAATCGGAAAGATCGTACTATTGTGAATGCCTTGTCGATATTAATGATGTCATCCGGAAGCTGTCTCACTTCCTCCATGAGATGTCGAGGGAGAACGATTTTGTCGCCTACGTTAAAAAAAAAAGAGGAGCAATATTAGCATCTCTTTTCACCCATCCATTCAACCCAGATTTGGTTTCTCCCTCCCTTACCATCTAGTGCAGTTAACCTGAACGCCTTGGACTTGAACAGCTCGTAACCCTTCTGGTAAAAGTCTATGCCATTCGTTATGAAGGCCTTCCTTCGCTTCTCTGCATTTCCAATCTCCTCGCCGACCAAGGGCAGCTTCGATGCCCCGCTGCTGTTAAGTAGTATAGAGGCCGTAAACACGGTGACGAGGATCACGGCGATGGAGGCCAGGATGGGAGCCCGTTCCTGGACTATGTTCGCGACTTGATCCATTGCTGCCAGTCCGCGATGTTCGAGTATAGTTGTTATTTGACAATATGTACAACTAATAAGAGAGAAAGAGAACAGATGGACGAGTGGGCGTGTGTCAATATTATGTACCCTAAGTAGGTAAGGACCTACGCCTCAGCGTTACATTAGATATTACCCACTTAAATACACTATTGGTATCGTTTGATCAAAGGGATAAGTCATATGTATGTACTGATTATGTGCGGGTATATTCATATACGAAAACGAGTAGCTATCACGCAAATATGTGTGATCCTATTGGAAGTTGAACGTGTAGAACCAAGTATTTGGGAGGAGTGGAAGCGTGGAAGCGTAGAAGCGTGGTGTGGGGAGTGTCAGAACAAGCTAAACTAGGTGCATAGACTATGTAGCCATGTAATTCGGTTGCCTACCTGCATATCAGGTACATACCTACCCTAGTGTAGTGTAACTTGAAGTATTGTACAAGTACAATACAAATGTAAAGACTAGTTACATGTATGTAGAAGACAGCACTGGGAGACTTCAAGTTGGAGATGGTATCCTTGCTACTATGATGTACGGAGGTGGTTTTCAGAATATTTTCTATACCATACCCCTGTCAGGACCCCTACCAGAACCTTGTCGGCTGCCAGGTAGATCTACCATCTGGCCCGCTTTTCCCTCGCCACCTGTGCCGACATCTTATGACTTACTTAGTAATTTGCGGGGGCCCCTTAATAGCTCAATAAATACATAATAGATCAGAGTAAATTAGGGGCTAGTACAGATGCCAGCCAGGCGGTAAGGTAACTGCTGTGGCAGGTGGCAGAGCTACCAAGCAGCTGACTGGGGTGTAATATTCTGTGAGCGTCCTCCGTACTTATGTACATGTAACTAAGTAATTCCACGATCTAGAAGATAACTAGTGTAATAAAGAACATTGAAGAAAGTGGCCTGTCACCGGCATCTCGGATCTGATCTGTAATTTGGAACCTACAGCCCTGCCAGGTTGCCCTTCGGTTAGCTCAATCCCGGTCCTAGATCCATTATCGGTACCTACAGTAGGGTCCTAGACTACCTATTACCTAACTTCTAAGTACCATGATACATCCATCACGTTTGGCAATTGAAATCGTGTCAGGTATGTAATACCATGGACATCGTCCATCTACGCCGTAAATGCATAGTGCGGTGTGCCTAACTAAACAAAGGAATACATGTGCCATTTGTTTAGGTAATAAGAACAAAATAGCAAATAGCAAGTTTTCAAGACGAAATCAAATTGGTATTGTCTAATTGGCTAACTGTCACGCCTCCCTTGCCGCTGTATGCAATATTAATTGATGTACCTAGTAGTATGTACTTAGGTAGGGAGAGAATGTTGTTATTAAGGCATGTGCTTAATGTTGTTTCAATTGATGTTCGGACATTCAAGGATGCTAGGGTAATAGTAGTTATTAACTTATTAGCATCAATAGCTGGACACATCCGCATGATGGGTGGTAACTATGCATGGTCTGTGAAGAAAGAAACATGATTACTAGCAGTAGTTATGTGATTGGATACGTCTAGCTACACTACATACATATGTAACCTTCGTTTCTTCCTTCCCCTTTGTCGTTGCCTAAACAATCCAGCCAATCAGAGTCTCTGTCGCTAGAAAGACTTGCCGTATTCGGATTCGAGTTTGACTAACATCTGGCACTACCTGCCCTAACATAGGGAGGGTACCTAGGTACTGGGTACAATACATCATGATACAGGCGACGACAATATGCAATTGTTAAAAGAACAACGGCCTGGGTAATGCGAGCTCTATTTTTATCCAACATCGTGGATATCTATCGAGCCAGCTAAGTACACTAGTATGTGCCCCATCATCCAAAGTCGAACTAACATCGGATTGGCACGCTCGGATGTGAGCCGCTTCTCAGCAACGAACCTTGGGACGATCCCTCAACTAAGTCTGCTTCAATGAGCTGCAGCCTGATTCAAATCTCAAAAACTTGACTGAATACAATCGCAAGACTCACTGTAACAGGGAAGGTGACAAAATGTATTATTAGTAAAGGTAGTTACCTGGGGCTGTGATTTTATCTATGCCAGCAGCTGGTGAAACTTGATGTTATCAGATATGCATGCATAGGTACAGTACATAGCTTATGGCTTGTATATCTAAGACATCGTCACATGGTCTCATCCATCAGCTACGCCACGATGCGGCACAGCAGCTTGGTTGGAGTCTTTCAGCTAGGTTAGACAGTTCACGCCTCTTTGAAAACGGTGACATTTGGGTATTTTCTAGAATACTGCATAGTTACGCCACCAGAAAAGGCGAGAAACCTTCCTATCTTTCTCTGCTAGAACTACAATAGATGCCCGCCGAACTTAAGCATGCCTACCTAGTAGGTACCCTGAGTCCCTGACAAATAAACCTCGTACATGAGTTTGTTTCGATGAGCGTGGGTATAAATGAGTAATATTCCCGAGTTTGCCCCAGATATTGCGGGATTGACACCCAGCTAAAGGCCCTTGCCATCTGGCTGATTGGTAAGAATCTGCTATTAGCATGCTGTGAGGGAGTAATTCAGCTCCGAGATCCCTGTCAGGAAACCTGTGGTAAAATGCCTACAGAAGCAGCAATGTATTCTCGAATCATGTACGCCAGACAGCTCACCTAACCTAGAGGAGACAAAAGGAATAGGTGAAGGATCATAGTATAGCGTTTAAGGTTTAATCTGTATTAAATAGGTACGTACTAGGAAATCATTAATAGGATCTTTATACTTTAGAACAAGTAAAGACTCAAGAGATATGGGATGGCTTCACGCCGTATAGTAGGGCCCACCCCCTTGCTGTGAAGTTAAGAATAACTAGGTACCGGTACCTAACAAATCACCTCCCTACATAACCAGTACCCTATTAACTGGATAGGGACATATTTTCCTTTGAATAAAATTTGTTAACACCGGAAATGGTGGCATCGTTTTTTCCTACTCCGAATAAACTTTATTAACAAATGTTACAAGTGCCTTAAGCATCCTTAGCCATATAGCCCTTATGGCCATATATTAACACTCCACCATCCATAATTTAAGAATAAAACAAACTTTCTTCCTTTCCTCTTTCTTTTTCTTAGTTGTAGTTGTATTATAATAAGTTATGAGTTTTGTGTCGTTTAAAAAGCGCCGATTTAATGTTAAAAGATATTAAATAATTAAAGGAAATATTATAAAATATTGTTTTTTTTAATTTTTATAAAACCAAGATTAAACTAATAAAATATAGGCAAAAAACCTATTTAATATAAAACTAAATTAAAAAATAAAATCATTAAAAAAAAAGCTTAAAAAAATATTAAAATTAAGTATTATACTTATTTATTTTAAAAAAAGCTTATCAAATAAAGTTTTAAACGAGGTTATTAAAATATTTAAAATATTAATACGATGGGAAAAATCTTAAAATAATAAACCTTTTAATTATTAATAATAATAAAAAATTAACGATAAAATATAATATTATATAAGTATTAAAATTAATTAAGAAATTTGCTAAAATAGCGGAAAACTTATTACATTTCTTATTAATTTCATTACTTTTTAATAAGTATAAACTTAAAGAATAAAAAAGATTAATATATTAATATTACTAATATTATAAACTTAATAAATTTATTAATAATATATAATAAACGCCTTTATAAGAAATATTCGATAAAATAAAATAAAAATATTATAAGGAAAAAGTTTATTATATAACTTTATTAATAAGTTTATTATGTAATTTAAACGTGATTATTTAATTAAAAATAATTAGTTAAAAAAATAAAAAAAACGATCTTAAAGTGGTTTATAATTTAATATTAAAAATAAAGTAACATTAAATCCGTAATAAAAGTATTTAACTTTTTATTTATAATATAGCATTAATAACGCAGCTTTAGCAGTTTTAATACACATTAAATTATTAATTAATTGCAATTAATTTAAATCATTTTTAAATCTTTAATTAAAAATATTAATTTAAAAGTTTTAATTTAAAAAATAAATTAACCCCGGTTACATAATTACACCTATTTTATTATAAAAGTTATTAATAATTAAAGTTATAACTAATATTATATATAAACCACCTCCCTTACCACTTTAATTTAAAACACCATATAATAAAACCCGATAAAATTAATTAAAGATTAATTAATATCTCGATTAATTAAATTTTCTAAGATTTAAAACATATATTAATTAATTCGTCTCGTTAAAACGAAAAAAATAACCGTTTTTAAAGATTTTTAAAAAATTATTTAAATAAGTTAAAATAAGTTTAATATAACGTTAAATTAAACGTAATAAAAATACTTATACACGCATTTAAATTTATATAAAAAACTAAATAATATTATAGATAAAATACATATACTTTTATTGTAAATTTAATATTACTTTAAAAATAATACCTAAAATCTTTAAATAATTAAAAGTAACATTAAATCCGTAATAAAAATATATATATTTTATCCGTAATATTACTTAATCTTTTATACAAATTTAAATACGCGTATAAATACCTTTGCCACGCTTAATTTAACGCTATATTAAACCCACTTTAACTTATTTAAATAATTTTTTAAAAATCTTTAAAGACGGTTATTTTTTTCGCTTCGATAAAATAAATTAATTAATATATATTTTAAATCTTAGAAAATTTAATTAATCGAAATATTAATTAATTTTTAATTAATCTTATTAAACCTTATTATATAATATCTTAAATTAAAATGGTAAGGAAAATAGCTTATATATAATATTAATTATAACTTTAATTATTAATAACTTTTATAATAAAATAAATATAATCGTATAATTAAAATTAATTTACTCCTTAAATTAAAACCTTTAAATTAATACTTTTAATTAAAAATTTAAAAATAGTTTAAATTAATCGTAATTAATTAATAACTTAATATATATTAAAGCCGTTAAAGCTGCATTATTAACGCCATATTACGAATAAAAAGTTAAATACTTTTATTACGGATTTAATGTTACTTATAATTAATATCTTAATTATATTATTAATTAAAAAACCTTATTTTTAAAAATGAAATAACTTTACGTAACTATATAATTAAATTTAAAAAAGTGTTTAATAAATTTAAATAATTAAATCTTAATTTATTTAAAATTATAAAAATATTTAATATAATAAAAGTTATTAAGAAATAATATTTAAATTAATATTAATTTTTAAAATGAGATTATTAAAAAGGAGTTTTAACTTAGTAATTATTTTTAAAAAAATTTATATAAAAAGTAAATAATAAAGATTTAATAATAATCACATTTTTATTTAAATCGTTAAATTTAAATATTAAAAGGGGTAAGTTATTAAAATTAAAAAAGAAATAATTTATCGATTATATAATATAGAGTCTTGCTATTCGCACCCCATAAAATTGCTATCGGAGCTTATC